CGCAAGCTATCAGAGGAAGAGACCCGACACAATTTTCATCCTCTACAGAGTTATATAGTACACACGTACGAAATGGAACAATGTGTCCAGCTTTCAATGTAACTCGCTGCAATGCATTAGGCCATTCCATACATAAACTACAACTCATTCGCAGACGGTGCATGCGACAGGAATATAGGAAAGATAAACATGCTAACGAGAGCTCAGTGACGACTAATATGAACCTCAATAATCTATCGAGCCACTCGCAGAACTGGGACGGTGCACTGGCATGCTCTATAGACCTGATCGTGCGAGCCCGCTGGTAAACTTCTTAATTTCTTAGGTCTTTCCTCTCCTGAACCGCGTGCTTCCCAGCCATCATGCTCTTACCCGCGGCATCGCGGCTTGCCACGTCATCAGGAGCGAGTTCATCGTCAACACAAGCCACCGTGCTGCCAGATCCGCAGAATCAGAACTATCACAGCCATCCACCTGGCGCGGCTGATGCGGCCTGGTTCGACGATCCGCACGATCCGCAAATGTTCGAACCAGCTTCAGATGAAGCCGAGCCCGCTTTAGGCGACCCTGGTCCGACGGCGCTCGCTCAGAACCTAGCCTCCCACGGGGGGATTAAGGAGCGGGTGAAAACGGAAAAAAGTCCGGTTGCTCTAGAGGAGAGAGGTGGTGGCATGGAACGGCCGAGCCAATCAGGAAGCCTGGGAAGTCGGAGAGGCGTTGAAGCGACTCGTGCGGAGACTCTTGGCCAATCAGCGGGGAGTTACGCCGGTGAACCACATTACCCTGATCCAAGCATGAACCTTCTGGATTTACCCCATCCGTTGATCCTGGAGGTTCTCCGGCATTTGGACGTCCACGATCTGGCTTCGCTCTCCTGCTGCTGCCGCCTGCTGCATCGCCTGGCGGGAGAATCGTGCGGTTGGATGAGGTTCTACTGCGAACGATGGGCGCCGCCTGTGATTGGTCTAGGTGGTGGGAGGGTGGAGGGAGGACGAGAGGGAGGAGTGCGTGACGATGCAGTGAGAGGCGGTGGAAGGAAAAAAGGAGGAGGCGTAGGAGGAAGAGGAGGCGGGGTAGGAGAAGGAAGAGGGGGAGTGGAAGAGGGATCAACAACCCGCAGCGAAACGAGCGACCCGAAGGAGGGAGATGAATCAAGCGAGAGAGAACACAGAGGCAGGGAGAGTAGCACTCACGCTTCAACACCAGTTAGGACGCCAAAGCATGGTACAATAGGAGCCTTGGCAGCGGATCGGAACGACAGAAGGGAATTAAGAGAGAATGGTGGTGGCCGTGGTGGTGGTAACTATGGTTACAGTGGTACCGATGGTGGTAGCATAGGTGCGGGCGGGGTGAATTGGAGGGAGATGTACCTGCAGCGCCAGAGACGCTCCGTGGCGTACCTGGGAAGGTTCCAGAGCGATTTCCTCGCAGGTCACACCTCCGGCATGCGTGCTGTCAGGATGCTTACTCGTCCGCCCTTCCGCTTCTCCTCCTCTCACTCTCCCTCACAATCTTCCTTGCACCCCTATCCGTTGCGCGAGCCGCCTCTGAACCCTCCCTTCCCTCTGGCCATTACTGCTGGTTATGACTCGACCATTCGAATCTGGTCGCTGGATGATTGGTGCAGTGCTGGTTACCACCCCAGTACCACTTTCACCTCGTCTGACCCTAACAGTTACAACTCTGGTAGTTTTGACAACATCAGCAGCAGCAGTTATAGTTACGGGTACACTTACAGCAGCGGGATCCCCATCGCCACGTCACCGCCACTTGGCGAGACGGTACGGGCCGTGGCGGCAGGGCTGGACTTTCTGGCAGTGGGCGGCACGGACGCGGTGATCCGGATCTGGCGGGCGGCAAACGATTGTCCATATCTGTTTGACGTGTCTGGCATGTGGAGCCATACCCAAGCAGCTAAAACCCTTGCCGGCCAACTTGCTGACTCTGTCAGAAACGGTCCTTTCGATTCAATAGAAGCTCTGTTCTCATCTCCCTCACTTCCCTCTCCTCCTCCACCTCCTGCTGCTGCTGCTGCTGCTTCTGCTCCATCTCACCTGCCCTCAATTCCCGTCGCACGGTCACATGGGTCCCATCTCCTGTCTGGCTCTGGAAGGGGGTTACCATGCTTCAGGTTCAAACAGGTGGCAGCTCCCCCGCTCATCCTCCTCTTCCCCATTGCCATCCTCTTCTGCTGATTCCACTTCATCCTCCATGCCAGTTTCGTCCCGCCGCCTCCTCTTCTCCGGGTCGTGGGATTCGACTATCCGATGCTGGGACCTGTCGTCTTCCCTCTCCTCATCCTCCTCCCCCTCTTCCTCCCCTTCCTTTCCAACCATCTATTCCTTCCGCCATGCTGACTGGGTATACTCCCTTCAGCCCCGCTTCTCCCCCTCGCTCTCCTCCCCTCCCCGTCTCTTCTCCACTGCTGGTGCTGACGTGTACTGCTGGGACGTGGAGACTGGAACGCTCCTGAAGCGACACGTGGCAGCGCACACCGGGAAGGCGCTTGCTGTTCAAGCGAGCCTGTGTGGCCGGTTTGTCTTTTCTGGAGGGGAGGATGGGGTGGTGAGGATGTTTGATCAGAGAGTAGGAGGAAGAGGAGGAAAGGCAGACAAAGGAGGAAGATCAGGAGGAGGGAAAGGAGGAGGATCAGGAGGAGAGGGGGGAGTATGGGATGCAGTGGCAGAATGGCATGCACACAGCAATGACGTGAATTGTCTTGCCTTTGAGGACCCATGGCTTGTTTCGGCTTCTACTGATGGCTCCTGTGCTCTTATGGACATTAGAGCAGCTGCTGCAGTTGCAGGTGGCTGTAAAGGTAGTGGATGGGCTTTTAAAGGGGATAAGCTGGGGAGAGACGGGATTGGTGAGGACAAGGGGAGAGGAGGTGGGATGGCAGGATTTGGGGTTGGAGGTGGGGGTTGGTGGAAAAGGTTGGGTGGAGGGGGAGGGGATAGCAAGTGGGGCATGGGGAATGGTGCTAGTAAGTGGGGGTCAGCATGGGGTGTTGGGGCAAATGGGGAGATAGGCGAGATTGTTGAAGGGACCGTTGCTAGGAGATTAGGGGGGTTGAATTCATCGGTCCTCTGCGTGGATATAAAGGATGAGAGGGTGGTGTGTGGTGCGGCCAACGCTGATGTTCGGGTGTTTGACTTTCGGCATGCGTTGGTGGAAGGTGAGGGTGGGAAGAGATCAGGGAGGGGGAGGAGGGGGAAGGGGAAGGAGAAAGAAGTGAAGGATGGATGGGAGAGGTCTTGATGATGATTATAGTGTATGATCCGTTTGAAGACTTTGAGGTGAGGCCTCTAAAGAGGGAATTTGTTTGCCTATAAATACCTACTGGATTAGTTGGCTCACTTGCTTTGAAAAATGGTTGGATTTACATGTCAGCCCACGCCACGGGTGTTGCCCAACGTCAACATCGCCCAGGATCACGGAGCAGCTTCCATAGCGATTGGTCAACGGCTCCAGCCGAACATCCCCCCAATCAAGCAGCAGTTGGAACCCGGCTAGGGCCAAAAAGCAGAGGACAAATTTTGAGGCCTCGCAGCATGAATCGCCCTTAGAATGGTTTCTGTTCGAGGTGAAAGTTGGTTCTGGAGGTTGCAAAATATTTAAGCGGGGGTACTGTGCGGCTAATGATCTTGCAGACAACCAGTTCTCAAGGAGAAGAGAACAGAGAAGCAAACAGTCTGAGGGTGTATTCCTAGCTTCGGGTCATCCGGTGTTTGTGTCATCCGAAAATTGAGGTAGCCAATCGGAAAAGTCGCGGTTCGAAATTTGAATTTTTCGATTGGATACCGCAAATTTCGGATGACATGAAGCCGGGATGACTCGAAGCCAGAAATACGCCCTAAAAGGACAATCCAAGTCTTTGAGAATAGTCGCTACCATACTTAGTTCTCTCCACCATTAGTGAGAACCTGCTCACCTTGGTCTTCGGTTAGCCACCTCAAGAGGAGAACCAGCGGGATGAGGTAGAGGCGATCGCGCCTTTTGGTTGTTGAGGACTGCAAGCAGCGGCGGCTTGTGCTGATCGGCAAGCTTTATCAGCCATTGATGCGAGGGTATCCAGATTACCATGAAGTTGTGACGAACAAGTCGGCCTGAGAACCATGTCCGGACTTAGAGGTCGCCATTAATAAAGGACCTATGACCATCTGTAGTGTTTTTCCTGCGAATGCATGGCTGGGTTTAGTGGTTTCCCGAATCAATCTGGACCGTTCGATGGGTCAGGATCACAGTCTTCGAGATGCTGTTTCTTCACCGAGGAGTCGCAGATTATCGGCACGGACGACCAGCCGTTACCAACCAACGGCCACGATCGCACGTCGTCCGCACAAGTTGATCTCCGTTTCTTGCGACGCTTGCTGGCCCTTCTGCGACTCGCTGGTGCGAAATACGCCGTCATCCTGTTACTCCTCGCGCTCGCGAACATTCCCATTGTCGCGAAAATGGGCACCGTTACAGGAACGTTCTATTTCGCCCTCGTTAATGCCAACCCCGATGCTTTCCTCAAGACCCTCGGGAATTCCGCGATCTGGCTGACCCTGGCCGCTGTTTCCACGGCGCTCACTGATTGGTCCGCGCAGTTCCTTTGCCTGAAATGGCGGAAGACGCTGACGTCCGCGTGCCACGTGGCGTATAGGCGGAGCAGCTGGCTGTACCACGCATCTCTCGAGAAACGCGGCTCATCTGCTGTCCATAATGCCGCTACAAAAGCGAAAGCCCCTTCTGTACCCGTTATAGACAACCCCGATCAACGGATCACGGAGGACATTCACCGATTCGCGGAGCAGGTCTCGCTCCTTTTAAGTAGAACAGTAACCGCGCCGCTTACCGTGTTATACTACAGCTGCTGGGTCGTGTCTCTAATCGGTCCCACGGGCCTCCTAATCATCCTCCTATTCTTCACAATCGGAGCCGTCATTACGCGCCGCGTTATGTCTCCAGTCGCGGCGCTAGTGGCCGAGCAGGAAAGGCGGGAAGCGGAGTTTCGTATGGCGCATGTCAGAGTTAAGGAGCGATCCGAGGACATCCTTTTCTCGCGCGGCGGGGACGCCGAGGCGCGCCAGCTCAGCGCTGAGCTTGCAGCCGTCCTGGCCAATCAGGAGAAGCTGGTGTGGCGGTACTTAAAGCTCGGAATAACCACCAAGGTGTTCGACTATGCAGGCGTGGCTGTTAACTATCTAGCCCTAGCTGCACCTGTGTTCGGAATAGTCGGAGCAGGTATTTCTGGGGGAGGTGGAGATAGTAAGGATAAGGGGGCCGTTGCACAGTGGATTAGCAACGCCTCGTTTGCGATCTTGCAGCTGATATTCGGAGGATCTCAGATCATCGATGCTGCTAAGATTATATCGGATTCTGCTGGGTATACTGCCAGGGTTGGTGAGCTGTTTGAGTCGCTGCAATTGTTGCCTTCTGATCGGTTGCAGTCACATCCGGTACAGACACATGGCAGGGATGAGCCGTTTCCACCCCCACCCGCACCCGCACCCGCAACAGCGGCAGCGACAGCAGCAGCGTCACCACCACCAGCGGCACTAGCATCGCCACCACTGTCGAAAAGAAGGGGTTTATGGGAGAGACTAACTGGGCGGAAGAGTTCTGATTACACAACAAAATGTGGTAACACCGATGTGAGCGAAGTGACGGGCCTATTGGACGTCAGGGTGGAAACTGGGGACGGTGGAGCCAGGAGGAGCTCCGACGTAAATGAATCCAAGCAGCAGACGAAGCAGGTTGGTGGAAAGGTGGCTGGGTACGGGACATGGGGAGGGGAGAGAGGCAGAGCAGCGAGTATACTTGCATGGAGCGGGGTTTCAGGGGACTTGGCGCGCGAGGTACGTTGTGAGCACACGCGGATCGCACCGTGTGGTGGAGAATCTATGGTACAGGAGGCACGGGAATTCATGCTGCAGGAGCCGACTTGGCTGATGGCGCCAATACCAGGAGGCGGCGGTGGGAGGGCCGATGGGCGAATCCAGGGGACAGCAGATGCAGGAGGTGATGGGAGAGGCGGTAGGAGTGCTGATGAGACAATTGCAGTAAGGAACAGCATGCAATCGCCGTGCTGCCACGTGTCTGCAGAGGGACGGCTGCATGCCCACGCTGCCATGCACCCGATCCTACAATACTCCATTCACTCTGTCCCGCCTGAACTGCGCTCCCTTGTAGCCGCCCTGCTGCCACAACCCAGAGGCGGAAGGGGGAAGGTGGAGACGAGAAGGGAAGCTGCACGTGTGGGCGAGGCATGGGGCGTGAGTGTGACAGTAGGGGATGTGGGGGTGGAAGGTGTGGAGATAGAGGAGGTGAAGGTGGAAGATGTGAGAGTGGAGAAGGTGAGAGTAGAGGATGTGAAGATAGTGGTGACGTTTCAGTGCAGTGATGTGCCTCTCTGGCCCATCCACAGCGACTCCTCCTCCTGCTGCTGCTCCTGCTGCTCCTGCTGCCTCTGCTACCATTGCCCTTGCTCCTGCTGCTCCTGCTGCTGCTCCAACCCCGTGCTCGAGTGCAGGGAAAGGCAGTTCCACACATGCAGGCGTGGGTTCAGCAGACTCAGTCCCACCAACGCAGGCAGATGTGAGCAGGGCGATGAACCGGCTGCTGTTCAACTCCCGCCTCTTCCAGCAGCAGCTCTGCGAGCAGGAAGGGAGCGCAGCACTTGCAGACGCGAGTCCAGCAGACTCAGCCACAGCAGCACATGCCGACTTGAGTCCCGCAGGTGCAGGCGCACCAACACAGGCGGATGTGAGCAGGGCGATGAATCGCCTGCTATTTAACTTCCGCCTCTTCCAGCAGCAGCTCTGTGAGCACATCTGGGCGGCCGGCCACTGGGCTGACGCTGTCGACCCCCTCACCGGCTACCTCATGCACGCTGCTTCTCGCACCAGTGGCAGAAGCAGCGGTCGTGCTGCTTCTCACAGTGGTGGTGTCACCTTAGAGAATTCTCAAAAGCAGCTCTGTGAGCACATCTGGGCGGCCGGCCACTGGGCTGACGCTGTCGACCCCCTCACCGGCTACCTCATGCACGCTGGTATCGGCGGTGGCAGTAGCAGTGACAGTGGCGGTGGTGGTGTTGGTGGTGCTATCGGTGGTGGTAGCAACAATGCTGTTGGTGTTGGCGGTGGTGCTGGTGGTGGTGCTGGCAGCACGTGGCCATTCCCAACGCCCATCAAGTACAACGAGGTGGACATCGCTCAGATCCTCCTTGGCTACCCCGTTGCTCCCACTTCCACCACGACCAATGAAGCAGCAGAAGCAGCAGAAGCCGTAGCTTTTCTGGGCTCAACTGTGCCTCTCACCGCTGCAGAAGCAGCAGCAGCAGCAGCAGCAGCAGCAGGAGGAGCAACACAGCCAGCAACACCAGCACAACCAGCAACGCCAACAGCACCAGCATCACCATCCATGCCCTCATGCCCCCTCATTCTCCACCCTTCCTTCGGCACACACACCTACCCAGCCTCCCTCCTCACCACCGCCCCTCTCCCGCTCCTGCAATCCGCCATCCGCCACGTGGCAGGCTCTGGTTGGCGCCTGCCAGGCTGGCAGGAGGAGCCGGGGGTGCTGGTGGTGGGGCAGGGGACGGGGGATGGGAAGAGGAGAGGTGTGACTGGAACAGGGAAGGGGGAGGAGGGAGGTTATGTGGAGGAGTTGTTAATGGCACCTGAGCTTGAACCTGAACCTGAACGTGAACCTGAATTTAGACCTGAACCTGAAGCTGAGGTGCACCCACCGTGCCACACCTGCTCCCCCTCCTCCTTCCCTCCCGCACTCTCCCTCTCCCGACTCACTCTCACTCTCCCCCACACCAACCACCTCATTGTCACCAACCTCTCCCTCCATCTGCCACGTGGCAAGGCCTTACTGGTCACCGGGCCTAGTGGTTGCGGCAAGACCAGCCTCCTGCGAGCCATCGCTGGACTCTGGCCAACCAGCAGCAGCCACGTCAGCAGCAGCAACAGAATCCCGTCTGGTGCAGTTCCGCTCCCCCCTGTGACGCTATACCCTCCTGCTGCCTGCCCCCATGTCATGTTCCTTCCCCAGAAGCCCCTTCTTGCGCCCTCCCCCTGCCTGGCTGCTCAAGTCATGTACCCCTTTCACCCTGAGGGTATTCCCAAGGCAACTTGCAGTGGGAGAGAAAGGACAGACGAGGGTACAAGGACTAGGATGGAGGCTGCTCTTGCTGTGGTGGGTTTGACGCATCTGTTACCCCATTTTGCGTCCTTGTGTGATAATGTACTAGTGGAGGCTGAGGAGGATGCTTCTGGGAAGGAGAGGCACTGTCAGCAGCACTGGGTGGAGCAGCACCAAGGCTGTTCCAACCTTGGGACGTCTGTACAACGGCCGGTTAAGGCTCAAAGTTGGACTGAAGGGCTTTCTCCAGGGGAGCAGCAGCGGCTTCAGTTTGCAAGAGTGGTGTTTCATTGCCCGAGATTGGTTTTCCTGGACGAAGCTACGAGTGCCGTAGATGGTGAGATGGAAGCGCGGATGTATGAGTGGCTTGCAATGGCAGGGGTTGCTATTGTTAGTGTTAGCCATAGAAGAGAATCTCTGCGGAGGTGGCACCATGCTGAGCTTGTGCTAGAGGGGGATGGAACAGGAAGGTGGAGAATAATGCAATGAGATGCATGTGTGTATGCCTTACAAACATAAGTACATCCGCAGTCGTAAGCCTTCCGTAAAACGCAGATGCTCAAACTGGGAGGTGGGTATGGTTGTGGTGATGATGAGCCATGATGACAGCACGCGAGCCGTGCTTTCGAAAGACAGTGGATTGGTCAAGGAGACCGACAAATGAAAAGCCTGCCACGCTGGCTCCACAAACTCCAGCGCGCTTTGAGAAATCGTGATTGATTCCTCCGATTTCTTTCCCATTCGCCAGGCATCTTGAGCTAATTGATGTTGCCTGCCACACGATCCACGTGGTTGACCCAATCGGAGGGTGGATGCCAACCTCGTGGGACCACCATCGAGCATGCCGAGGTATTATGACGTGGCAACGCGCCTCCTCCGAGATTGGTTGTTTACGGCGAATGATTTCAATCAAAAGGCCACTTTCAAAATAAGTGGTAGGAAATAACCAACGGGTAATTCATGGCAGACAGATTCTGGCAGAATGATTGTCATTGGTTAGTGGAAGCTAGTAAGTCTGAGGTAGGAAGTTACCTCCATAATTTACGATAACGAGGAAAGGACGTACCTGAAGGTTGACGACCAGCCAAAGCGTCGACCGTCGTTCATAAGTTTCTCTGTTCGCATAGACGTATCGGAGCTCGACTACTAAGAAACTTTGTAGTCGTACTTTCTGAAGCATAGGTCCTCCGTTGTCAGAAACGTCCGCCTTTTCCAAGACGTACCGAGCTCCTTGCCTTGCTTCCTCCATAGTAGGACAAGTCTTTCTGCGTAGCATTGCTGAATTCAGTGATTGTTGGACATTCTCTTGTTCACCAATCGTACAACTGCTATCCCCCTACTTCGAAAGAACCTCTTACGGCAACCATGGCGGCGGTTCGTTCGCTTATCTCGTCCGTCAGACTCACTCCGGCTGCAGCAGTACCACTCAAATCCTCAGCCTCCTCACTCGTCCGCGACGAGTCGAGAAATCTCAACTTAAGCGTGAATCTCGCCGCATCATGCTCATCAACTAAGGGCTCTCGTCGAGTCGCACCTCCTTCTGCTGCGGCGACTACCCTCGCGGCTGCTGCTGCAGCACCCACAGCGGAGGACGCGCCGTCGGTCGCGGCGTCAGAAACGAAAGTCACGACACCGCCGCGGCGCCGCCTGAAGGTGGGGTGCCACGCGGCGCAGGGGCGGCGCGACGAGATGGAGGACCACGTGGTGGTTCTGGAAGACATAGGCGCCGGGTTCCTCTACGCCGGCGTGTTTGACGGCCACGCAGGTGCGCGTTTGCCGGCGTGTTTGGCGGCCAAGCATGCAGCTTTCTGAGCGTTTCGGTTTCTACGCTTCTAAGAAGCTTCCGAGATTCTGAGCATTTGAGCGTGTGTTTTCCACTGAAAATCGTGTTTGTCGCACGTGCAGGCGCGTCTTCCGCGAAGTTTCTGAGCGACGAGCTGCATGACGACTGCATGGAGGCACTGGAGGGCGGCGCGGTGCTGGAAGATGAGGACCTCACGGCCGCCGAGGACGCGCTGAGGATGCTTTCCTTAAAGCCGACCAACGGCTGCTGCAGTGGTGAGTGTTTGTGCTTGTGTGGTGAGCCTGTGGGGTGTGCTTTCATATCGCGGTGCTGGAGGATGAGGATCTGACGGCTGCGGAGGGCGCGCTTGAGGACGCGTTTCTCAAAGCTGATCAACGCCTGCTGCAGTGGTGAGTGGGTGTGCTTGTGGAGTGTTGGCGACTGCTGCAGTGACGGGTGGGTGTTGACTGTGTGGTGAGCTTGTGGAGGCGCTGGAGGGCGGCGCGGTGTTGGAGGACGAGGATCTGACGGCCGCGGAAGACGCGCTCGAGGACGACCAGAGACTTCTGCAGTGGTAAGAGGGCCTGGTGGTGTGGGGTGGGTTGTGCTTGGTGGGTTGGGTGTGCATGACGACTGCATGGAGGCGCTGGAGGGCGGCGCGGTGCTGGAGGACGCGCTGGAAGATGCTTTCCTTAAAGCCGACCAACGGCTGCTGCAGTGGTAAGAGGGCTTGGTAGGGTGAGTGTGTTTGGTGGTGTGGGTGTGTTTGGTGGTTGTGTTTGTATGGTGTGCTTGTTTGAGTGCTGGCACTGGAGCGCGGTGTTGGAAGGTGAGGATCTGACGGCAGCGGAAGGCGCGCTGAAGACGCGTTTCTCAAGGCCGATCAACGGCTGCTGCAGTGGTAAGAAGGCTTGGTGGGGTGGGCCCAAACGTCAACGCGCATGGCCCCTTCCCTTCCCCCGTCCTCCCCTCCTACCCCCCTCCTCCCCCCCTCCTCCCCCCTCCTCCCCCCCGCGCACAGGCTGGAAGAGCACAGTTCCGAGCCCGAGTCCGGTTCCACCGGTACAGTGGCGTTTGTGCGGCACGACCGGCTGTTCGTGGCGCACATAGGCGACTCGCGCTCATTCCCCCCATCCCCTTCTCCTCCCCTTGCGCATACCCTCCCAAATTGCTTCCCCAGGCTGGAAGAGCACAGTTCCGAGCCCGAATCGGGTTCCACCGGCACTGTAGCATTCGTGCGGCACGACCGGCTGTTCGTGACGCACATAGGCGACTCGCGCGCCGTGATGTCCCGATCACATGTCCCCCGATCCCCCCTTGCGCAGGCTGGAAGAGCACAGTTCTGAGCCCGAGTCGGGATCAACAGGCACTGTAGCGTTCGTGCGGCACGACCGGCTGTTCGTGGCGCACATAGGCGACTCGCGCGCCGTGATGGCCTCTCGCCCCAATCCCCCGTCAATTCTTCCCCTCCCTGCATATCCCTGCGCTGCACCCCAGGCTCGAGGAGCACAGTTCTGACCCCGAGTCGGGATCAACAGGCACTGTAGCATTCGTGCGGCACGACCGGCTGTTCGTGGCGCACATAGGCGACTCGCTCTCATCCCCCCCGTCTCCCCTTGCGCATACCTTCCCCAATTGCTTCCCCAGGCTCGAGGAGCACAGCTCGGAGCCAGAATCGGGCTCAACAGGCACTGTAGCATTCGTGCGGCATGATCGGCTGTTCGTGGCGCACATAGGCGACTCGCGCGCCGTGATGGCCCGATCACATCACATGTCCCCCCATCCCCCCTTGCGCAGGCTAGAAGAGCACAGCTCTGAGCCCGAGTCCGGTTCAACAGGCACGGTGGCGTTTGTGCGGCACGACCGGCTGTTCGTGGCGCACATAGGCGACTCGCGCGCCGTGATGGCCGTTGGGGGCGATGAGGGGTACATCTCGGACGACCATAAGCCCAGCGGCGACTCGAGCAAGGCGCAGGCGGAGATTAAACGAATCAACAAGGCGGGCGGATGGGTGAGTAGTTTGTGTTGAGTCACCACACATGTTCCCCCCATCCCCCCTGCTCCGTTGGGCGCGCCGTGATGGCCGTTGGGGGGGGCGACGAGGGGTACATCTCGGACGACCATAAGCCGAGGGGGAGGGGTGTGGTGTGGGGGGGGTTGGGGCTGGAGGCGACGAGGGATACGTCTCAGGCGACCATAAGCAGAGGGGGAGGGGTGGGGGGCGGTGGGGAGGGGTAGGAGGGGTGGGGTGGGGTAGGGGATACCCAGCGGTGGGCGCGCCGTGATGGCCGTCGGGGGCGACGAGGCGAGGGGTACATCTCGGGCGACCATAAGCCCAGCGGCGACCTCAGAAGCAACGCTCTCCCAATCCACCCTATCTCTCCCTTTATCCACCTGCCCGTCGCCCTCCCCCCCCCACCCACCTCCCCATTCGCAGGTGAGTCAAGGGCGGGTGTGTGGCGTCATTGCCGTGTCTCGGGCCTTTGGCAACGTGGCTTTCAAGACGAGAAAAGAGGAGTGAGTCACTGACTGAGTGAGTCGTGCTTCTGAACAAGTAACCAGCTTTACCAATACACCTACCTGGATCAATCACTGCACACAAAACAAACAAACAAACAAGCAAGCAAGCAAACAAACAAAACTAAGACAAATAGAAGGGAACCGACAAGTAAAGTACTTGTATGCACATCAATGCCCTACTCTTCCCACTGAACCACTCTTATACCATGCTGAACCGCACTTTACCGCACTGTGCTCCTTTACGTGCAGGATGATGCAACAAGGAGTGAAGAAGGGCAAGTGGACCACCAGATGGGTCTCCAAGTAAGTATTTTTTCGCTGCTTGCTGCTTACTGCTTGCTGCTGCGGTCAACAAAACCGAACCGAGTCTGATTGCTGCTGCGTTTAGTCATTATGATGGTGAAGAAGGGCAAGTGGACCACCAGATGGGTTTCCAAGTAAGTTGGTCCTCGCTGCTTGCTGCTTGCTGATTGATGCTTGCTGCTCGTTGCTCATTGCTTGCTGCTTCCCCGTACCTTCTTCCCCCTGCCTTCTCCCCCTTGCCTTTTCTCCCCTGCCTTCTCCCCCTTTCCTTTTCTCCCCTGCCTTCTCCCCCTTGCCTTTTCTCCTCTGCCTTCTCCCCCCCGCCTTTTCTCCCTGACTTTTGCCCCTGCCTTCTCCCCCGTACCTTTTGCCCTGCCTTTTTGCCCCCTTCTTTCTCCCCCCTGCCTTCTTTTCCCTGCTTTCTTCTCCCTGCCTTATCTTTCCACCCTTCTTCTCGTTCCTGTTTTTCAGGAGGAAGTACGATTCTGATTGGATCTCAGCCCTCCCTGACGTGTACGGCACTGAGCTGACAGAAGATGCCGAATTCGTCATTATTGCGTCTGACGGCCTATGGGACGCCTTCTCCAGGTACAGTAAACGCACCTCTCCCGTGAACCTCACTAGTTCCTAGTGACACGTGCTGAATGACACCCTTCCTTCCAGTGCCTTGCTCCGCTCTGACGGCCTATGGGATGCGTTTTCCAGGTAGAGTAAACGCACCTCTCCCCGTGAGTCCTGTCAAATGACACACTTGAGAATTCTCATAAATGACACCCTTCCTTCTTAGTGCCCCACTTCCATCTGATGGCCTATGGGATGCGTTCTTCCCCAGGCCATCAGTACGGAATCTGCACCCCCCCGTCCTCTTCCTCACTCCCACACACCCACTTCCCTCCCTTTCCCCACCCGCCCTCCCTCCCACTCCCCCCCCACACTCCACTACTCTGGCCGCTCTGAGGCACTGAGGTATGTGCGGGCCGAGATGGGGAGGCATGGGGACGTTGGAGTCAATGACTGCTCATACTGGAATATTTCCTTCGCTCCCTCCTACACACCCTTCCCCTGACACCCTGTTACACTGGCAGCTCTGAGGCGGTGTCGTTTGTGCGGGCCGAGGTGGAGCGGCATGGGGATGTGCAGCAGCTTTCCCACACATCTACCCACACATCTACTTCCCTCTCTCCCTCTCCCATCACTCCCGTCCACTTTCAGCTCTGAGGCGGTGTCGTTTGTGCGCAGCGAGATGCAGAAGCATGGGGACGTGCAGCAGGCATGCGAGGCGCTCGTGCACGCGGCTCTGCATGTGAGTGTATCAGCGTACACTGTACACTACAATATAACATCTTGCGCTGTACACTACAGATTAACATCTTGCACTGCACACGTAGATAAACATGGGGAAGTGCAGCAGCAGGCATGGGAGGCGCTCGTGCATGCGGCTCTATATGTGACCTTGGTTGAACTCCCTTCCGCTGCTGCGCCCCTCCCTCTCAGGACCGTGGGACGGAGGACAACACGAGCGTCATCGCCCTCCCAGCTCATTCCATGTGTCTCCTTGTATGCTCACCTGCGTTCTGCTCTCTGCTGCGCCCCTCCCTCCCTCTCAGGACCGTGGGACGGAGGACAACACGAGCGTCATCGTCATTTCATTGAGAGACTAGCCTCCCTGTTCAAAACAGATACCGGTAGAACAGTTAGTCTTACACCCAATCATCATCTTATTCGCGAAGCTCAGTGCTAGCTAGCACGACCATCAAAGCTTATTGCCCGATCATCAAAGCAAATCGTCACAGCTAATCGTCCTGGCCAATTACCATCGCCCATAACCAATTCCAATCGCGATCAAGCCATGGCTATTCCTTTCTACATATATAGCCTGCTGAAGAATCAGGGTACATTCCGCTGTGGACATGTCCCAATCGGGTGTACCGCTCCGAACCGAACTAAACCAGAGAAGCGAAAATTTTGAAACTAGGGTGTAATTCGGTGTAATAAGATGCAGTGCGGTAGAATCGATTGGGACACATCGATTGGGACGCTGTCCACAGCGGAATGTACCCTCAGTCTGCCTCTCAGGCACCCTTGTTTTGTCACTTCCACCTGAAGAATCACCTGTCGCTCCACCACCAGTTAGAACTATCACGCCATCTTCCTGGCTCTGTTGCAGTCTTCATTAGGAAATGTGATATGCTGTGCCAACAGTCATAATTATTCAATGCCATTTGCCTGGCTCTTTTGCAATCTTATCTTAAAATCTGTAAGAGCAAATCCCGTAATAGCTACAGCGTTTTTTAGCAAGCAGTGCAGGGCATATCAACAAGCAGAGCACAGCTGAAGGGAGAGAACAGATATTGGAGCATCCAAAATGGAAAACAGCTTATCGTACTTAGACACTACAGCACCTAACCATTCACAAACTACCAGTAACCGACCGAAACAAAACATCCATTCGTAAGCACTAACGCAGTTCCTTCCGGACCAGAGCGGACCATCCAACCCTAGTCATTTCCCACCGCCGAGGCTAAACGCTAGCTTCGGCCGGGCATTCTTCTTCCCCAAGATCTTCATCTGCTCCTTCTTTGTCTTCTCCTCCTCTTCCTTCTTCTTCCTCTTAGCCTCATCCCTCTGCCTCTGCTTCTCCTCCAACTCCCGATACCGCCTCTCCTGCTCCCTCGCCTGCTCCTCCAATCGCTGCCGCTCTGCCTCCTCTGCTTCTCTCTGCTTCTGCTGTAACAACTGCTGCTGCCGCTCTTCCTCCTTCCGCTTCTCCTCCTGCAAGGGATAGAGGGTTTGGTTGGGGCAGGGAAGTGAATGTGGGAATGTAAAGAGTGGCCAAGACAAAGAGAGAGTTTAGGCACAAAAGAGAATCACTTTCTAAGTCCGACTTCTGGCCTATTTCTTCAAACTCAGAGGCTCCTTCAAGTATCCAAGAAACAGAGGGTTGCAACATTTCTTGCCCCAACCCTCCAGGCTTACTGTCCCCATCCTTGCCACCCCTTCAACACCCTTCTCAATGCATTTAAAAAGGGCTCAAACAAATGAACTCCCCCTCTTTCCCTCTCACCTCTTTCCGCCTCTTCTCCTCCTCAGCAGCCTCCTTCTCCTCCTCTAAAGCCCTCGCCACCTCCCCAGGAAGCTTCCGCCGGCCTTCCTCAATTAAAGCCGCCATCTCCCTCTTAATTTCCTCAGAGGTAAGTTCCCGCTCCACACGCTCCCGAATCGCCTCTTCAAGCCTCCTTGTAGTCTCCTCCGCTATAAGCTTCTCCATTGCCTCTTCTCGTAACCTGCACACACACACACACACATAAAGGAAGGACGAACGTTCGGAAATATGTGAAACACCTTAGGCACCTTTCCAGATTAACATCCCTCACCCATCCCACGCAGTTCTCGAAACCTAACCTACCTCCCAATACACTAGAATTGAGGGGTGTCAACTGTTTATACACCCAATTATAACGTTGACCAGCGCTGACTAGCATTGACTCACCTCTTCCTCTCGGCTCTCTCCGCGTCCTCCTTTGCCCTCCGCGCCTCCATCTCACTCTCCTTCATTTTCTCATCCCCTTCCGCCTCCCCCTCCCCTTTCCCCTCCGCTCCCCTCTCCGCCTCCTTTTCTGCCTCCTTCCCACCCAAGTCAGCTTTCTTCCGCTCGTCCTTTCCTTTAATCACCCCTTCCGCAACTCCTTTGCCCTTCTCCGCGCCTTTCCCGCCCTTATCGCCTTCATCAACCACGCTATTCCGCTTCCGCGCGTTTTCTCTCCGGGCGCGGGAGCGTGGGGAGGGGGAGCGGCGCGAAGGGGAAGGGGAGCGCGAGCGCCTGCGCGGGGCGGGGGAGCGCGAGCGGCTGCGGCTCAAATTCCGACGGCTGCTTCCGCGCGCACTTTCACCCTTGCGCGCGCCTTCCTGCTTCCGCTCATCGCCCCCTTTGCGCCCGCTTTCCCGCGCCTTGTCGCGACGGCGGGGGGAGGGGGACCTGCTGCGACGCCCTCTGGCCAATCAGCGACGAGGAAGTTCCCAAGGTGTGCCGAACGCACCAGAAGAGGAGCAGATGGGTATGGAGCGGTGTGGAGCGGCGAACGCACAGGCGAGAGGGAGGGGCGGAGACGAAGGGGGGATGGAGTGGGTGGAATGAAGTTAGTGCGGAAACGGTGGAATCGTGGCATGGCACTTAACTAAAAGCGGTCCAGTTTAGGCGATGGGAGGATGGGGAGGCGGAGGAAGCGGGGGGAGGGGAGGATAGGGGGGAATTGAGGAGAATTAGAATGGAGGAAGTACCGTCGAAGGGTGTATGACAGGGGACAAATGGCCGCCATTGGAAAAGAAAAATGAATCTGCAGCTCTTACAGGCACGCTGCGTTACAAGCACGATGCCTGTAATGACGAGTCTCTTACAGGCGAGCTGCAGGGAAATAGGGTCAGACACTGGCACCCTCCCAATACCGGACACGTGAGGACCGTTATAACGGGGATCACGTGGGTTTCATGCTGGGGAGAGTAGAGGCGATAACACGAGTCGAAGCGATAATAACGGAGAGAATGTCTTCCTGTGTTGGGTACTGAAGGTGCTGACGCCGCTCAAGGTCCCTGAAGGAGCTGATGACGCATAATGGAGCAGCGGATAACGAGTCCGAGCGCGGATGTAAGAAAGGAAACGAGGCGGAATGGAGGAAATTGTTCGATAACAGCATTCCCCGATAAATGTTATAAGCATGTCGACGCTCGGCAACGGAGAGCATGCGCTTTTGAGGAAGCGTGTTTATCGACGATTATGCAGGAGACGAGCACGCAGACGAGGCATGTCAGAGTCCCGACCTGCCGTAAGGCGATCTGCTTCGGCTCCGGCGGTTCCGTCGATCTTCCTTCCTGTCGTCTCGACGGTCGTCCTTCCGATCCTCTCTCCGACCCTCCTTCCGATCCTCTCTTCGATCGTCCCTTCGATCCTTGCGAGCCAATGAGGAACGAGGAGGAGGAGACCGGGAGCGAGACCGCGATTTCGATCGGACTGGAGAGGGAGACCGACGGCGCTTCCTTACTGGCGACCTCGAGCCACGTCGGCCCATTCCGTCTGAGATACCCGTTCAAAGCCTCTATTCTCTGGAAAAATAACTGATCGATATACCCGTTTAAAGTCTCTATATTCTGAGAACACTACCTTGGAAACTCGATTTCATCTGCCAAGGAGAGCAGCGACGCGAACATAATCACTTGCAACGATCACCAACATGGTAAGATTATCAGCGCGTCAGGGAACAGCCGTGGCCATGGCGGAAGATAGTGTTTGGGATGATAGTGAGGGCGTATTCTTGACTTCGGGTCATCCCGTCTTCGTGTCATCCGAATTTGTGGGATCCAATTGCAAAACTCAAATCTCAAACCGCGGGGTTTCCGATTGGCTACCACAATTTTCGGATGACCCAAACACCGGATGACCCGAAGTGAGGGAATAGTGAAACGGGCCTGGGGATTGTCACAAGTGGTTGGGTAAAACCGATGGAGTATGGTTCTGTGCAGTTTAGAACGGTTCGTGCGCTTCATCGTTCTGAACACAACCTGAACAAGTCGTTCTCGTTACAGGCTCGGTGGCGAGTGCAGCTAATTTAGGGTACAGAGTGTATGGTTCCAGTTGACCACGCCTAGTTCAGTTGTGCTCTCAATTATGCAAACTCATGCTTTGCTTTAGAAACAAGATCTGCTATCACATAACGTCCACTACAACTAGGCTAGTCAATCATCAGGTAGATAAGAAAAATTGATACCATAGCTGAACTAAAGCAACAGGCAGTTACATCCACTATGCTCCACAATGCTCCGCATAAGAGGCTGGCTGTCCACCACCTCAAGCACCTCATGCATCTGGCTGGCTTTGTGACTGCCATTTCTCATGCACAGAAATGATACAGCGCCTCATCCGTAAGGTTCTTCTACAGTGTCATGTGATCGCGGTTACAGACTCATGCTGTATGGTAGATCATTAGCGAGTCACGCTTCACGCGCCAAAGTAGCACAACTCTTCATCCATCAGGTTGTTCAGCAGCCTCATGTGGTCCTGGTTGCCAATTGCCCCGAAGCTGAAACCAAACAAACTGTCATCCACATCCTCCTCCATTCCCACGGGACCCCCTCCCCCCTGCCCCATAGTCCCCCCACCAGTGGCCCCACCATTACCATTGGTAGTGCCATTGCTGCTTGCATTGGCAGCACCACTGGTGGTACCGTTAGCTGTACCCACACCAGCAGCCGCAGCACCAGCAGACATTCCCATGGCACCGGACACCGTTCCCAAACCTGCTGCTCTGGCTTGGCCCGAACCTCCTCCTCCAGCCCCATCGTCAGTAATGGTCTCGTGGGGAGATCCCAGACTTTGCTGCTGCTGCTGCTGATGCAGCATGCCCTCTAGGTTAATCATTCCGTCCAGGTTCGGCGAATCTTCGAGGACCGAGGCGAAGAAGTCGGGGTTGCTGGCAAGAACAGCCTCGGCATCGGAAAGCGCTCTCCGTTTTGCCCCAACCGTCACTCCCCCACCGGAATTAGCAGCACTGGCGCCGTTGCTAGCAGCAGCCGCAGCAGCCACAGCAGCAGAGAGCTCTTGGAACGCTGTCTGCTGCTCATCTTCCTGCTGTTGCTGCTGCTGCAGCTGCTGGTGCAGCTGCGAAGGAAGCATGCCCAGGTTACTCCTCCCAGACCCCCCTCCAGTAGCAGTTCCGCCGCCCCTGTTACTAGATACCATGCCACCAGCAATACCACCAGCAACGCCACCAGCAATACCACTGGCTACGCCGCCAGAAATCGCGCACAAAGGGAGGTTCTGATCACTGAAGTTGCGGCGGAAGGGAGGGAGAGACGCGGCAGTGACTCGAGCCAAGGGATTTCGGGAAGCAGAGCGAGCGTTGCTGCTGCCCTCGTTTCGCTCCTCTGCCTGCACTCGCTGCTCCTGAGAGTCGTCTCTTCCTTCCAGAAACCCTTGCTGCCCCTGCTGCTGCTGCTTTGCGTCCTTCCTCCTCTGCTGCTGCTGCATCGCCTGCCCTTGCAGCATCACTTCTCGATACACGTCCTCCCCAACCCCACCAGAAGCATCAGCAGCAGTGCCAGCTCGAGCCATCCCCCCTCTCGCAGCACCAGCAGACGCTGCAGCAGCACCATTCACACCATTCACACCAGCACCAGCATTAGCAGCAGCACCGGCGTTAGCAGCAGCGGCAGCAGCTGCAGCAGTCATCATCATTCCCGCATAGTGATGCGGCGGCGGAGGCATCCCATACGGCCCCATCCCCATGTGCCCCCCTCCCATGCCCATCATATGCCCGTGCCCGTACATACCCCCGTACACGTCAGCATACCCAGGTGTGTGAGCTGGCAGGCCCAGCGCCGCGGGATACGGGAGCGGCGGAGCAGGAGGGGGAGGGCCCATGATTGGCGGATGAGGCGCGGGAATTCCCCCCATCATGTTCCCCGCGCCCATGCCCATCATATTTCCGGGACCCCCCGGGTGGTAGGTATCTCCCGGGAAGCTTCCCTGCCTGAGCAGGGACGCGTGGCGCAGGTGGTGCGGCGGCAGGAAAGGCGCCACACCGTCGGGCCCGCATGGATGCTGACGTGGCATGTGCGGGACGAAGCTTCCTGCGAACATGGTGGAAGCCGAGGAAGGGTTACCACCAGCAGCGGCGGCGTTTCTTGCCTTGCCGCTTCCGCCTGATGCTTTCGCGGCCGCGGTTGGAGGAGCGGAAGATATTGCTGACGTGGCAGGAGCAGACGGGCCTCCAGCCGTTGCCTTCTTCGGAGCTCCGGCTGTAGCACTTGCGGCGGCTGTAGCTGTGGCAGCAGCAGCAGCAGCAGCAGCAATTTTTGCAGGGGGGGCTGCAGGTGCGTTTCCGCCAACATCAGCGCGCGAATCCCCCCCAGCAGCGCCAGTCTTTCCGCCGCTTGCGCCGCCGCTGGCTCCCGCGGAGCCGGCGGAATCCCCCTCTCCCTTGCCGGTAGGGCGGAACGCGCAGCTCGCTTGGTGCAGGTTTCGCGAGGCGCGGTCCGAAAACGCGTTGCGCCACAAGTGCCGCGGGCAGCGGTCGAACGGGCACATGAAAACTCTATGCTCGGGCAGCATCTCAACCCCCGCGAGCACCGCCTCAATCGTCGGCGCCACGTCATCATCGCCTCCGGGATTCCCGGCAGTAGCATCACCGCCGTCCCCTAGAATTAACAGCTTTTCCGCATTCCCCGGCGCCTGACCCGCAGCCGTGTCAGTAGCGGCGAGATTTGCTTGGATGTGATTCGTCACCGCCGGCATCCACGACTGCGGCTCGGCTTTCATGGCGGCGGCGGGCTTTCCGCCGACGCCGACGGCGCCCGCAGCGGGGTTTTTTCCAGCCGCCGCTCCTTCCGCTGCAGCGCTCCGGTGCTGCTGCTGCTGCTGAAGTGCCTGCAGCGCTCCGGCGAGATAGTCGCCGCATCCCACGCCGCCGTTCGCGGAGATTAAGGGCGGAAGGTCGACGCGGAAGGGGTCGTATTCCGCCGCGCCGGGCGGAAGCGGCTTCCCCTGCGCGTGCAGCAGCGACGCCTCCTCCTGATCCAGCACAGCGAGCCACGTGGCACTCTCCCGCGCCGTCATCTTATCCTGCAGGCACTTGCTTTGTCGCACGAGCTTGCGAATCCGTGCGATATCCGGCGACAAGTGCTTAATCACCGACGTCAGCACACCGACCTTCCACGCCTTCTTCAAATCGTGCGGCTTCTTATAAGGAGGACGACCGCTGCCACGTGGCATCCCCAGCTGCGGCCACCAATCCTCGTCCCCGCTCGGCCACCACGGCGGCGGGTTCCCTTTTTCCAGCGGGTATCTCCGCTGCGGCGGATCGCAGTGTTGCATTAACGCGGATAGCAGCGACCCGAGTGTCGTGTCCTGTAGCTCCTGTAGCGTGCTCGGCGTGGTCAGCTGTAGCAGGCCTGCCGGCTGGTGGTCCTTCTTGCCGGCCGCTACAGCCTGCTCCGCGTTGTAGCGGGCGATGGCGGCCGGCCCGTTGCGGTCGAAGCGCACCTGATCCTTCCACCACGCGCGCAGGTTGTCGGAGCTTCCGCCTACCGGCTTGCCTTTCTCCGGGATTATCCCGTACACGAAACCCTGTAACAAGAAAATTGCGAAACGCAACGAAAATTTTGAAGGTACCAGGTCATTCTGTTACGAACGAAACGCAGCAAGGACGGGAGTTCAAACAAATTTCAGGGACTGTCGCTTTAGCATCATTAAACGGAACAGGCAGTAACGCGTACCTGGGCCTTGCAGACTTCCATCATCTTCAGCATATACTTCAGAATCCCGTCGTGCGCGCGCGACATCTTTTTCCGGCGAGCTTGATCCTGCTGCGACTGCTTCTGGCGCGGCTTAAACTCCTCCTCCTCCTCGTCGTCATCCTCCTTATTCTCCTGAGCCTCTGGAGCATCCTTAATCTTCTGGCAGTCTTTAATCCGCTTCAGCTTGAGGCGGTCCTTCCACATGCGACGTTCCAATTCGTCCACGTCAAGCTCGTCGTCGGAGAATCCGTCCAGATCAGCATCGCCGACCATTAGATCCGCCATGTCACCCATGTCGATGTGGCCGGGGAAGATTATCTCGTCGTCCACCATTACTGAATTCCGCGGAGAAGAAGCTCCCTATGTTATTATCAATTTCTAGTTTGATATAGACCTAGCGAGGAAATCCCCTCTCGGTGAGGGCACTGACCGATAAGGTGTGCTCCCTACTAAGATTGTTATAGGAGGTCCTAGCTGATGACCTGTCACAGACGCAGCACAGGGAATGTTGAATCGTGGGACGCTAGGGATATTTTCGATTCTTTGCAAAGCTGTTCTGAGCACACTAAAGACGTCGACAATCCGACCCCGCGGCGCTCGCGTTGAACATGAAAGATTCGGAAAGCGCTAAGCACGACAGGGAGCTCTTTCTGAGGGACAAACTGGTTGAGATGATCGTAAAGCATTCGCAGATCTGCTAGACTGATTGGCTCCAAAGACACAGGCGAGAAGATGGACAGGGACCGTTGCGTTTCGTTTTCACAACCACACACCTCCTCGCCCGTAACTGATGTGTATGTGTGGGAGCAAGACCTGCGAATGCGATCCGAGTTCTAATTCGGCGGAAGAAGCTACGAAAAGCCTGAAGAACTCAACCCAAGCACAGGCCAAGACAACCTGCAAGACAGTCGAGGACCTTCAGGAGGACGGGGAGGGAAGTTCTAGGCGAAGGCAAGGGCAAGGCAAACCTTGAGGCTGCCAAGCTAAAAAAACGCCGCCAAGCCCGAGGGAAGCCAAGGACGAGGGGGAAAGCTGGCAAGACGAAAAATGAGTGGTGGGAGAAATCCGCGTGATGTGAGGGTTCGGCAATATCAAGGGGCAGCTGCGGTGGATTCTGCAGAAAACAGAATCAAGAAGAGCGCAGTGGTTGGCTGTTTTGGAGGGCAGGGGTGGATGGAGGGGATGGGGAGATGCAAACGGTTCTTTCTGGGCCGTGTTTTCTTTGACAACTTGTGGGAGATCAGATTTTGATCGAAAGGTCACGGTGGGTGATGGAATGGACAGTGGGAGGTGACCGTGGAAACCATGGAAATGGAATCATAGCAGAATCGGCAGGAGCTGTGTCGAAGCAAGAAAGTGCACCACAAATCATCCCACACATTTCGTCTGCCCGTACAGTGTCATTTAAGCGGCACAACGATTCGACCCTAGGAGCAGATACACGACCGACAAAAAATCGTAACAGTGGAATGCTCAAGAAGCGGCAGTAGGCCAAGCGTCGTCGAGGTTTGCCACGTCATTAAGCATGTAAGGACCATCCACAAGGTACCTTCCAGAAGCAAGTGACGTCACCGCAACCAATCAATATCTCAATGACCAGCAGTTTGTGGTTGAAATCTCTTCCGCACACATTGTCCGGAAGGTCGCATTGCTTGTTGTCCCGTGTAAATTTTCCTTGAAACACAATCAACAACGCCTATCGATATTTGTTTTGGGGCAGCCTGGAGTGAGTGACCATATTCGTCTTGCCACTGCAGCATGCCCAGTGGTGGGGGGGGTTGGGGGGGGTTGTGGTGGTGATTTACCCTGATAAAATTTGCCCGTGAAAGCTAAATAATAACAGTTCTAGTGCTGGGTGCTAGGGAGCAGGAAACTGACAAGTAAAACATAAACAAAATATATATACAGGAGGCATTACTGAAGACTACTACCAGGTCACACATAAGTGCAACTGTTCTGTAAAATTTCAAATCCAGTACACTAGTGCAACTCACAACCAATGACTGCAACTAGGCACCGAAGTACCAGATAAGATCCTCGTCCATGAAAGGATCAAATCCAAAGTTATCCAGAATCGGAAGATTCTGCACCATCATCATCCCATCCAGCTGCCCCTGCTGCTCTCCTCCCTCCTGCCCCTCCCCTCCCCCACCCCCACCCCCATGCCCATCCCCTCCCACTGCGCCCATCACATCATGCTGCATGCCATGCTGCATGTCATGCGGCACATGTGACTGCCCGTGGGACTCATCCTGCATAGCCATAGCCATAGCCATCCCGGGATTTGCTACACTAGATGCTGCTCCCCCTTGCTCTACACCTGCATCTCCGCCTGCCCCAACCGTTTGCCCTCCCTGCTGCTGCTGGTATTGCTGCTGCATCTGAAACAGCTCATACTGCTGCTGCTGCTGCTGCTGCTGCTGCTGGTACTGCTGATACTGTTGCTGGTACTGATGCTGATCATACTGCTGCTGGGTGGGTGTATGTGGGTTCCACACCCCATGACCATGAGCATTAATATGTGCATGTGCATGGGGATGGGCATGCGGATGGGTGCTGGAATAAGGATGGGTATATCCCCCATCGTACGTACCACCACCCTCACTAGCATGCTCATTGTGTGTCTCACGCGTCTCCCCTGCTCGTAACCCCACAGCCAAGTGCAGTAACGACCATTGTCCCTCTCCCTCTGCTGCTCCCGCCACTTCCCCTCCTCCTCCTGCCCCTGCTTCCCCCCCTGCCACTATCCCAGCAGTTGCAGCCGCTTGTCCCTGCTGCTCTCCTGACTCTCCCTCTCTCGTCCCTCCTCCCTCCCTCACTCCTCTCCTCCTCCTGCTGTTGAAACTCATTCCCCTCTCTAAAGCAGCCGGTATTAGGTAATGGCTCTATCTCTTCCTCTCTCCCCTCCTCTCTCTCCCCTCCTCCCTCCCCCCCTCTCTCCCCTCCTCTTTCCCTTCTACCACTCCCTCCCTCCTCTGCCGAAGCTCGGCTGTGAGTCCTGCTACATCCCCCTTGGGATTGCTCCCTGTTCCCATCCTCCCGAACCTGCGCCTCAGGTTCGGCTCGAGCCAAGACCTCAGCTTGGGCCCGAGCCTGAGCCATGCCCCGGGCAGAGGTTGGAGACCGAGCCTGCGCCTGAGCCTGGGCAAAGGCTCGGGCATAGGCTAGGGCTTGAGCGGGAGAGAGATGGAGACGGGGGGAATGGTTATTGCGGGGGGAGATTGTGGGGCGAATGGGGGAGTTTGTGGGGGGAGTGCGGTGGGGGGAAGGGTTGTTGGGGGAAAGGGAGTGGAAGAATGGGGAGGGGGGACGGTTGGGGGAAGAAGGTGGAATAGATGTGGAGTGGAAGGGAGGTTGGTAAGGGTATTGGGGGGAAGGTTGAAAGGGGAACTGGGGGGAAGGGCGGAATGGGGAGCCAGGGAAGGGGAAGTTAGGGGAAAGGTTGTGAGGGGCGCGGGGGGAGATGGAGGAGGGGCGAGGGGAGGAAGACGATGGGTGGGGGGAAGTGAGGGAGGGGTGGGTTGATCCTGGTTGACTGTGGGAGGATGGAGGGTTGGAAGGAGGGTAGTGACTGTACTGACTTGGATGGGGGTGTGAGGGAGGGTGAAGGGAAGTGCGAGTGTGGGGTGAGATGGCACGGGGTAGGAGGTAGGGATTGGGGTGCGGCATTTGGAGGATGTGTGAGGAGTGAGTGAGTGAGTGTGATTGTGGGGGGATAGGTGTGGGGCGGAGGGGGACGGATGGGGCTGAAGCATCAGCAGTGGCATCATTACCAGCAGCAGCAGGAGCATCTGCAGGGGCCGCTGACGCAATAGCAGCAGCTTCAGCACCAGTAGAGAGAGCAGGAACAGCAGATGCAGCAGTATTTGCGGCAGGAGCAGCAGAAGCACCAGCAGCTGCAGCACCAGCAACAATTGCTCCTGCACCACCATCAGAATGAGTTAATGCGGCACCCACTTGCTCCCCTTGCTGCTCCTGGTCCCCATGCTGCTGTGATGATCTCGCCTCCTCTCCCCTGCCTTCTCCCTCCCGCCCTCCTCCTCCCCTCACAGCCTCCCTCCCACTCTGCCACGTGGCACCCTGTGATGGGCTGCGAACAACAATCTGGGGGCGTCTCGCATCAGGATACGTGTGAGAATGCTGCAGGGGAGTGTGGAGATATTGCAGCGGAGTGTGTGAGGGAGCAGGATGATGGGAGGCAGAGTGTTGGGGAGTGTGAGTTGCAGGGCCGAGGGTTCCTGCCAGGAGCTGCGTTGCAGACCCTGACAGTTCAAACTGCTGCTGCTGCTGCTGCTGCTGTTGGTGGTTGTGTTGCTGCTGCTGCTGCTGCCTCTCCCCCATTCCTGCTGCTCCCAACCCAGCCGCTGCTGCACTATCAGCAGCAACAGCAGCAGCAACAGCAGCTTGTGAAACCTCATCATCCCGGGATGTAACGCCGCCGGAAGCAGCACCAGCCACCTCCCTTTCCCCATCGTTTCCCCCATCACCTTCCCCGCCCTTCCCATCCCCGCCCAGCATCTCCCCTAAGTCCGCCTCTCCCCCTTCTAGAACTACTGACGCTGCTTGCACTACAGAAGCTGTAGCAGCAGCTGTAGCGGCAACTGTAGTGGCAGCTGTAGCAGCATCAGCAGACCCAGATGCATCAACAGTAGCGGCAGACGAAGAAGCAGCAGCAGAGGAAGCACCAGGAGCAGAAGCAACGTTCCTGGAAGCCTCAGCAGCGGTGACATCAGCAGCAGCAGAAGTGACGTCAGCAGGAATAGAGGGGGTGGATGATTCAGGGGCGACAGCAGATGGGGTTAGCCTGGTGGTGACGTCACCAGAACCAGCAGCAGCAGTAGCAGTCCCGATGGGCTGCTGTGCTTGTAACGAATGTGCTTGTATCGGATATGCTTGTAACGGGTATGCTTGCATGGGGTGGGGCTGGCCGCTAGGCCGGGAGCGAATCACCACAGGGGTAACGAGCCTAGGCGTATTGGGCAAATTAGGTCCGGTGGTACTGCGAGGTTCGGCACGAATAGGTACGGCAAGATGAGGTCCGGCAGGATGACCTCCCGGACCAAAGCTGCTGCTTAGGAGCGGGGCTCCTAGAAGCATGGGCTGGGCCACTTGGTACGGCCCCACTGCCGAGCCTTGGGGTGGAGGTTCGGCAGGGAGGTTCGGAAGCGACTGGGAGGGAATGAGGTGGTGTTGGGAATAGGGATTTGAGTGAGTGTGGAGGTGAGGAGGGAGGAGGCGAGTGTGTGGGGCGAGGAGGGGTTGAGAGTTGGCATGTGGGAGAGAGGAGGGATGTGAGGAGGGAAGTGCGGAGGGGGGTGCGGAGGAGTGAGGAGCGGGAGCAACAGAAGCACCGGCATGGGCATAAGCAGAACCATCATCAGCCATCGATTGCATCTGCATCAACGGCAGGAATAGCTGCTGCTGCTGCTGTTGCTGCTGACTAGGATGCTGGTTCGGGTGGTGGTTTGGGTGCTGATGCGGGTGCAGGAGGTACTGCTGCTGGTAAAACTGCTGGTCCGGCTGCTGGTTCGGCATTACCGTGCCTGAAGCAGAGGCTCGGTAAATCTGTTGTGCTCCTCCCTGCGACTGCCATGCCAACGAATGCACGCTCTGTATCGGAGCCTGTGGTTGCACCACCTGTGCTTGCACCACCTGTGCTTGTACCACCTGGGGTTGCACCTGAGATTGCAGCCCAGCTTGTGTTTCTGTGCCTGGTGCGCGAATCTGTGTCTCTGATTGCCCTTGCCCTTGCCCCTCTCCCTCTGCTCCCCCCTGTGCCTGTGCCTGTGCTTGTACGGGTGGGCTAGGCTGCACGGAAGTGACTAAAAGAGGGGTGACTGATCCGGGGGTGGTAGTAGAAGGTGTGGGAGGTGGAAGGGCGAGGGGGGTTGGAGCAGAGGAAGGGAGTTTGAGCAGGGAGGAATGAGACGAGCGGCGGCGAATGGAGGGAGAGGGGGCAGGAGGGGCTGCACCAGCACTGTTGGTAGCAGCAGCAGCAGCAGCAGCAGCAGCATCGGCATCAACAGAGGCAGCAGCGGCAGCAGCAGAAGCACCAGAAGCAGAAGAGGCAGCAGCAGCAGGAGCAGGAGCAGCAGGAGCAGCAGCAGCAGGAGCAGGAGTGGGAGTAGCAGCAGGGGTAGTAGCAGCTCCAGGACCAGCATCCTGATACGGGCACATAGCTTGATGGCCGTTCCGGGCAGCTCGGTCAGGAAAACCACAGCCTGCCCGGCTCCTCGGGCAGGTGGGAAACGGGCAGAAAAACGTTCGGTCGTCATCCTGTGCCGGGCCAACATCTAAGACATAGGTTCCTAGTGCATGAGCATGGGGATCGGCATGGGTATGGAAATGCGCATGTGTTTGTGGATTGGGATTGGCATGTGCATGTGCATGGGGATGGGCATAGGCGTGGGGATGCGGGAGTGCATGACCATGAGGTTGGGCATGGGTGTAATACGGATGCATGTGCATCTGCATGTGTGCATGTGCATGCGCATTTGCAGGGTGGGTGGGTGGATAGTGCTCGTGTGCGGATGCTGCTGCTGCTGCTGCTGCTGATGCTGTTGCTGCTGCTGTTGCCGCCACTGTGTTCCCTTGCTGTTGCTGCTGCTGCTGCTGTTGTTGCAGCTGCTTCTGCCGCCGCTGTCGTTCCCTCCACATGCTGTTGCATGTTTTCCCCTGCTCCTGCTGCTCCTCCTGCTGCTCCTGCTGCTCCTCCTGCTGCTCCTCCTGCTGCTCCTCCTGCTGCTCCTTTTTCTCCTGCTCCTGATGCTGCTCCTGCCCCTTCCCCCCCTGCTGCTGCTCCTGCTGCTGCTGCTGAATATGATGACGCTGATTCCAAACGTGACCCATGCACTTGACCGTTGCAACAACCACACGGGATCAGCACCTGCCCAGCACCATCTGGCACCGCACTCAACCGCACAGAACCGTCCTGCACCGTACTCAACTGCCAAGCACTGTCCCGAACCTCCCTGACCAGCTCAGCAGTCTGCACCACCACCAGCGGCCCTCCTTGCTGCCTGCCCCCATCCTCTCCCCCACTCAGCAGCATCATCATTCCCCCTTCCGCCCCTCCCCCTGTCCCCACACCCCCTCCCCCTTCCATCCCCCCAACCCCCCCAGCAGCAGCAGAAACTCCCGCCCCTGCCATTCCCCCTGCCCATGCACCCCCTGCTCCCGCCATCCCCCCTGCCCCTACCCCCGCCACTCCCCCCACTCCCGCCCCTCCCCCTCCCCCTCCTCCCGCTACCCCTACTCCCGCCATTTTTCTCTGTCTTCTCTTCTTCTGCCGCTGCCCGTCGCTGCTATACGGATCATAGTCTTCCTCTATATCCCACTCATCCCCATCATCCTCTTCTCCTCCTCCACCTCCTCCTGCTGCTGTCGCGCCATTTCCTGTTTTTCTCTGCCCGTTTTGCTGCCCGCCCGAGCTAGTCACAGCTCCGCTGCCCTCAAGATTCTGCAAGTTGTTTGCCGACCTGCCCGCGGGCAGCTCGCCGGAAGTTCTTTCCTGCCCGGTCGCGTTACCAGCACTGGCACCAGCAGCACCAACAGCAACGGTACCTAGGTCGCCGTTTTGAAGCTTGATCGCTCGCTCTTCATTATTCAGTATTGCCAGCCAAATGCTCGTCTCCTGTGCTGACATCTTATTCTGGTAACGGGGAGTGCAGTAAAGGGCACACAAGGAAGAAAATGGAGTGAGATTTGAGGTGCCTCAAGCAGTAGATAGTTCGCCGTTTTGAAGCTTTATAGCTTGATATCTTGCTCTTCGTTGTTCAGAATTGCCAGCCAAATGCTCGTCTCCTGTGCTGACATCTTATTCTGGTAACGGGGCGTGCAATAGAGGGTATTCAAGGAAGGGAATGGAATGAGGAAGGGGAGAGGGCACGTGTTAGGAGGAGTGCTACCCATCAAAAACACCCATTTGATGGAAACACCCATGCCCTCCCATCAAATGGGGAGTGCAACTGAGATGGTAGAAACGGGTTCGATCGCTGCAAGCCGCTACCATCAAACACCCATGAGAGAAAATGGGGAATGCAACTGTAGCTACCATTGAACACCCATGAGAAAAAAATGGGGAATGCAACAGAGTTGAGTTGTTCTGTTTGCCATCTCTGTTGTGACATGACAACGCGTGAATGAGACACCTCGTTGCTTCATCACCGTCGCCAGCACGGCTGCCTTGGCCACCTTCTTCAGATCATGCGGCTTGCGGTAGGGCAGAGAAGGAGAGAAAGAGGGAGCATACCTGCAGGCAGGCAGGCAGGCAGGCGCGTACCTGTAAACCCTTGTTCTGCCGAATCAGTCGTCTAATCTTCGGCACATCCGGCAGCATGTGTTTGATCACCGTCGCCAGCACGGCTGCCTTGGCCACCTTCTTCAGATCATGCGGCTTGCAGTGTAACAGAGAGCTAGGGAGAGCGTTGCAGAGAGCGAGAAGGAGAGAGCGAGGAAGCATACCTGTAACCCCTTGTTCTGCCGTATCAGCCTTCTAATCTTGGGAACATCGGGCAGCATGTGCTTTATAACCGTCGCCAGCACGGCCGCTTTGGCCACCTTCTTCAGATCATGCGGCTTGCGGTAGGGCGGCAGGCCCGAGTCCCCCCCACCGCCCGGACTCGTGATTTGATTCAGCCCCAGCCCCTGGGAGAGAGCGCCCCACCAGGGCTCGTTGCCCGACGGCCACCAGGGGGGAGCGACTCCCTTGTCTAGCGGAAATTTGCGTTGAGGAGGAGAGCAGTGCTGGGATGGGATGGGGGGGCAGAGGGGAGCTTGGGGTTCTTGAGAAAGGGGAAAGGGGAAAGGGGAGGTCGTGACCTGATTCAGCACCAACCCCTGGGAGAGAGCGCCCCACCAGGGCTCGTTGCCTGATGGCCACCACGGAGGTGCGACTCCCTTATCCAGAGGAAATTTCCGTTGAGGAGGGGAGCAGTGCTGGGATGGGGGGAAAGGGGAAAGAGGAGAGCGTGATTTGGTTCAGCATCAGCCCCTGGGAGAGAGCGCCCCACCAGGGCTCGTTGCCTGACGGCCACCAGGGGGGTGCGACTCCCTTGTCTAGGGGGAATTTTCGTTGAGGAGGGGAGCAGTGCTGGGATGTGGGGAGGAAGAGGACAAGGCAGGAAGAGTGGGGGTAAGGTCGAGGAGAAGGGAGCTGGAGGATTCAGCACGAGCCCCTGGGAGAGAGCGCCCCACCAGGGCTCGTTGCCTGACGGCCACCAGGGGGGAGCGACTCCTTTATCCAGAGGAAATTTGCGCTGAGGAGGGGAGCAGTGCTGGTATGGGATGGGGGGGCAGAGGGGAGTTTGGGGGCGAAGAGGGGTTGTTTGTTAAGAAAGGGGAAAGGGGAAAGGAGAGGGCGTGATCTGATTCAGCCCGAGCCCTTGGGAGAGAGCGCCCCACCAGGGCTCGTTGCCTGACGGCCACCAGGGGGGAGCGACTCCTTTGTCTTGAGGAAATTTTCGTTGAGGAGGGGAGCAGTGCTGGGATGGGGGGAGGGGGGGGTTGGGGAGATGGAGGTGGGGGGAGGGTAAGGGTCAGGGGAGTGGAAGTGGGAGAGAGAGGGCTACCAGGGGGGCTGCGCCCTTGCCCACCAGGGGATGCAGTGATTTGATTCAGCCCGAGCCCTTGGGAGAGAGCGCCCCACCAGGGCTCGTTGCCTGACGGCCACCAGGGGGGGGCTACTCCCTTATCTAGCGGAAATTTACGCTGGGGGGGAGAGCAGTGCTGGTACGGGGGAAATGGGAAGGGGGAGACGAGGGCGTGTTGGCAAAGCGGAAAGCGGAGGGCGAGATCTGATTCAGTCCCAGCCCCTGAGAGAGAGCGCCCCACCAGGGCTCGTTGCCTGATGGCCACCAGGGGGGAGCGACTCCTTTGTCTAGAGGAAATTTTCGTTGAGGAGGGGAGCAGTGCTGGGATGGGGGGAAAGGTGAGTGGGGTGGGGACGACGGATCAGAGGAAACATCCTTTCACCCTCTCACCCTTTCACCCCCTCACACCCTCACCTGCATCAGAGCCGACAGCAGTGACCCAAGCGTCGTATCCTGCAGCTCAAGCAGCGAGTGCAGAGGCATGATACCCTGACCTTCCTGCTCCTCTCCTCACCATTCCTAACCAAAACTTCACAACCTCACCTGCATGAGAGCAGACAGCAGCGACCCCAGCGTCGTATCCTGCAGCTCCAGCAGCGAGTGCAGAGGCATGCACGTGGGCGCCAGTCCCCCTGCACCTCCCCCGCCCTCCCCTCCCCCTGCGCCTCCCCCCATGGCCGCCGCTCGTTCCGCCTCAAACTTAGCCAGAGCTGCCGGGCGTTCTTGTCGAACCGAACCTTGTCCTTCACCCCTTCCCACCCTTCTCACCCACCCTTTCGCCCTTCCTCCCCCTCACCTGCATTAAAGCCGATAGCAGAGACCCCAGCGTTGTATCTTGAAGTTCCAGCAGCGAGTGCAGAGGCATGCACGTGGGCGCGAGTCCCCCTGCGCCTCCCCCGCCCTCCCCTCCCCCTGCGCCTCCCCCCATGGCCGCCGCCCGTACCGCCTCAAACTTCGCCAGTGCCGCCGGTCCGTTCTTGTCGAACCTAACCTTGTCCCTCACCCTTTCCAACCTTCCCACCTTTCCCACCCTTTCACCCTTTCACCCCCTCACCTGCATTAAAGCCGACAGCAGAGACCCCAGCGTGGTATCTTGAAGTTCCAGCAGCGAGTGCAGAGGCATGCACGTGGGCGCCAGTCCCCCCGCGCCTCCCCCGCCCTCCCCTCCCCCTGCGCCTCCCCCCATCGCCGCCGCTCGTTCCGCCTCGAATTTCGCCAGAGCTGCCGGTCCGTTCTTGTCGAACCGAACCTTGTCCTTCACCCTTTCCAACCTTCCCACCTTTCCCACCCTTTCACCCTTCCTCCCCCTCACCTGCATTAAAGCCGATAGCAGAGAACCCAGCGTCGTATCCTGCAGCTCAAGCAGCGAGTGCAGCGGCATGCACGTGGGCGCCAATCCTCCTCCCCCTCCCCCGCCCTCCCCTCCCCCTGCGCCTCCCCCCATTGCTGCCGCCCGTTCCGCCTCGAATTTCGCCAGTGCTGCGGGGCCGTTCTTGTCGAACCGAACCTTGTCCTTCCACCAGGCTCGGAGGTTGTCGGAGCTGCCCCCAACCGGCTTGCCAGCCTCGGGAATGACGCCGTACACGAAGCCTCGCGCGTGGCAGAGCTCCATCATGCGCAGCATGTGCTTCAGGATTCCATCTTGGGCTCGTGCCATGCGCTTGCGCATCGCGGGTTCCTGATGCAGGGGCGGAGGTTGATTGCAGGCACACAGAGAAGTATAAGGGGGTCAGCATGACTGCGCGCGTGGCAGAGCTCCATCATTCGCAGTATGTGTTTGAGAATGCCGTCCTGTGCGCGAGCCATGCGCTTCCGCATTGCTGGTTCCTGGTGCAGGGGCGGGGGTTGATTGCAGACACACAGAGAAGAGAGGCATAAGGGGGTCAGCATGACTGCGCGCGTGGCAGAGCTCCATCTTTCGCAGCATGTGCTTCAGGATGTCGTCTTGCGCCCGTGCCATGCGCTTGCGCATCGCTGGTTCCTGGGGGGTTAGGAGGGGCGGGGATGGTGTGAGAGGCACACAGAGAGGCGTGAGAGCGGGCAGTGAGGCCTCTGCTCATGCCTCTGTGCCACGTGCTTGCACATCACTGGTTCCTGCAGGTTCGATGGTGGTGGTGGCAAGGGCGGGGATGGAAACGTGCATGAGTTCGCTCTAAACCAGGTGGCTTGTGGGTTGACTCTCAATTCCCCTCACCTCCTCGTTTCCTATAGCTTACACAATTCCGGCACCACCCACTGCCTGATTCCCTCTCCAGCTGTTTTGGCAGCCTTCGTTCAAGTTACCTCTCTAACCCAGGTGACTCGTAAATCGACTCAGTAGTAACCTCTCCTCCTAAGCCCTCTCTCCTCCTCTTGCCCCTAGCATACCCAATCCTGACACCACCACTGCCCGACTTATCCCGCGTGGCTTGTGAGTTGACTGACAAGTCTCTCTCCTCCTCTTGCCACTGTAGCTTACTCGAACCCAGCACCACTACTGCCCGATTGATCCCCAATCACTGAAGCAGATCCGGATAGCCGGGTGAGTCTGTATAAAGCAGAATCACCGAAACGCCTGTAGAAGTCGTTCTGACTCGGTTCTGAGGTATTGAAGCTGATCCTGACAAACAGATAAGCCTCGATGACGCAAAATCTTCGAGCTGCCTCGAGAAGTCATCTTGACTCGGATATTGGAGCACGAAAGCCGATCCAAACACGCTCAAGCTGATCCTGACTGAAAGGTAAGACTGGATAAGATCGAATCTCCGAGCTGCCTACAGAAGTCATTCTGACTCGGTTACTGAAGCACGGGAGCCGATCCAAACAACACGGTACGACGCCACTTTTTCGAATTCGCAAAAGCGCACCGAAGCTGATTCTGCCAGAAAGGTAAGCCTGGATAGTATCCAATCGCTGAGCCGCCTGTAGAAGTTGCTCTGTGACTGAGGCACTGAAGCCAATCAAGACAGCACGGGAAGCCTGCACAATAACATGTGTCGAATGACCTTGTAACGAGGTAGAACTGCAGAACCGGATCAGAAGGACCAAGTATCTGTCTAGTTCTTCTTGTGTCAAGGGCCCGAGACATGATCACTTGACAGGAGATCAACTAAACGCACCCTAACTTCGCCACTCAACTTCAAGGTTGCGCTTTTGGCCTCTTTTTCCTCGTAAACGATCGGCTAAGATGAGCAACTGAAATAATTACAACTGTAAGCAACTGCCAGGGAGCTTAAAAACCCGGGTCCCAAATCGCTCGGCCTGAGTCGTGCCCCAAATCCCGTAGTTTGGAATATCGGGGCTTTAATCACCCACAGGGTACTACTAACCGCCCAGGCCTTACCAAAGCCATGAAAATCAGTGGTAAGAGCTGATAGGCGTAACAAGGGAGGGAGGGGAGGAGGAGAGAGAAGAGAGGGTAGATCGAGAGAGTGAGAACGCTGTGGGATACTAATAGCCCAGGCCTTACCGAAACCATTACAATCAGGGGTAAGAGCTGATAGGCGAGGAGGGAGGGAGGGGAGGAGGAGGGAGAAGAGAGGGTAGATCTACAGAGTGAGAACGCTGTGGGATACTTATAGCCAAAGCCTTACCAAAGCCATTACAATCACTGGTAAGAGCTGATAGTCGTAAGAAAGGAGGAAAGGGGAGGGGAGGGGGGAGGGGAGGGGGGAGGGAGGTGGGAGGGAGGTGGGACGGAAGGCAGGAGGAGAGGGAAGGCAGGAGAGAGGGAAGGCAGGCCGAAAGGGAAGGCAGGCGGAGAGGGAAGGCAGGAGGAGAGGGAAGAGAGGGTAGATCGCAAAAGTGAGAAAGCTATGAGGTATCTGGCCAAGTTGGAGGCTTGGCCGGTTTTTTAAAAGGCTCAAAGTAGTCTGTAGGGTATTTGAGCAATATGGTGACTCGGCCGTCCTATGAGTAGACTCAGAGAAGGCTATGGGGTATCTGGCCAAGATGCTACCTTGGCCGATCCGTGGGGTATTTGACTCAAGACGGTGGCATGGAAGCAGGCTTTTAGGAGGAAACTGGTAGCAGGGCTACCTACCACTATTTCATCTACTATACCTGGTAAGTGCGGTGATAGTATCACTACCTGAAGCTTTTTCTGCCTTGCCCGTTGAGCCTCTTCTTTAGCCTTGCGCATTTCCTTCAGGCGTTGCAACTTAAACTGGTCCCGCTGCACCCGCTTCTCCAGCTCGTCTATATCCATCTCATCGTCACTTAGTCCCTCATCCTCCGCCTCCTCCTCCCCCTCCCCCGCCGAGTTCCCCCGCTCGTCCGCCATCGCCAGAAGCCTCCCCGCGGACCCTGCGCCGTCCCCCCCGTTAGCAACTGCTCCGCCCGGTTTTGCGCCCCTTATTATCCCTTCTACTGCAGGGTGAACTGCGGTTTCGCCCATGTCCTCACCCTCGTCATCATCTCCCCGCGGCCGGGTCATCAGCTGCCGCTGAGGCCTGAAAGATTCTAGCAACCCACTCTTAACTAAGTGCGTGGTTGTGAATGGCCGGCCTATATTGTACGAACCAGGAGATTTAAGCACAGAAAAAGTATACACTCGTAAACAGCTTCTCTGCAGCGTGATCTAGTCTTGCCGTTGTAATCCTGACTCAGTATTCTTGATGTTCGCAGCTACCACTGCAAAGTAGTCGATCTCTCCCCGCACTTTACGCTGCTAAGCCTTATTTAAGCCTTAAAATGCGACACCGGCTGTGCGATCTGGCAAACCCATCAAGCGACGGTCGCTTGTGTCGCACGAACTTAAGTCTAACTGAGGTATACCGTCGCTCAGTCCTACTTCCATTTGCCGACGGCGCGAGACACACCCTGGCGGATCTGTTTCCCGCGCAGTTCTGTGATACGTATGCTTCTCTCCTTCTTTACCGCTAGCGCGATGCCTTGAACCTTACGAACCACCAACCAACCAATCAACAGCTGTCAACAGTCCGACTTTCGGGCCTTTGAAAGGCTTCTGTTGCGCGAACAGCCGCAGCTCGCGGGAGGAGGAAACGGAACTGTAGCTGACAATTCTTCCAACTACCAGTGCTAAGGAGCCTGAAATCCCGCCGCAACTTGACGACTTACGACTACAGTACGCCGTCGATCATTTCGCTTAGTTTCATCTCATCTCATCCTTCCCTGAAGCTGATCAGCATGATCGATTGTCGGGAAAACTTGACGGAAAATCTTCCGTCCTGAGGGTGGCTCATGGTGAAAACGCGAGTCGCCGCTGCGCAGTTCATGAACGCTACACCGAGGCGGAAGCAGCCTATCCGAACGGGGGAGCTAAGGCGGAAAGCTCCGCTCCGATAGCGGAAGGTTTTGCGCGCGAAGGACGAAATGATCAAGCAATTCACGAAAGGCTGCAGAGAACGATCCAGCGCAAGCGAAAAGCATCCCGCAGGAGGCGGGATCGACAGAAGCAGGCAGCTCCTGTTTCGATTGGGTTCCACCCAAGTGGCGGAACCTCGGGAACTGCGCGACGGGAGGACACGGAAACGGAACTGTACAGTTGTCCGTAGCAAGCAGCAATTCGAACGAAAGCTGGAGCCTCGAGCTTGACGAACGGGACGAAGCACGAGATTCAGCACTGAGGGCGAGCTTTGAATGTTCGTTGACAAAAAGACAGACGTCGGTTCAGTATGGTGTGCAATGGTCTCAAGCGGTGAAAATCAACCTTTGGTCCCAACCGCTCTATAACGTCCTCCACCGCGCTAAACGTTCACCAAACGACTCACCTGTTGGTTGGTGTAATGTGAACCCAAGGTTTTGTGAATTCCAGGGCTTTCTGGCATTTTTCGTGAGGAGTCGTGCTTCATTCACAGTACAAACCTGATTACACACGATGCCCGTTTGACTAACCCAAGGTTGCCTTGTGAAGAGGGCTCTTAAGTGATTCTTGCATTTCGCTAAGCTTTCGTCAATTCGCACTTAGCAAAAAGGGCTTTTAAAAGATTTTGTAACTCGCTGTTGACCGTTTGACATGGGTCTCTTCTGTCAAACTTCGGTTTTTGTGGTTCGTATTGCTCGAGGTGCTTGTAAATGGGGTGCAACTGGCTGGTACCCTAATACACGGGTGCAGAGTTTCCATCGTGGAGAGGGCAAATTCGCGTGCAGGGGTTGGGCATCTTGTGTAGCGGCTTTTTCTCGGGCGACGCAGCCTTCTGGGTGAGTGAGATCAACGCACGCGAGGCTTCTGCTGGGCACACCGCCACGGACGAACGGCGACGATTTGCGGCGGGAAAAAGCGTTCTCGCTTGTTTCCCGAGCAAATGTGACGACCAATGGCAAGTGGCAAATGGTTTGTTCAGAAATTAGGGCCCGCCAAATCAAGGTTCTGGTAAAACACACAAACCAAGCCGCTTGGTAGAATGCTGAAAGAAATGACTGGCTAGACAATCGGGCAGCTGAGTGTTTCAGCAGCCCCCTCGCAACCTTCCATGATGGGGATTGGCGGACGAGGCTGTCTGCATGCAAAGAATCCGTGACCACGAGGATGGGCAGATTCATTCCCTTGAAACCCGAGCGAGGCGAGTGCGTGGTCAGGGTTCGTTGAGTCTTGACAGCGTAAAGGTAAAGGTTGTCTTTGTGCCGCACCGCCATTGCAGCGCTGAGCTGTCTAAATGCAATGTTCCCGAGAATCTGGTGGTGAAAGGATGATGTTGGTTGCGACACAAGCTAACTCACGAGTCAACCTTGGTTGGACATCCTAGCTCGTGATAACAATAACGATGCATACAGAGAATCCGTTCAATATGATGGACCCATTAGATGGAAGAAATAGGAAGCGTTGAGTTTTAACATGTCAACAGTAAACTTTTTACGTTATTATTACGCGTCAATATGACAGGTATACTTGAATCCCACTTTACATTTCCAAGAGCCAACCTGCTCAGGTTTCTGAGTTCATAACTTCTACATATGGAATCCATGTAGTACTAAATGGTTCTGTCTACAGTCTCAGTGCTCTGGTCTCCATTTTATTCTTCCGGCAGCCTCTACAAGCACGTCGTCTTCTGTCCCTCTCTCTTCTCTGCTTGGATCCATCGCTATAAGCATACCACCTATCGACAACACCGAGGTTCTCTCTTCCCAACTCAACACCCACCACTCCTCTTCCTCCTCCCAGACCGACATTCAGTCTATACGCCAAACCTTTCGGCTGGTTATGTGTTCTAAACCCCTGGCCGTCAGACATAGACTCGAGATGCTGCTGAACATATGGAGCCAATTAACGTGCACGGGGACTCTTGCCGGTTCTAATTTTTATGGTTGCTAGCCTCAACCGGGTTGTGCTTCATGCTGCCTGAACTCGCATTTATGCGGGACTCTTTTCTTGCCGTGTCTCGCGTTCTGCGGCTGCAATCTCGGATGGTGAGTTCTGATGTTCAGTAGACGTTTCTGCTGTTTGCAACGGTCGCAGGAACAACGTCGAACAATTCTTCGCATTTATTGTACTTTCCTGTATTTTCCAACATTATACAGCCTATTGAGGCTGTTTTTTACCCTTCATTGATTTTTTGCGTCATTTGTGAAGGCGTTTCTACTTGCACCTCTCCGGTCGGAATTTCAAGTTACTTTCGGCTGATCTTGCCAAACCGCCTGATCTTGTCGAACATAACGATACGTTGCTGATCAGATCGTCAAGCAGAGAGAGTGTACGGCTTCCAGGTATGTGCTTTTTGCAGGGAGTCTCTTTGTTAGTGTTTTTTTCCTCCAGCTTGCTTCCCGATGCTGTCGCTTTCTTTTATTTTCGAGCTCCGCCGGTTGTCTTCCTCTTTTTTTATTCCGCGACATGCTCCTTCGATCTCCCCCTCCTGCCTCCTCCCCCCCCACCCCCCCCCCCCCAACCACCCCAATACACTCCTGGCCCACCTCCCCACCTCAAACCCCTTACACCCTCCCTCGCATTTCGTCTTCTGATACTGCACTCCTGAATCCGTCGGTCAAGGGTGCCTGCCTCCGACCTTTCTTTCGCGTTTTTTTTCCTTTTTAGATTTTGATCGCCTCTGTGATTATGCAACATGTTATTAGCTCTAGCTGATTAGCCGTGATGAGCAAAACTAGATATCCATCGGATGAGAGGCGCAATATTCTCCATACTTTTTCCTTTCTGGGAAAAGCAGAGGGTTTGAGTTGGGGGCTTTCGCGCCGGCGTCCCTCTGGGATTGCACGTGCGCATTGCCCGTTCTGCTGCTGCTCGCCTTCTCGCCGGTGGTAACCACCGTACGGAAGACTTCGCAGCAGCAGCAGATTAGCCAGCGAGGATCCCCACCCTCCCGTCATCCCCAGGGAGACTAGCCTGAAGCCGCGCATGTGCTTGCATTCGTGCATGTATGTGCTGGCTTCAGTGGTTTTGTCCCTCTGTGCCCTCTCCTTGCTGCCTTCGGGTGGCTTGTGGCTTGCCGGACGGGGGATCAGCCACACATTTCTGTTAATTTCACATTACACCCTTTTTTACTCGCCTCATTGTTTCCAAACTTGCCATCTTTTGTCGATACACTTAGTTTCATGTGATGAGACCAATGATTAGATTACAGTTTCAATTAACCATCTTTCGGGACATACAGGGCTAACCACCCTCCTGATGATAGCAGCTGACGAATGAGGTCTCAACACGCGCAATTCTTTTACCGTATTCTTTTGCCACCAGTCTTCTGTTCGTGCTATTGTCGTTGTTATGCATTTCTTTCTGGTTTCCATGGTTCCTCCAATCATTCTGGTGCGACTCCTCGTCCCCCCGTTATCATCTGGTTTTTCGTCAGATGGCATAACTCGCTGGTGGCAATGTGGCGGATGCTAGGCTGACGTGGCGGATCCATTGCAATTAATCAGTGACCGTCAACACCAGTCGACGCTGAGGTGGCGCGAGACACATCTCTTGACACGTGGAAAGTCTGCACATCCGTGCACCCTCCCCAACAGACCAATGCTCAATGCTCTAGGTAAGTTCCGTCTCTACACCTTGTTGCTGCGGGTAAGATCCATGCGTACACTCTTTAGGTGTGGGGGTGAGCTCTCTTTAGGGTTTCATGTATTTCCAGGGAGTGATGTCTCAGGTACTGGCCGTCAGTCCAAATGTTACAGTAGCAGCGTCTGACAGGAATCATGATTTCCTATTGCCACCTTTCGTCTTTAAAGGCCTCCACGATTACATCTTTGCAACCATCCAAAGCAACGTCTGGTCATCCAGGCTGCTAATGCGGTGTGATAGATCAATAACATGAGAGGCCTCCAGCTCTTTCAATCTCTTCCCTGATGTTGCTAGCCTCGTTAAGGTGCGGGCGGGCTGTCTTGATTGTGGTAGAAAATTGGTGAGGTGGCGAAGGGGTGGATAAGGAGTGCTGTGGAGAGGAGAAGGCTTGGAGAGGCTTGGAGATGAGTCTGTCTGCGTGGGGGACATGGGAGTCATATGGTTTATGTCTATCTGCCAGCGTCTTTTTGCGGGTTTCTCCCTTTCGTGCTTCGTGCCGCCTCTGTGATTATGAAAAATGTTATTAGCTCTAGCTGACTTGCCGTGATGAGCAAAATTAGATATCCATCGGATGAGAGGCGCTACATGGTTTTGGCTCTTGTGTCCCTTGCTCTTCACTCACTTAATTTTATCCTAGTTTTACACTAGTCCTCGTTTTGCTCTTTTCTCTATTCTGTATCCCTGCTTTACATTTCTGGGAATGTCCGTGACTGAGACCAATGATTAGATTACAGTTTCAATTAACCATCTTTCGGGACATAGTGAGGGTTCCACCCTCCTGATGATGTTAGCTGACAAATGAGGTCTCATCTTTTGTGATAAATGTGGTCTTGTAATTGGGCTACCAGTTCCATTGTACTGGCAATATTTTTACCTCTGCATGCAGCCTCATGAAGTCTGTATGCACTGTTGAGTCTGTCACGTCTTCATTGTCTCCTCCTGTCCCCCCCACTCCCCCCCTGCCTTCTCCCCTCCTCTGTTGTCCAGCATGCAGGGCTGTTGGAGGTTATGATTAGTGACAACATGGAATGTACCGTATCTGTTATTTTGCTAAGGTCGAGGTGCCTGTATGTTGTGACAAGCCCTGTATCCTCCTAACCCTGAAGTTATACTTACCAAGAGATACATCTCAACAAAAACAATAAACCCCCTAGGAAATGGAATCTGGTCAGGGATGCACCAAACCTTAACACCTGGGGCTGCACTGGAATACCGTATCTGCCAGCAGATTGAAGTTTCCTGGGAAATCATCTGAGTCATGTCAGGGAATCCCATTAGTCTTCAGGTTGGTACTATGGCAAAATATCATCTGTATTTGTTTTTTTTTTTTTGTGACGTGAACATCATGGCACGTATACAATTTATGCAGTCCATCTATTAGCGGTTTCAAAACGAGCTGCACCTCGAACCACACTTGCGCACCCCCCACATTCACACAATCCCGCTGACAAGCGGCATGATGACCTGGCGGCAAAATCCCCGAACCTCGAAGGTGCTTGATTTTTCGCGGATCATTGCCGCGTCCCATCACCTGCCCCGAAGGTGCTCCTGGGTGGCAACCTGCGGCTCCCGCCTCTGCTCGAACCTGTGGGACTTGCAGACTCGGCCTGGCCAAACCATGAACAGCTGGCTAAAGGGTAGACACGCCAGAAGTTGCTGGCTCGGCTTCACAACGCGCAAATGCATGCTTAGTAAAGCGCGTTGTTTAGCACTGTTTGGGGTGCTAGGCTTACGTGTCCAAGGCGAAGTTTTGTTTTATCACGCGGCCCTGCCAGGTGGCTTGGATTCCTCGTTGGCCACTGGGCCAGCTAGATTGGTTGGGTTTGGCTGGGAGAACACAACACAGCTCTGAGTGTACAGTACAGTACACTCGATTGCGAGTGAACGAAAGTGGAATCCCACGTTTTCCGGTAACGGTTTTTGGACGTGTATATTTTCTTGTGGCGCGAGTTACGTTGACTCAGTCTACGCGCGGGTCTCCTCCTACGAAGCCCACTCTCACCACACATCGCGACTCGAAACAAGGACAGAGCATCGCCGTTCGATCGTCGAACGATACACACCTTGTAAGCGCACACGAATCGTCGGATTGGAACGTGAGGAAAGAGCGCTCGCTTCCCTCACAGCTCGGCAACATACACCTTAGGGGTTGACCGTCAACGGAGAGACATAAATCATTCTCTCCTCTCATTCCAACCACACCAACGTGGGTTCTTCGAGAGTTTTTCTCACCAAACCCGGCAAGCAAGAAGCCGACCATCCGTGTTGTGAAATCCCTCCGTAGCCCACGACCTCGGGGTTGACGAGAGTCTTCTTCTAGGCTAGCAAGCAAGCAAGCTCCCCCCAAACCAACCCAACCCAACCCAAACCTATCTCAACTCCGCGCCGAAAGCAAGCCAGCGCAGCACACGAAACCCTATCTGCCCATGTCCTCCGCCATAGCGTGCCCGTGGAGTCCTCACATGGACCAACACCAGCACAACCAGCAGCCAGGAACCCTTGCACCCAGATCAGCAGCAGTTTCGCCTTCCTCCAGCCCACAGATCCTCTCCCACGAGTGAAAGCCCGTTCACGTGGCCCTTACCTCCCGCGCTAGATTTACCGCCCACTGACGAGTTTCTTCCCGACGAGGCTTCTCCGTGCTGGATTTGGGCTCAGCAGCAGCCATCAATCCCCGCCGCAGTTTCCGCCGCGACGGCCGCTGCCGCGCAGTCTGGCTCAGCGCCAGCCATGGCGACTGCAGTAGCGACACAAGCCACGTGGGAGACCACTCCCGCCGCCAACTGCGGCGCAGCTAATGGGTTCCGACCTACCGCAGACGCTGCCGTGCCCGCCGCCTCCGCCTCCCACTGCGCTTCTTCCGGAGTAAGCTTCCCCGCAACCCCCGCTTCCCCTTCGTCCGCATCCGCTCCTGCCGCCACCACTACCCTTCCGCCACCCGCTTCCGCCGGCTCCGCCGTCCCCGCGCCGTCCCCGCCGTCCCTCCCCGTGGCGCAACTGGAAGAGCTCCTTCTCGACGACTGCGGAGTCCTCGAGATCTCCATCCCGCAGCGCCGCTTCCCCTCATCCTTTCCCCCATCCTTCCTCTCATCCGCGGCCACGGGGAGCCTCGCGTCAACCCTCCCCACCGCGGGGACCCTCCCCTCCGCGGGGACCCCCTCCGCCGCAACTCCCGCGGATCTGCGCGAGCAGGGGTTGAACCTCTTCGCCAGCCTCCTTCCGCTTCTCTACACTCCGCGCTGCGCCGCCACCGCCGCCATCGCCGCTTCCCCCGCGGGGGAGAAGCTCAAGCGCGCGCTCGCGTCGTCTCCGGCGGCTGCCGGCATGTTCGAGGCTTTCGCCAACCGGCCGCAACCGTCCCCCGCGCCGCTCGCGTCGCCGATGCTTTTTGAGCAGTTTCAGCAGCAGATGCAGCAATGGCCCGCGCCGCAGGTGGAGCAACAGGAGCAGTCCGAGCCGCAGGTGTCGGAGTCGATCGCCGCGCCGCAGACCGACGAGGATATGGACGAGGCGCTTCCGGAAATCGAGAGCCCGAACAGCGTCGACGTGACCTCGCCGCACCGCGACTTTGACGACAGCGGCCTTGACGAGCCGCCGAGTTCCGCCGCAGCCGCCGCCGCCGCCGCTACCGGCCCTGCCGCCGCTGTCCCCGCTCCGGCCTCCGTCGCTCCCGTCCCGTTCGCCCCCGCCAATCCGACCGTTGAGAACGCTGCCGCTTCCGCCTCTGTCCCTCTCGACGCTCCCGCCGCTACAATCGCCGCGAAACTTGAACCGGTTTCCACGGAGGAGGCGGGAACAGCAGCGGCTTCTCCGGCGGCGCCTGCTGCCGAGCCGCTGGATGACGGTTACTTTTGGCGCAAGTACGGGCAGAAGGCGGCGAAGGGCGCGGCGTATCCGCGCGCGTATTTCCGCTGCGCCGTTCCCCGCTGCCCGGCTAAAAAGACGGTCGAGCGTTCGTCCGAAGACGGCAGCACGATGGAGATCGTTTACCGCGAGGAGCACAACCATCCACGTGGCACTCTCCCCGGCCGCCGCGCGTCCCCCGCGTCGCAGGGCGGGGCGGGAGGGGCGCGCGTTTTAGTGACTGAGGATATGGGCGGGTTTGGCAGCGGCGGAAGCGGAATCCCGCCTTCCCCGGTCAAGCCGCATCAGGCGCAGCCACAGCAGCAGCAGGCGCAGAACCAGGTTCCTTCCGCCGCTTCCCCCGCCTTCCCCGCATCCGCGGATCCCGCCGCCGCATCCGCCGCAGCGGGGCTCGCGCTGCTGGAGAGTCTGAGCACGGAGGATCTCGCGCGCCTCGTCTCCGCGCTCTCCTCCGACGCGATGGCCGCCGCCACCGCTGTGCTCGAAGCGGCGGTCGCCGCCGGCGTGATGGACAGCAGCCGCCGCCGCCGCCGCCGCCGCCACCGCCGCCGCAGCCGGGGAAGCCGCCAACGCGCGTCCCGCGTCTCCGCAGGTGTATTCTCCCGCCGATCTCGCGGCCGCTGCTGTGAACGCCACCGCTGTTGTTACCGCCGCGACCGCCGCTGCTGAGGTGGCGCGCGGGCATATGATCCGATCCGCGTCGGACAAGGGAGCTCCGGAAGCAGCGGCAGGTTTGGCAGCAGGCTCGGCAGACGCTGGCGCGGTTCTTTTCCGGTCCGTATCGGCTCCTAAGGAGGAGTGCGATGATCAATCCTCCTCCGGGAATACCGGCGGAATTGCAGGATTCTCTAGCGGTGCCCTTGCTGCTGTAGCTGCTCTCACGCGCGGATCGTCCTTAGCCGTCGAACCGTCAACTTGCAGCACGGGAAGCGCCGGTAGCACGGGTAGCCGTCAAAAGCGCCGGTCGATGGAAGAAATTGACACCACGTTCAGCCCATCTTCCCCGAGCCTTCACTCTGCGAAAGGTAACTTTTCCGGAAGCATTTCGCCTGCTGGGGGGAACGGCGGCCGGGGAAAAAGGATGCGCACTGGGGGGGGCTCTGGCGGAAGGGGCAGCGGGGGGCGCGGAAGCGGAAGCGGAAGCGGGGGAGGAAACGCAGACGGACAAACGGTTACGATGACGGTTGTGCAGGTGGAGGGAACCGGCCGGGATGTGGTTGGCGACGTGGAGGATGGTTACCGCTGGCGAAAGTACGGTCAGAAGGCGATAAAAGCGAGTCCTTACGAAAGAAGTTATTTCAGGTGTAGCAAGGATGGTTGCGGAGCGAGGCGAGTTATCGAACGCTGCCCGGAACAACCTGAAGATGAGAGTGTAGCTGCGACTCACACGAATCTGCTTGTGACTTATATCGGGGTGCATTCTCACGCGCGGCCGTTCCGAGCCAAGGTTATCTACAAGCCGGTTTCGGACGCTTCACAGGAACCTCCCTCGGAGGAGAAACCCTCTGCTGACGTGGCTCAAACGGGTCTGACCGAGGCTGAAGCAGGGGGAAATGCTGACGCGAGTGGAGATGCTACGTGGGTTGCTGGTGGTTCGGGCGCTGCTGCAGACATGCAGATGGCGATGCCGCATCTCAGGGATTTGAAGATCGAAGATTTTGGTGACCTGCCCACGCTGTGGTGAGGCGTGAAGAAGGAAACATTGGGGTTATAAAGGATTCGCTCATAACGCAGCAGCGGCTGAGAGAGGAGGGGAGGGGAACTACCTATCGGGAGGGGAGCGAGGGGAGTCTACTGAAGAGACGGAGTCTCACTCTATCGGGTGTGCTTTTAGGTCAAGGTTTGTACAGCCTTCCATCCATCCACCCGCTCTGGTTGTGGGGACGGATGGCAGGCTGTACCCCTTATAGGGTTGCTCGTTTCCTGGCTTGTACAGCCTTCCATCCATCCGCCTGCTCACTATGGGGACGGATGGCTGGCTGTACTGTACCCGTTTCACTTTCTTGTGCTTACCTTGTGTGTCTTTGTTTTAATGCGCATAACTTATCCTTTTGCTCACAAAGCTGTATGGAGGAGGATGCAACAGAGCTAAGATGCCGTGTAGAGCGTACCGGTAGATATACATTTTGGAAGGCTGGAACCCATAGGCCATCTTGCATTGGGTGCGCATTGTACATGGCACAGTTTTTGGACTAGGTGCATGGCACAGCACAGGGCATGGTCATGGACTCATGGTGCTTGTTGCTTGGAGCTTGATGCATTGAGCATGTAATGTGGGGCATGCTGGGGCATGTAGGGGCATGTAGGGGCATGTAGGGGCATGTTGGGGCATGTTGGGGCATGCAGGGGCATGTTGGGGCATGCAGGGGCATGTTGGGGCATGTTGGGGCATGTTGGGGCATGCAGGGGCATGTTGGGGCATGCAGGGGCATGTTGGGGCATGCAGGGGCATGTTGGGGCATGCAGGGGCATGTTGGGGCATGTTGGGGCATGTTGGGGCATGTTGGGGCATGTTGGGGCATGCAGGGGCATGTTGGGGCATGCAGGGGCATGTTGGGGCATGTTGGGGCATGTTGGGGCATGTTGGGGCATGTGCCAGGCGGCGCGCTGTGCGGTCATGGCTCATAGCTCATGAGATGACTCATTCTAAGATAATAACTACGAAGAAATAATGAAACAACATCGGCACCGGCAACAGCAAGATTATTCCTCGTTGCCCACCCTTACATCAGCACCAGCAGCAGCCACCAGCAGTATCCTAAGCACCAGCAGCAGCATCAAATACCCCTAGCACCAGCATCAGCAGACGCTTCTCCAGCTGTTTCTCCCTGTTTCTCCAAGAGCATTAGTCTCGGGAAACAGCACATCCCTGATTACCAGCAGCAGCAAAGGCAGCATATGTATTCTTCCTTACCCACCCTTTCATCAGCAGCAGCAGCAGCAGCAGCAGCAGTACCCCTATCAACAGCATCGGCAGACGCTTCCAAAGCTGCTTCTCCCAGTGCCTTAAACGCAGGAAATAACACCTCCTCAACGAACTTCAGCAGCAAAGGTAGCAGATTCAGTCCTCCTTACCCACCCTTCCATCAGAAACACCAGCACTAGCAGCAGCACCACCAGCACTACCAGCGGCACTACCAGCAGCATCAGCAAAAGCTTCTGCAGCTGCTTCCTCTAAAGCCTTGGTCGCACGGGACGAGACCTCTCTGGTTACCAGCAGCGTTGCCACCGCCCCCACCACATACAAACCCACCTGCACCGGATCCAACCCAGACCCAGCACCTGCAGCAGCACCGGCAGCAGCAGTGGTGGTTACAGTTGCATCGGTAACTTTATCAAGGGCCACCCGGCCTGCTCCTCCCAGGTAGACATAGGCGAATGTGGCAGGGAGCATGCCGAGGGATGAAGCAGCCACGTACTCACAGAACCCTATGCCTGGTGGAGAGTGTGTGAGGGGGGTGGGCATGTGGCCGGGGAAGGAAAGGCGGTGGTTACAATTGCGTCGGTAACCGCATCTAGAGCCACCCGGCCTGCTCCTCCCAGGTAGACATAGGCGAAAGTAGCAGGGAGCATGCCTAGAGATGAAGAGGCCACGTACTCAACGAAACCTATGCCTGCATGGGGATGGTAGGAGAGGGGGTTGCATTGGAAGGGTGGGGGGAGATGTGGGGGTTACAGTTGTCACATGGTCACTGCATCTAGAGCCACCCGGCCTGCTCCTCCCAGGTAGACATAGGCGAAAGTAGCTGGGATCATGCCGAGAGAGGAAGAGGCCACGTACTCAACGAAACCTATGCCTGCATGGGGATGGTAGGGGATGGGGACGATACACCACCCACCCACTGAGATCGGCATTGCACAGCAGCAACATCGGCAGAGCAGCAACAACAAAACCTTACCTGTAATTCCGGACACGTAGTTTGAGATGGAAAATGGGAAGATGGGCGACAGTCAGCACAGCAGCACGATATGCCACCCGCCCACTGAGAGTGGCACAGCGCAGCAGCAGCAATCAGCAGAGAAGCAGCAGTTAGATCTTACCTGTGATGCCGAACACGTAGTTTAAGATCGAAAACGGGAAGATGGGTGATAGTCGGCATAGTAGCACGATTCGCCACCCGCCCACTGAGATTGCGCGATCCAGCGCCTCGAACCGCCCTTCCCCGAGCCGCCCCGCGAGCTGCCGCGCCACGAACGGCCGCGCCGCGTACCGCGCGATGAGAAACGAAACGGACGCGCCGAGCGTCGCGGCGATTAGAGTGATCGCCGTGCCGCGCGCGGCTCCAAAGAGGTAACCCGACGCGAGAGTTAGGATGGACGCGGGGACTAGAAGCACCGCGGCGATAGCGTACGCGGCAGCGAAATAGACGGCGCCGCCTAGCGGTCCCGCCGCGTCGCCGCCTTGCTCGACCGCTGCCACGACCTGCTGAAGGGGATTGGTCCACGTGGCGGCGGCGGCAACCGCGTCGTCACCAGAAATGGCGGCTGAGGCGGCGGCCGTGGCGTCAGCAGCGGCTGCGGCGGCTGCGGCGGTGTCTACGTGCAAGAAGACAAGCGCCGCCGCCGCTGTCAGCGACGCAGCCGCCACGAGGAGAGACCGCGACGCGAAGAAAGAATTCGATTGGTGTAGGAGCTCGAATAGATTCTGATCGAGCTGCACGCGGCGCGAAGCTTCGTCCGTAACTCGAGCCGCGGAAATCCCTAGGTTATCGCAGTCGTGCCGCGCAAAGACTCTCGAGTCTGGCGACGTGCCGTCATCATTCCGCTGCGAAATTCGCTGAGTTACACTGGGCTCCTCCGCAACAGTGCTACGCGCCTCGAGCCCTCTTCCACTGTGCGTTACCAGCTTGTCTTGACCTCCGTGAATGCGTTGAATCCGTTGACTGCCCGATATCCTCGAGCATTTCACGGAGCGGTCCCCGGGCCGCGGGTTACTGCGCGAATATCCAGCGGCAGAGGATCGTAGCGTGATTGGAGTCTGTGCAAGAGAGGGGTATCTGGGTGCTTCTACTGGCGCGACTGGTAGGGCGGTAGGGAGTGCCATTGAGGGCGGTAAGGGTTCAGATCGTGTGGATATAGAGAGAGGTTGTCATCTGATGGTATTGTCACAACCCGCCGAATCGCGACGCGAAACCACGCTTTAGTGGCTCAATGTCGTGCTGACGCGGCTTCGTGACGCTAGTTAGGAGTATTATGGGACGAGTCGACGTGGTTCAACGTGGGAGCACCACGGAAATCGAAGTTCTAGTTCGGGATGGTTTGATGAATTCCTCGGTAAAAGCATAACTGGGATGATGGGCTCGCGTCGCTCGGATACACTGCTAAGTGCCTCAAATGAACAGCATGTATTCATTCAAAACACTTGACCAGCCTAATACAGGAGCATTCTTGCCTTATCATCTGCTAGGTTCAAAGAAACTAACACATTTATGAGAGCTTGCCGCCACCTAAGGTATTCCAAATCCAAATAATGCTTTACGCGAACCACTAGGTCGATTATTGTCTGCGCAACCTCCCACACCCCTGTGATAGATGTAATAGATGCAAGAGTGAGAAGTGAATGAGAAGGTGCGTCAGTGGAGGTATAACACGAAAGAAGCACGCATAACAGTGTGAAGCGAGGGGAAGAACGTAGGGAAGTGAGGAGTAAAAGAGAGGACAGAGTGGAGGAAAGAGGAGGGGGGAGTGGGTTTGGTAGTGAGGAGGGAAGTTAGGAGTGCAGTGAAGTGAGGAGGTACGGTAAGTAACGAGGGGTAGTGTGGAGGGATGCAAGGAATGAAGCAAGCAAAAGGAAGACTTACGAATTCTGAGCATCAAATGTGCCAAGTCCAGCTGTGCCCTCAGGTATGCAGCCAGGTTGGATGTCAGGTGGCCTGAAGGAGAGGGGAATGATAGAGGAGATGGATCGAGGCAATGGGGTGTGCACAAAACGTGGTTCCACGTGCAAACGTGCCAAGTCCAGTTGTGCTCTCAGGTATGCTGCCAGATTGGATGTCAGGTGACCTGAAGGAGACGGGAATGATAAAGGAGATGGAGCGAGGCAATGGGGTGTGCACAAAACGTGGGTCCAGGTGCAAACCGTCTCAAGTCCAGCTGTGCTCTCAGATATGCTGCCAGGTTGGATGTCAGGTGGCCTGTTTGTGTTGGGAAACGTGAGGGAACAACAGACAGCCTGCACTTGCAGTACCACTCTTGAAGTGCATATGCATGCTCACTGACCACCCTTCCCAAAGCCTCACCTTCCTCAGAGTGACGCACTGCCAGCCCAGCTACAGCAAACCGCCCGTTAATCTGCAGCCTCAGCTTCGGCGTTGCTCCCAGCGCTGTGATGTGCTGCCGAATGAGGTTGCTGGGAGGGGAGAGAAGGGCAGGCGAGGGGCGATGGTAAGGGGAGGGGAAACGAAAGGGTGGTTATCGATTGAGAGCTCTGAGCTTCGGCGTCGGCCCCAGTGCTGTGATGTGCTGCCGTGTGAGGTTGCTGAGGGATGCAAGAGAAGCACGGGGCAGGAAGCACAGCAGGGGGAAGCATGACAGCGGGTGAGGAGCGCAAAGCGGGCTGCGGGGGCATGAGTCCTTTGCCCTCTCCCTCTTTTCTCCCCACTCCCAAGCGTTCAGTGCCTACATCCTCCTTATATTTTCCACACTCACTCACATGACCAGAAACATGTCCTTGGGAAGCCCCTCCACCACTCCTCACCATACCCCTCCATACTCTCTTCCTGCCTCTCCCTCACTCCCCCTCACTCACCCAGTGCGCATGACCAGGAACATGTCTTTAGGCAACCCTTCCACCACAGCCGCTAAATCCTGCAGGCTGATAGTATCAGTCTCCCTCACACCCTCTCCCCCTTACTCACTCAGTGCGCATCAACAGGAACATGTCTTTGGGCAACCCTCCACCACCGAAGTCAGATCCTGCAGGCTGAAGGGATGCCTGCTCCCTTATACACACAATTCAGTAAAGCCGATTGACACTCACTCGGTGCGCATGACCAGGAACATGTCTTTAGGCAACCCCTCCACCACGGCTGTCAGGTCGTGCGGGCTGATGGCCTTAACCCCCCCCCTCTTCAGAGAGTTACCGTCCCCTATGCACAAGACACACTTGAAGCAACGACTGTGCCTCCAGTCAACACTCACTCGGTGCGCATGACCAGGAACATGTCTTTAGGCAACCCTCCACCACCGCTGTCATGTCCTGAGGGCTGATGGCCTTGATCTCCCTCCTCAAGCTCTTCTCCTCCTCCGGTGACATGCGCTGCCCCCACCGCGTTTTGCTGATCAATGAAGGGGAGGAGTGAGAAGAGCAGATGGGAACTCGTTACGAACAGAGAGCTGATGGCCTTGATCTCCCCCCTGAGGCTAATCTCCTCCTCTGGTGACATGCGCTGCCCCCACCGCGTTTTGCTGGTTGGGTACAACAACATGGGAACGAGAGGAGGAGAACAAGGGGATGCGCTGATGGCTTTATTCTCCCTCCTGAGGCTCTTCTCCTCCTCCGGTGACATGCGCTGGCCCCACCGCGTTTTACTGTGTGATTACAGGGAGGAGTGAGAGCAGGAGAAGACGGGAAGAGCTAAAACTGACTTTGCCTTGATCTCCGTCCTCAGACTCCTTCGGTCTTGAGGGTTTATGGCTTTCCTTCAGTCTTGAGGGTTTATGGCTTTCCTTCGGTCTTGAGGGTTTATGGCTTTCCTTCGGTCTTGAGGGTTTATGGCTTTCCTTCGGTCTTGAGGGTTTATGGCTTTCCTTCGGTCTTGAGGGTTTATGGCTTTCCTTCGGTCTTGAGGGTTCATGGCTTTCCTTCGGTCTTGAGGGTTTATGGCTTTCCTTCGGCCTTGAGGGTTTATGGCTTTCCTTCGGTCTTGAGGGTTTATGGCTTTCCTTCGGTCTTGAGGGTTTATGGCTTTCCTTCGGTCTTGAGGGTTTATGGCTTTCCTTCGGTCTTGAGGGTTTATGGCTTTCCTTCGGTCTTGAGGGTTTATGGCTTTCCTTTGGTCTTGAGATTTTGAGAATTCTCAAAAACCAGCTTCGGTCTTGAGGGTTTATGGCTTAGATTTCTTCTGTCGCTCACCTTTGAAAGGGTCGGGCAGTGAAGAGCGCAGGGAGGAAGCGTGAGTACTCCCCCACGCCCAGGCTCTCCCCCCACCGCTCCACCCCCTTCATGTCCGATAGAATGAGTGAGCGCCAACTGACATTCGCTATTCCACATAAAGCTCACCTTTGGAAAGGTCGGGCAGTGAAGAGCGCAGGGAGGAAGCGTGAATACTCCCCCACGCCCAGGCTCTCTCCCCATCTCTGCACTCCCGCCATGTCCGACAGAATGAGTGAGCGCCACAGCTGGCAGAAGTCCCTTCTGAACCCATCGTCCATCTCCCTGTAAAGCCCGTGATCTAGCAAAACTGTGGGTGGTGAAGGAAGGAGAGCGGAGAGAGAGGGAGGGAGAAAGCGTGGCCAAGAAGCGAGCGTTAGAGGTGGCAGAAGGTCCGTGTAACGCCATCGTCCATTTCCCCGTAGAGGCCGTGGTCGAGCAGGACTGCAAAAAGGGAGACAGAGGGAAGGATGGTAGAGGGAGCAAGGACAGGGGAAGAGTGAGCGCCACAGCTGGCAGAAGTCAGGACTGTGAGGGGGGGGAAAGAGAAAGGAGGGGGGGGGGGGGGAGGGGGGAGGAAAGGAGCGACCGCCACAGCTGGCAGAAGTCCCTTCTGAACCCGTCGTCCATTTTCCTGTAAAGCCCGTGATCTAGCAGGACTGTGGGTGTGGGAGAGAGGGGCCAGCCAGAGGAGGGAAGATGGGTGACAGAATGAGTGAGCGCCAGAGCTGGCAGAAGTCCCTACTGAAGCCGTCGTCCGTGTTTTGAGTCGACTCAAAACTCCCTGTATAAGCCATGGTCGAACTGTCAGCTGCACAGTTGCCTGTCGCACTCACCAATATCAAATTTCCTGCGCCCAGGTTTGGTGGTGCTGGGTGCGTGTGCCTGAATGAGCACATTCTTTGAGTGGGGGTCCCCATGCAGGTGGCCGTGACAGGAGACTTGGCAGTGAAACTGCATTCCAGAGGCCCAGAGTCAGCTGTCACACTCACCTATATCGAACTTCCGCTGTCCAGGCTTGGTGGTGCCGGGTGCGTGTGCTTGAATGAGCACATTGCCTGGGTGTGAGTCTCCATGCAGGTGGCCTCCGGACTCACCTATATCGAACTTCCGCTGTCCAGGCTTGGTGGTGCCGGGTGCGTGTTCTTGAATGAGCACATTGCCTGGGTGGGGGTCTCCATGCAGGTGGCCGTGACAGAAGACCATCTCTGCAAACACCTCCACCAGTAGTGCCGCCACCTGCGCACAGGGGAAGGGGAAACGGGGGAAGAGGAGTAGGAAGCGAGAGGACAGCACTAGGCATGGAGCCGTGCAGGTGGCCGTGACAGAAGACCATCTCTGCAAACACCTCCACCAGTAGCGCCGCCACCTGATGGAAACAGAGGAGAGCAATAGGCAGGCAGGAAGGCGATGATGTGCATACCCCTAAAGGGTTGAGGCCCTGCTTCTTGATTGATTCCCTCCAAGTCGACTATCTGAGAGTGTTCTGTGTCGACTCAAAACTTACCAGCATGAATATACTCACGAATCGCCTCACGAACTGCCTAAATGACTGGTCTGGTGCACGTATTTGCATACCTCTAGAGGGTTGAGGCCCTGCTTCTTGATGCCCTCCAAGTCGTCAATCTGAGGAGGAGAAGAAGTGGGATAAAGAGGGAGAGGAAACGAGACCCATGAGATAAGGGGGGCCAATGGGATTGTGGCTTGTATGACTCACGACAGATACTGGCCACTTTTGCAACGTAGACTGGATTGGAGGATTTTTTTGGAAATCTAAAACAGCTCAAGACTTGGGAACTCGAGACAAAGAAGAACGCAGTACGTGACACACCTTGCGTGCACAGCATGGCTATAACCATAAAGCACAACAACACAGTGAAGCCATTCATGAATTCGATTGTCAGAATTCCATTGGTGGTGAGCCTTGGCAGCAGGAATTCAAATCTGGGGGGTCTAAGGGTAAAAAAAGAACAGCACGTGACACACCTTGCAGCCATTCATGAATTCCATTGTCAGAATTCTCTTGGTGGTGAAGTCCTGGTGTTGGGAAAGGAGGTGAAGGGGAGGGAAAGGTAAGATTGCAGGTATCGACTCTCAGGCTTCAACTATGCAGCAGAGCCGTCGTCAGATTTCTCTTGGTGGTGAAGTCCTGGTGTTGGGAAGGGAGGGAGACGGTGAGGGGACGAAAGGGGAGACGGAGGGGATTGCGTATCACGCTTCTAGCACGCACGCACGCACGCACGCACGCACGCACGCACGCACGCACGCACGCACGCACGCACGCACACACACACACACACACACACACACACACACACACACACACACAGCCCACCTCTCACCCACAGTATCTTGGGCACTAAGACCTCCTCCTTGTGCACTGGAAGCTTCAATATACTTGGTACCACACCCCACTAATATGAAGCAGCACACACACACCCATGAGTCAAGACCCATCTCTCACCCACAGTATCTTGGGCACTTTGACCTCCTCCTTGTGCGCAAAGTTCTCCGCTGTCAGCTCTGCATTGCGCCCCTCCCTCTCAAAGTCTGGAAGTCAACAGACACGAGCGCCAGGAGGGAACGATGGGATAAGGGCGCGTGTATTTTGGTTTTTATAAGCAAAACTCGAGTTTTTGGTTGAACTGTATACGTCTGAACCTAGGTCGACCTAGGCTCGAGTCTAGCCACATCTGTAACCCGAGTCGCGGTTCCAACACTCTAGAAAATCACAAGACACACAAAAGTTCGACTATCGAAGTTGAACTTTTGCAACTTTCCCGAGTCGCGGCCCACAGGTCGTAGGTTACCCGGTTTGGCGTTTTGACAGGGTGCAACGTACGACCCCCGCGTCCACCACCACTTGTGAGTTGGCGAAGCCGGAACCCTGTCGATCGAGTCGCTCGTGCTAACGACGTCAGCTGCGACTGTCGCAGAATTCGCTTCTTCATCCTCTTTGGTCAAGAGGACACACGATTGGATACTCGTGCGAGACTGTTTGGTGCCAGAAGTTCAACCATGCTTTCGGTCCCGCTTCAGACATGACATTGTCCTGACACGCGCCCTAAGAGGAACAGCCAGAACTTTTGAAAGGTCCCCAACACAAACAACTCGGAAGGGAGGGTTTGGAAGAGACAGCATTGGGAGGAAAGGACATGGCACCGAGTTGTTGCTGAAGGATTTCCTGCGACGGACATTTTTGCGAATTCCTGGGATAAACGAACCATACAGCTTCTTCTGAAACCGAGGCACGATGTCTGCTTCAAGTTGATTCAGAAAGCAGAAGCGTGTGAAACGGACAGACAAGACACGCATACCAAGCTGTTGGTGAAGGTTCTCGAGGAACTGAGGCACAATCTAGACCAAAGGATCCAAGTTACCTTGACATGGTTACTTACATGTGCGTCGTGTGTTACTTCCCATGAATCACAGTTGCAGCTGAATTTCTCCTGGAACTTTTGAGCTGACTTAAAAGGCGCGATCCAGAAGCATTAGCCCTTGCTTGACAGGGTCAGGGTTAACCAGAGTACACGCACAATCCAAACTATTGGAGTGCGTGTTCTTTGGTTTACCCAAAGGCAGGAGGGTGAGCAAAGGACAGGGACACGCACCCAGTTGCTGCTGAAGGTTCTCCTGGAACTGAGGCACTATCCAGCTGAACTGGTAGTTGGGAAATATCTAAAGGATAAGCAACGAGGGGGGACGCCAGCAAGGAAGAATTGCAGCAGGAAGCGGGTTATCAGCAGGAAGACTCCCAAGGGAGGCAACAACAGGATACCGTATCATGCATCGCGTGGCGTGGGTGGACCAATTGCAAGATATTGTGTCTATGTGTACTATTGGCAGCAGGTTCCAACGGCTGGCAAAAAAGGAGGAGCGGACGACAAGGCACGGACTACTCGCCACATTTCACGTCTAAGAACGTCTGAAGCCTTCTCAAACGACTCACAACCTCTCGATACTCACCCACTTGACGGCCCGGGAGAGGAAGCCCATGGTGTAGATGTCCGTTGCTACCTGCTCCTCCAGACGTGGATACTGCACCTGAAAAGGGGTAGAGGGGGATGTGAGGGGGGATTCAGTACTGACAGACAGGCCAATAGAGGAAGGAAGCCCATGGTGTAGATGTCTGTTGCTACTTGCTCCTCCAGACGCAGGTACTGCACCTGAGCGAGTGAGATTGAGAGAAGGGAAGAGGGGCGAGAGAGAGATGAAGGGATAGAGAGCCCATGGTGTAGACATCCATTGCTACCTGCTCCTCCAGCCGTGGGTACTGCACCTGAGTGAATGAGAGAGGAGGAGGCAGAAGGGGGAAGAGTGGGTTGGGCGGAAATAAAGCACTGACAGCCCGAGAGAGGAAGCCCATGGTGTAGACATCCATTGCTACCTGCTCCTCCAGCCGTGGGTACTGCACGTGAGTGAATGAGAACACGAGAGGCAGAATGGGGAGAGGGTGTGAATTGGGAACATAGAGGACTGAAAGCGGCAGAGAGGGAGCCCATGGCGTAGATCTCCTTTGCCTCTTGCTCTTCCTAAACGAATGAGAAAGTGCGAGGCAACGAAAGACGCTGCTGCTATCGCTCCTCTGCGAAATGCACAAAGCAGGTTAGGAGAGGCACAATGGCTGACTTGCACTCAAGTCACAAAAGTCACACCTCCACTTTTGAGGCGGCACAAAAGTCACACCTCCACCCATCCACACACGCACACAAGAAACACGCAGCACCCACCTTCACGGCCACTTCCTGTCCGGACAGCAGTGTTGCTCGATGCACCTGCGCCAGTGATGCTGCTGCTATGGCCTCCTCCTTGCAGTGTTCGCTAGCACATGCTGTCACACAGTCATACACCATGCATGCAGCCACACGCCGTTCACCCACCCGTACTCACGCTCACCTTCACGGCTACTTCCTGCCCTGATGGCAGTGTCGCTCGGTGCACCTGAGCCGGTGACTCCGCTGCTAAAGCCTCCTCCTCAAAATGCATTCCATTCCAGCACATGCTATCACACATTCATACACCATGCATGCAGCCACGCCGAGACACAGCAGCACCCACCTTAACCGCCACTTCCTGCCCTGATGGCAGTGTTGCTCGGTGCACCTGCGCCAGTGATGCTGCTGCTATGGCCTCCTCCTTGCAGTGTTCGCTAGCACATGCTGTCACACAGTCATACACCATGCATGCAGCCACACGCCGTTCACCCACCCGCACTCACGCTCACCTTCACGGCTACTTCCTGCCCTGATGGCAGTGTTGCTCGGTGCACCTGCGCCAGTGACGCTGCTGCTATTGCCTCCTCCTCGAAATGCACGAAGCTGCGAGGGCACCACAGCAATGGTTTGAGCCAGCAGCAGCACAATAGGGGCACAGGAGAGAAACAAGAGGAGCGCTATTGAAGTAAATTACTTAGCAATGGTTTGAGTCAGTAATGCAGTATCACACCACCCTCCCTCCCCATTAATCGAGCACTCTCAGCAGTACTCCCACCAGCACACGCACATTTCATTCAGCACGCACACTCACATCTCCTTGGCACTCTTGCCAGATTCCTCCTTGAACACGCAATCAATCACTCTGACCTGAACGGAAAACATAACTCTGAGAGGTGTTACAACCACATGATACCTCTTTCCTTCCCTCCTTTCCCCCCTTTCCTTCACCACACTCACATCTCCTTGGCACTCTTGCCGAATTCCTCCTTGAACACGCGGTCAATCACATTGAACACAAAACGTTACACTGGGAGATGGCACAAACACATGATACCTTTTCCCTTCACTCCCTTCCCTCTTCCTTTCACCGCACTTACATCTCCTTTGCGCTCTTGCCAAACTCCTCCTTGAACACGCGGTCAATCACATTGAACGGACGACCCTTAGCCTGCATGCACCAGCCAGGGCAGGGAAGTTGAAAAGGCAAGTCACATTCTCAAAAGTCTCTCATACTTTGCACTCTTGCACAACCCCCCCTCTTTGAATTCCTCCTTGAACACGCGGTCAATCACATTGAACGGACGACCTCGAGCCTGCACGAACCAGCCAGGGCAGGGCATTTAGCGAGGCAAGTCACATTCTCAGCTGTGAGTCCTTTTGCTCAACCCCCTCACCCTGCCTGAAGGGTTCATGGCAGGGGGTTTCGGGGTCAGGGTTTAGGTTTCTTCACCCCACCTGACCTTGGAGCTCGTGAGGTATTTCTGAGGCAAGCTGCTGCAGTCCCCCCGCCTGATCCTGGAGCATAGTGAGAGTCGTGCGGTATTCCCGAGGCAGCAGCTGCAGAGTCGCAATGAACTGTCCCACGGTTCGCCTCACCACACCTTACAGGCCAACACAGCTCAGGGTTTCGGGATTGAGTGTACCTGGTCTTGCAGCAAACTGAGGTTCGTGCGGTATTCCCGAGGCAGCTGCTGCAGAGTGGCAATGAACCACCCTGCTACAATGTAGATGACATGATTCGCCTCACGACTTCCCAGTTCCCCTGACCCCAGCTTGAAGGTTTGACACACAGTGTTTTGAGGTCTGATTTTCAATTTGGGTATGAATCTCTTCAGCATACCTGATCCTGCAGAACAGTGAGGGTTTCAGCATACCTGATCCTGCAGAACAGTGAGGGTCGTGCGGTATTCCCGAGGCAGCTGCTGCAGAGTTGCAATAAACTGCCCTGCTTTGATGTAAATGCCACGATTCGCCTCACACAGCCGTAGAATCCTGTCCGCTGATCGCTGGTGGATCTGACGGTGTGGGATGAGGGAAAGAGTGGGAGGGGGAGGGGTGGAGAAACGAAGGAAGAGGAAAGAATGGAAGTCAGCAAGCTATCAATCAAGGATGGAGGCAAAAGGAAAAAAGTCTCACTTTAAGCCCATTTTGACCCTCACCTGAGAATCCATTTTGACTCTCACCCATCTGGGACCGAATTCGTACATGTGCTGCTGGCGCTACTCTATTTGGAGTCGAATCAAAGTCACAATTCCAGTCGGTCTCAGACCCACCTCTGAGCGGATTCGTGCATATTCTGCCGGCGCTTCTGTTTTGAGCTTATCCAACGAATTGGCCAATGCTGACACCTTGTAGTCGATGCTGTTCATAGCGAACTGCAAATCGGGGAGGAGTGCATGAAGGAGGAACGGAACAGAGGGAGCAAATCATGATGCCAACACAACCACTCTGCTGTCCGCTTTACTCTCTATCGCGAACTTCAAATCGTGCACACGCATTATGGCTTTGAAATGTTGAAATCACTTTCAAGAATTCTTAAAAGTGAGTTCAATACAACCACTCTCAGCTCTCCGTTTTATTCTCTATCTCGAACTTCAATTCGTGCACAAGCATTATGGCTTAGGAGTGTCACTCGTTCGTGATATCCGCGATCGTGTCCCCTCCTTCCTCCAGGCCTCACAATCAGGTAAATACGCTCCTCATCCAGTCCCCCTCGCTCACCGTTCCCACGGCTCTTGACGATCTGGCGATCCCATCGGCGCTAAGCATCAGCCGCTTAACGTGCCGGCTGTCCGTCTTCAAACCGCCGTCTGTCGCCGCTACAGCGACTCCGCCGGCACCCAGGCTTCCCAGCACGAGCGCTCCGACGATCCCGGCTGGCCGCTTCGCAAGGGCTAACGCGCCTCGCCTTAAAATGGATAACATGGTGGTAGAATGCTGAGGTGTACCCTACAATTAGAGGCATGAAGTCACGTACACCCTATGTGGTAAGGGTCTGAATCTACCAGTGCTATGTGATCCCTAGAAGCTAGAAGAGTTGAACAATAAGGAGGTCAGATAAGCTGCGAACTGACTTAATGATCGGCTTAAAACTTCGTCTAGAGCTGCCTGAAGAAGGCCACGCTAGGACCACTACTTGGTGAAACGAACAGAGCCAGTTTTGATTAGGTGGACAGAATTCCGCGAATTACAGTAGCGGCTATCTAAGATAGCCGCGTCCTGATCAGCAACAGCAATAACAGCCATGGAGGTTCAAAGCGATCAGAACAAAAGCTCCCGATCAAGTAGCATATCCCCTGAACAAATGGCTTCGATTCGAAACTTAACTTCCAATGGCGACATATCCCATATAAGCCCTGTATCCCTACAGTATAACGAAATGCTTCCGCTTCCTGTATCTGTGGAGCCCTTGTGGAAGAAATTTATTTGATTGGCCACATCGTGGAGGTGACGTGGCTGGAATGTTCGAGGACCAATGTCGGCACAACAATAACGCGGGAAACGGGACTGGCGCGTGTTGAAGAGCTCCACACCTTCTCAGAACTCTTCCTAACCATTATCTTAACTCAGCAAACCGTTGTGAAGCGTAATGATATCATACTGAACCGCGCAAAAGTTACGACACCCCTGGAGCCAACCCGTGATGTTGGGATGGCGCCTTACATCAGCCGCAAAATGACGAAAGTTTGACGGAGAAACGAGATTAGCCAGATTACCGTACTTGACCATTCGCAAACCACGCGAACCATGTAGGTCGAGTAGCATATGCACTACCTTCAGGTCAGGGTACGGAGTTCCCAAGAAAAGAAGCATGAAAATCTTGCAGTTCCCAAGACAGGAAGGTGGTGGATCTGCTGTGCGCTGAATCTACGTTTTCGCACCCTAATAAAAGCACATCATGCCTCATTACCTTTGCGTCACAGCGTTCTAATCACTCATTCGAGATCCTACTGATATCAAACCTCGGCGAGCCCCGCAGTGATCTGGCCACTGTTATTCCATTTCATTTGCGTGCTCTAGTTCCGTCGCTCCAGTTTTTTTAGCAATATTTTGGTTCAAGTGCTCAGCACTTTTTTTTTTGCCGCGATTCGTCTCCAGGGCACAAATAAGCCTACACTCTTCATCGTCTCTTCGCCGATACTCATTCACTGAGTTGAACTACGATTTTTCTGCTCAAGTGTTTTCATTTTCGAAACAAAGTTCCTTTTTTTTTCACTGCTAGTATTTAGAAATCCGGCCATGGCTGGACTCGTGTCCCAACAACTTCTCACGCTACCGTCGTCCGGTCAATCTGTTCAATCCCTATGGGAGGTGCGTGTTTCATGACAAGTTTGAGCCGACCGCGAAGTCTGTTCGTCCATTTGAGCTGTTCAAGTGTTACACATCGTTTGTAAATAGTGCCATTTTTCAAATACATCAATGGCTCGGACTCTAGACAGTTTCCCTTCACCATGTGGTAGTAATGTGGTGGCCTTACGCTCCTCACATCCTATTTGTCCCCCTTGCAGGGAAACGCCTCGACATCGCTTCTGAAACCCTCTCGATCCCGGTTCCGTTCAGTCAAATCCGTCCGTCCATCTGTGCGGGCCGAAGCATCTCCGCAGTCCCAGTCAGGTAACCAGCACAAAGAGCAGTCTTTTTCAATCGAATGATTCATGTAATCAGGTACTATACGCACAAGTGTGGACTGCTTTTCCCGATTTTCCCCAAAAAAAATCGTATCGCCTGCGTTCTCTAAGTGGTTTGAGCCACGTGAACACTGGCATTTTCACGCTCATGCGACTCACACTGGCACCGACAGCTCATGCGCTTTTAGACACGCTCGTCGTTCTCTGCTTGCAGCTCCTGTCGCCGCCGCGTTGTGACTTTTAAGTCGACTCAAAAGTCGACTCACACTGGCACGGACAGCTCATGCGCTTTCAGACTGTCGTTCTCTGCTTGCAGCTCCTGTCGCTGCCGCATCCGCATCAGCAGCAGCGCCAGCAGCGGAGAAAGACACGGAACCACGAAGGAGCAGCAGCACCACCACCACTGGCAGCGCCACCGTCGCGGGTGAAGACTATCTTTCAGCCGCGTCGATCTCTGAGACGTTTCAACTCACAGGAGGATCCCTGGGGTTTGCCGGAGCAACCTCGCCCTTAGTCCCGGCAGGCCCGGGCCAGAGGAAGCAGGCTCGGCAGGAGAAGCGCATCGTGCTGATCAGGCACGGGCTGAGCTCGTGGAACCGGAGGGGAGGGTCCAGGGCCGGTCGGACGAGTCTGTTCTGTCAGAGACTGGCGAGATCCAGGCGCTGCGATGCAGAGAGGCTCTGAGAGACACGCACTTCGACTGCTGCTACTCTAGCCCCATATCACGAGCTAAGGTAAGACATGCAGGTGTGCAGATGAGTCAGATCGACGAAGAGAAGGAGGAGGGCAGAGTGGGGCGATTGCGTCCTTCTCCTCCCAACTTCCTTGTCATGCTGCGCCCACCAGAGCAGCGCGGAGGTCATCTGGGAGGGGCGCAAGGAGCCTCTCGTGCCTTTCAAGTCTGGGGACGCTATTCTGCCTCTGATGCCTCTCATACCCCGCCCCCCACTCCCCCCTTTCTCCCCACCAGAGCAGCGCGGAGATCACCTGGGAGGGGCGCAAGGAGCCTCTCGTGCCTTTCAAGTCTGGGGACGCTATTCTGCCTCTGATGCCTCTCATACCCCGCCCCCCACTCCCCCCTTTCTCCCCACCAGAGCAGCGCGGAGATCACCTGGGAGGGGCGCAAGGAGCCTCTCGTGCCTTTCAAGTCTGGGGACGCTATTCTGCCTCTGATGCCTCTCATACCCCGCCCCCCACTCCCCCCTTTCTCCCCACCAGAGCAGCGCGGAGATCACCTGGGAGGGGCGCAAGGAGCCTCTCGTGCCTTTCAAGTCTGGGGACGCTATTCTGCCTCTGATGCCTCTCATACCCCGCCCCCCACTCCCCCCTTTCTCCCCACCAGAGCAGCGCGGAGATCACCTGGGAGGGGCGCAAGGAGCCTCTCGTGCCTTTCAAGTCTGGGGACGCTATTCTGCCTCTGATGCCTCTCATACCCCGCCCCCCACTCCCCCCTTTCTCCCCACCAGAGCAGCGCGGAGATCACCTGGGAGGGGCGCAAGGAGCCTCTCGTGCCTTTCAAGTCTGGGGACGCTATTCTGCCTCTGATGCCTCTCATACCCCGCCCCCCACTCCCCCCTTTCTCCCCACCAGAGCAGCGCGGAGATCACCTGGGAGGGGCGCAAGGAGCCTCTCGTGCCTTTCAAGTCTGGGGACGCTATTCTGCCTCTGATGCCTCTCATACCCCGCCCCCCACTCCCCCCTTTCTCCCCACCAGAGCAGCGCGGAGATCACCTGGGAGGGGCGCAAGGAGCCTCTCGTGCCTTTCAAGTCTGGGGACGCTATTCTGCCTCTGATGCCTCTCATACCCCGCCCCCCACTCCCCCCTTTCTCCCCACCAGAGCAGCGCGGAGATCACCTGGGAGGGGCGCAAGGAGCCTCTCGTGCCTTTCAAGTCTGGGGACGCTATTCTGCCTCTGATGCCTCTCATACCCCGCCCCCCACTCCCCCCTTTCTCCCCACCAGAGCAGCGCGGAGATCACCTGGGAGGGGCGCAAGGAGCCTCTCGTGCCTTTCAAGTCTGGGGACGCTATTCTGCCTCTGATGCCTCTCATACCCCGCCCCCCACTCCCCCCTTTCTCCCCACCAGAGCAGCGCGGAGATCACCTGGGAGGGGCGCAAGGAGCCTCTCGTGCCTTTCAAGTCTGGGGACGCTATTCTGCCTCTGATGCCTCTCATACCCCGCCCCCCACTCCCCCCTTTCTCCCCACCAGAGCAGCGCGGAGATCACCTGGGAGGGGCGCAAGGAGCCTCTCGTGCCTTTCAAGTCTGGGGACGCTATTCTGCCTCTGATGCCTCTCATACCCCGCCCCCCACTCCCCCCTTTCTCCCCACCAGAGCAGCGCGGAGATCACCTGGGAGGGGCGCAAGGAGCCTCTCGTGTTTCTGGAGTTCACCTCTCATCCTCTACGCCATCCTTTCGTTCCTCCCCTGCTCCCACACTTCCCCCTGCTACACCTCGTTCCCTCGCATGTTCTTCTTCCCCATCAGAGCAGCGCGGAGATCATCTGGGAGGGGCGCAAGGAGCCGCTTGTTTTTCTGGACTCTCTGAGCGAGGCCCACCTGCACTTCCTGGAAGGCATGCTCAACTGTGAGTGCCAGTATTCCCAGTGAGTGAACCTCATTGAACTACACTGCAAATTGGGGTGTGGGCTGCTAAGGTAGAGCTAGTTGCTGCTGTAGGTCGGAGATAGTGGCAACAGCGAGTTTTCTTTCTGATGAGTTATTCAACACTAAGTTTCCCTTTGCTTATCTCCCGCTGCTCCTGCTTCCTCTTCCCTGCTGTTTCTGAACCTCCAGCCGAGGCTAAGCGGCTGTATCCGGACCTGTTCCGAGCCTGGAGGGAAGATCCGGCGAACTTTTGTGTGGATGGGGTGTTTCCGGTGCACCAACTGTGGGACCAAGCTAGGGACACGTGGCGAGAGCTGCTAGAGAGCCCTGTGAGTGTGACTGTACCGAGCGATACTACAACAAGTGGCACTAGAATCTATATCTTTCGGATACTACGGGTTGCCTTTGGCACAGTGGTTGGAACCATGCCAGAGGCACGTGGCAAGAGCTGCTAGAGAGCCCTGTGAGTGTGACTCTAGTGTGAAAGTCCCTTCCGAGAGCGCCGCTCCGCGCCGCCTCTATCTATTATCGCTGCATGCTCAACGTCGTTCTACCAATGCTCCCTGCCTGCTGCCAACTCTCCCCTCCCTCCTCCCACGCAGGGCTCTCAAATCCTGGTCGTCACACACAAGTCCCTCCTGAGGGCGCTGCTCTGCACTGCTCTTGGATTGGGCCCTGACAAGTAAGAAACCCTAATGTCTTGGAGTTCATGTTTTGTGCCTTGCTGACTGTTGAGTCGACTCAAAAGTCTGCTGTGGTTTGCTCTTGGATTGGGCCCAAGTAAGAGACTCTAATGTCTGCGCGTTCATGTTTTGTGCCTTTTCTCTGTCGTGTGAAAGGAGGAATTCGAGGAGGGTTAGGGGGGGTTGAGTAGGATGAGATGGAGGGTGTCACGAGAAGGTTTCGCTTCTGAGCATGTTGCTCCCCAGACCGTTTCGTCCAGGTGTCTCAGAGTTTTTACCACCCTGTCTTCCCTGTTCTCTTCTGCTGTCAGACCCCTTCCTTCGCTCTCATTCCTCCTTACTTCATCGTTTTCTCTGTTTGTGTTATTTTGGTTTCCTCGCTACCATTCCTCCTCACTTTTTGTTACCCCGCTCTTATGTCACTACTCTCATACCAGGTTCAGGGTAATGGACATCAACAATGGGGGCATGTGTGTGGTGATGGTCAACTGTTCCCTGTTCACAATCCCTGCCACTCTTGTTTCCTCGTTCTCATTCCCCTCCTTTGTTCCCATGCCAGGTTCAGAGCAATGGACATCAACAATGGCGGCATGTGTGTGGTGATGGTGAACAAAAGAGGAGAGCCCATGGTTGAGAATCTGAATGTCACGGCGCATCTACAGTCACATGCAATCAGTTTCCACTTCAAACCGTAGAGGCGAGCTATTGACTGCAACGGGAGAGATGGTGAGATGATGGCAACTTAACCCAATGTGGGTCCACACACTGTTTATCTGCGAACTCATACCGTGTCCTCTTGATGGCCTACTATTTTCCCTAACACTTGTATTGTCCTGCATGTACATTGTAGATGTATTGTAGTACTGGCTATGGATTGTGTAGTGCCCTAAACATACGGTACTTGTACAACAGATCTATCATGAATATGGAACGTCCGACTATAAGGACAGCAGAACTACGCGACCAATGGCTGGGGCTGAGCGTGATACGGGGTTTTTCCGTTTGAGACGAATTTCATCTCGTGATATCTCTACAAGATCAACTTCTGTCACCTCCAGCTTATCAATAATATCGTGAAAATTGGATGCACCCAACGATCCGCTGGCGTTGGGGTAAAAATCCAGTACCGTGGATGTACGGTACTCAGAGACACGCAGTCCCTCGGGCATCCTTGATTTTTTTTCGAGCCGTCACCACCACTAGGGTGGCTACGCATTCTATTGTTCCGAACTGTGTTTTTCCATGCCTTCCCACAAAACACTTCAGAGAAGACGCGCTACGAACAAATAGGAGCGGAAAAGGCATCATAATCAGGGGTTTCAAAGGGTTTATACGAATCGGGTCAATTTTCATCTGGAAGAGGGGTTTAGTTGTGTGCCCGCGGGCAGATGACTGCGGTAATTCGGTGCGAATTTCGGCAGCTCCTTTTTCGGTGTGGGTGTCGGCAAGTGTACCACATGCGCTTCCGCGCCGTCGACCAGGCAAATCGCGCCAGACACATTACGCAACTGCACAACCCATCACAGAATGCTTATATCCAGTTACTCAATGTGAATCAATGTGATTTTGTCTCGTCTAGCAGGAAATTTGCCCCCTGTGACTCACATTCATCCTAGTAGTTGCTTCTTTCTTACCATGGCCCATACAATCGCTGCATCCGCTGTTCGCAGTCCTGGCATTCCTGTTTTCAGGGGAATTTCAAGGCCAGCTTTGGTAACGCGAGCCGCAATCCGACTCGACTCTCGATGCAGTCACATTCCGTACCAAATCCGCCACGTGTCACCCCGACAGGAGCGCGCCTCGTCCGTCATTAGTAGCCGCGAAGGAGCTCTTGTTCCGACTGCTGATTCCTCGCCTATTTACCCGCAAATTGCGCTTCCGTCCCCCAATAGCAGCGCAGAAACATCTATTACCGCCGCGATTCGAACCTCGACCTCCATTGGCCGCCGAACCGCTGCGCTCCACTCCACACCGAGTCAGCTTATATCGAGGCTCCCAACTCGCGCTTACGGCAGCGAATCAGGACTGCCACGTGGAGGGAATTCGTTAAGCACGGGACAGCGCAGCAACAATGGGGCAGCACTATCAGCAAGAGCAGCAGCCGGGGGAAGGGTGGAAGGGAGAGGAGGAGAAGGAGGAGGAGAGGGATTGGCAGATGGGGTGGGGGATATTGATGGAGAAGCAGCTACTATCGCTCACCCGCAGCGTCGATTAGAGGTCTGCCTTACTCTCTGCACACCACTTCTCCTCTCTCTCCCACTTTTTGAGGCGCTTCACAGTTTGAAACATCCGTTCTGACTCGCCCTTTAGAGAATTCTCAATAGTGTTTTTAACATCACTTCACAGTTCGAAGGGATCGGCGAATCAAGTGCTCTACAAACTGGCTTTCATGCTCTCTCACCTTACCCCAACCATGTTTTTGAGTCGACTCAAAAACATTCGTTCTGACTCGCCCTTTTGAGAATAGTGTTTTTAACATCACTTCACAGCTCAATAGGGATCGGCGAATCACGTGCTCTACAAACTGGCTTTCATGCTCTCTCACCTTACCCCAACCATTCTTACTTGTCTATCTCTCATGTGTGAACCCTATACTACCCCACCAGCTGCTGCTACTGGCACTGCTGACAGTAAGCCTGGGAGTGGCCAACCGAGTGCTTTATAATCTCGCCCTCATTCCGATGTGCCGCTACCCCTTTTTCCTCGGCCAGCTCACCACATTCGGGTGAGTCTCCTCATCTAGGGAGGGTGTTTTTGAGATGTCTCAAAAACAGCCTCTCTACACGTGGCCCTACAATCTCGCCCTCATTCCGATGTGCCGCTACCCCTTTTTCCTCGGCCAGCTCACCACATTCGGGTGAGTTTCCTCATCCTCCTCATCTGCTGCTCCCTCGATATGGTCACACCCGACATACTCCCTCGATATAGTCACACCCGTACGTGGCCATCTATTCGACTCAAAAGCAGGAGTATTCGGGGATAGTTTTTGAAATTTCTCACAACCCAGCTTCGCCATTTGCGCACAAATCTGTGATTCCCTTTTTTCTTTCCCCTTTGCTTGCTCTGATCACCAGGAGTTTGTCTTCCGAGATTCTGCCAAGAAGCTCAACGTAAGCCTTACCACCACATCCCTAGTTAACAGCCCAGCTTTTTCTTGTGAGGCATGGAAAAGATCAAGCCGGGGGGTTGGTCCTGAGCTGTCTCAGGACTTGACCTCTATGCTGACAAGTCACACAAGCAGCTTGTGAGGCGCCTCAAAAGTCGTCGCAGCTTGTGAGGCGCCTCAAAAAGAGTTGACCTCTATGCTGACATGCCACACAAACAGCCCATGCCTGTAAATGTGAACCATTCGTGTTCCATATCAACATATCACATGTCACATGTCACATATCACATGTCACATGTCACATATCACATGTCACATTTCACATGTCACAATTCACGTACGCATGTGCATGCATACGCAAAGTGGATGTGCATATCAATTGTCACATCTCATTCGTTCAATCCATGCCAAGCCTTCTCATCCTGCCCCACCGAACCACACCACACCACACCACACCACACCACACCACACCACACCACACCTCCCTCAGGGTCGCTCGTTAGACATCTTTGTTGTCAACACCTTCGGATCAGCCTTCCAGGTGCTTTCCCTTTTGCAGACACCTCTATTCGCAGATTCTCCCTTTCATCCACCCCCCCCTTCTCCTTGTTCCTTTGTTTCCCCCCATTCCCTTTCATCTTCTTTGTCCCTACCCTCCTCGCTTGGCAACACCATTTGGATATTAAATAAGGTCACTTATGAGTCGACTCAGAAGTCACCCCTCTCTCTTCTGATTATACTTCTCAAAAACTGAACCCCCAACATCCTCACTCTGCGTACCCCACCGCATGCGCTTTTCATCCTCATCCTCCCTGTCATTCATCCTCACTCCAAGTGACGTTAGAGTCGACTCAAAAACACACCCACTTCTTCCCCTCCCCTGCCGCCCCTCCCACCACCACAGGCGCTTTTCATCCTCATCTTGCTGCCGCTCATCTCCTCTCTGGGCTACAGAATTCCTCTCTGTTTTAAAGACGCCTCATAGTGACACGAATACCTCCTGCGCAGCTTCCTGGCCACTTCCGGGAAGGTGCTGCGTGCCTTCTCAACTTCAACCAGGGCGTTCCAGGTGCATCGGCAGTTAGAGCTGAATGGATCTCAGCCATTATTCTAGTTTTGAGGCGCCTCAAAAGTCGTACCAGGTGCGTCTGTAGTCAGATGTGAATGGATCTGAGCTATTATTCTCGTTGTCAGTTCCACTCGATGTATCCCGCTCAACATCCCTCTGATGCATCTGCTCTTCTTGTTCCTCCACCTCTGCCTTCTCCCCAACGGTTATCGCGCTACGTGTGTACAGCGGATTTTTTTAGACATCTCAGAAATTCACTGTACACAGTGTATGCTTTTTGAGAATTCTCAAAAAACATACACTGTCTCCCCAGCAGTGATCTCGCTGCTGCCTCTGCCAAAATCCGCTCCTTCCCATTCCTTTTGAGGCGCCTCAAAAGTCAACATCCCTCTAATGCAACTGCTCTTCTTGTTCCTCCGCCTCCCGCTCCGCCTTCTCCCCAGCAGTGATCTCGCTGCTGGCTCCGCATGAATCCGCTCCTTTGCACTCTGTTTTTGAGTCAACTTAAAAACAGACTCATTAAACGCCTTCTCCCCAGCAGTGATCTCGCTGCTGGCTCCGCGTGAATCCGCTCCTTTGCACTCTGTTTTTGAGTCAACTTAAAAACAGACTCATTAAACGCCTTCTCCCCAGCAGTGATCTCGCTGCTGGCTCCGCGTGAATCCGCTCCTTCCCATTCCTCTCTTCCCTTTCGCTCTCCCCCCCGCCCCACCTTACCAGGCTGCCAGGGAGCGCCTCTCCTCCCGCTGCTCTACGCCGCAACCAACCTAGCCTTCAACATCTCTGTGCTGGCTCGTCCCATTCCTCCCCTCCTTTTTCCCTTCCCACTGCTCCCCACCCCACCTTGCCAGGCTGCCAGGGATCCCCACTCTTCCCGCTGCTCTACGTCGCAACCAAACTAGAGCAGTGGGAGCAGCGGGACTGACCTTTGAGTCGACTCAATAATCAGCAGCGGGGCTGCTCCCACTGTTTAGCATCTCCCAACTAGCTTTACCTGTTCCTCTCTTCCCTTCCCCCCTTCCACCGTACTCCACCACTGCAGGCTGTCAGGGAACCCCGTTGCTCCTGCTGTTTTACGTCGCAACCAGTTCAACTTTCAACATCTCGCTGCTGGCTCTGCTTGCAAAGTTGTGTCCTGCTGTTTCCCTTCTCACCACTCCCACAAACCTGCCAGGCTGCCAGGGAGCGCCGCTCCTCCCGCTGCTCTACGTCACAGCCAATCTAGCCTTCAACATTTCCCTTCTCGCTCTGCTTAAGAAGTCGTCTGCAGTGGTCGCATCCCTCTCCATGACCCTCACAGGTACTGATGTTTGAGCTTCATGCACTCATGCACACGCGCACACTCGCACGCACTCTCACTCTCGCACCTGCATACATGCACATCTTGCTGCTCGCTCTGCTCAAGAAGTCGTCTGCAGTGGTCGCATCCCTCTCCATGACCCTCGCAGGCAGTGATGTGAGCTGCATACAACTATGCACATATGCACACACAAGCAGAAGCACACCTGCACACGTGCACGGATGCACATGCACATGCACATGCACACCAATGTTGGTGGGATAGATGCTACCACCCTTACGATCTCTCCTCCGTTCCCCTTCTTCCCCCTCGCCACCCTTCCCCAGCTGACTTTTGAGGCGACTCAAAAGTCAGCACTGTTGGTGGGATAGCTGCTACCTCCCTTGCGATCTCTCCTACGTTCCCCTTCTCCCCCTTCCCCCTCACCACCCCTCCCCAGTGCCCCTGACAGTACTGGCATTCACCTTCCCCCTGCCCCTGCGAGGCCCGCCCCAACCCCTGAGGGGGGGCGTTGTAGTGGGAACCCTCGTGCTGCTGTTGTTGCATCTTGGCCTCGCTGCTTCTGCTTCTTCTGTCCCTTGCAACCTCTCCTCTCCCGTCTCCCCCGCCCCGCCCTTCCCATCCCCCAGTGCCCCTGACATTGCTCGCCTTCACCTTTCCCCCTGCCCCCTGCAAGGCCCGCTCCAGCTCCTGAGGAGGGGCGCTATTCTTGAAACGCTTGTGCTGCTGCTGCTACGAGTATTGCTGACCCGTCACACCTCTCTTCCCATCTCTTCTCTTTCTCCTTCTTCCCAACACCCCAGTGCCCTTGACATTGCTCGCATTCACCTTCCCCCTGCCCCTGCGAGGCCTGCCCCAGCCCCTGAGGGGGGGCGTTGTGGTGGGAACCCTCGCTTTTGAGTCGACTCAAAAGCGTCGTGGTGAGAACCCTCGTGCTTCTGTTGCAAGTATTGCTGACCCTCCAAACCTCGCTTCCCATTCCTCCCTCTTCTCCTCTCCCCCATCACCGCCCCTCCCCCAGTGCCCCTGACATTGCTCGCATTCACCTTCCCCTTGCCCCTGCGAGGCCCGCCCCAACCCCTGAGGGCGGGCGTCAAGGTGGGGACTGTAGTGCTGCTGCTGGGGCTGACTGCTTACAGCCTTGCCACGCCCGGGGGAGCAGGAGGGGGGTTGAAGTTGGCAGCAGGGAAGGAGGACTAGGTTGGATGGGGATGGGAGGTGCGAGGCCCGCCCCAACCCCTGAGGGGGGGCGTTGTTGTGGGGACTTAGTGCTGCTGCTGGGGCTGACTGCTTACAGCCTTGTTAAGCCTGGGGGAACAGGAGGACTGAAGTTGGCAGCAGGGAAGGAGGACTAGGTTGGATGGGGATGGGAGATAGGAGGCACCGCCCCAGCCCCTGAGGGGTGGCGTTGTGTTGTGGTGGGAAGCCTCGTGCTACTGCTGGGACTCGCTGTTTACAGCCTTGCCAAGCGTGGGGGAGCAGGAGGGCGAGCAGGAGGGGGGTTGAAGTTGGCAGCAGGGAAGGAGGACTAGGTTGGATGGAAGGCTGTAGGAGGAAGGTTCAGCCCCAGCCCCTGAGGGGAGGACTTTTGAGTCGACTCAAAAGGAAGAGGAAAGGGAGAGGAGGAAGGTTCAGTCCCAGCCACTGCCAAAGTCGACTCAAAAGGAAGGGGGGGTGGGGGGGTGTAGTGATTGGCACCCTCCTGCTGCTGTTGGGGCTGACTGCTTACAACCTAGCCACGCCTGGGGGAGGAGGGAGAGGGGGAGCAGGAGGAGGAGGAGCAGGATGGGGGGTGAAGTTGGCAGCAGGGAAGGAGGACTAGGTTGGATGGGAGGCTGTTGGGAGGGAGGGTCAGTCCCAGTTTCCGAGAGGGGCGTTGTGGTCGGCACCCTTGTGCTGCTTCTGGGGCTGACTGCTTACAACTCTGCCAAGCTTGGGAGCACAGGAGAGGGGAGATTGGAATTGGCAGGAGGTGAGGAGGAAGACTAGGCAGGACGAGTCTCGTTCTGCTGCTGAAGTTGGCTGCTTGAAATTGGCAGGAGGTGAGAGGACTAGACTAGAAGACCTGCGTGCTTTTGAGTTGACTCAAAGGCAGGAGGTGAGAAGGAGGACCAGGCTAGAAAACCCTAGTGCCGCTGCAGAGAGGAGCGGCAGGGGGGAGAGGGGGGAGGGGGGGGGTTGAAATTGACAGGTGAGAAGGAGGACCAGGCTAGAAAACCCTAGTGCCATGCCAGGGCTGGCTGTTTATAGCCTTGTCAAGCCTGGGAGCACGTGAGGGAGAGGAGCGGTAGGGGGAGAGGAAGAAGGGGCGGGGGGAAGGGGTGAGAAGGAGGACCAGGCTAGAAAACCCTAGTGCCATGCCAGGGCTGGCTGTTTATAGCCTTGTCAAGCCTGGGAGCACGTGAGGGAGAGGAGCGGTAGGGGGAGAGGAAGAAGGGGCGGGGGGAAGGGGTGAGAAGGAGGACCAGGCTAGAAAACCCTAGTGCCATGCCAGGGCTGGCTGTTTATAGCCTTGTCAAGCCTGGGAGCACGTGAGGGAGAGGAGCGGTAGGGGGAGAGGAAGAAGGGGCGGGGGGAAGGGGTGAGAAGGAGGACCAGGCTAGAAAACCCTAGTGCCATGCCAGGGCTGGCTGTTTATAGCCTTGTCAAGCCTGGGAGCACGTGAGGGAGAGGAGCGGTAGGGGGAGAGGAAGAAGGGGCGGGGGGAAGGGGTGAGAAGGAGGACCAGGCTAGAAAACCCTAGTGCCATGCCAGGGCTGGCTGTTTATAGCCTTGTCAAGCCTGGGAGCACAGTATGGGGGCGGGGAGAGGTGGGATGGTGAGGAGTTGGGGTGTCTGCCCGCATGTACCATTGATAGTCTTTCAGGCGTGAAAGGCGGAGGAGGAAGCGACTTTCAATGCGCCTCAACAGGAGTTGTGTTGTCTGCCTGCTTGCATCGTAAGGCGGAGGAGGAAGACGAATTTATTTTGAGTCTACTCAAAAGTCAGCACAGTATGGGGGCGGGGAGAGGTGGGATGGTGAAGAGTTGGGTTGTCTGCCTGCTTGCATCATTGATGGCCTTATAGGCATGAAAGGCGGAGGAGGAAGAGGAGGATAAGATGGTGGGGCCTCTGGTGTTGCTCGCAGTGTTGCCAAGAGGTGACTTTTGTGTCGAATCAAAAGTCGCCTCGTTACAGAAGTCACTTTTGAGTCGACTCAGAAGAGGAGTATATGTCACCGAATATGCACGGTTGTGCATATAAGGTGCCAGTAATAAGGGGGTGTAGCAAGGGTGTAGTTATGTTGTGCTTGCAGATTCGAGGATGGGTAGGTGGGGGCTGGGAAATTGACGCGAAGTTGGTAGGAGAGCACCAAGGGGTGAAATCCATGCAACCAATGGGAACGAACCAACCCAGGCTCGAGCCGCACATTGAGAAATGCACGGTTCGAGCCAGGGTCAGGTAAGTTCACTCTCACACACACACACAATGCTTTCCGTTTGTTATCCTTTCGTATAGTGGATTCTTGTTGCCTTAAGCTTTGCCTATGGTGACACCCACTCAGGGAGGACCCTTGAGGTGAGAGTTTCATTTCTTTCATAACAAACGGAAAGGGTGCGCGTACAAGCATGGATGTGTACGAGCTGCGTTACGGCAGGAATTACGGACGCCGTGAGGAGGATCGCCCACGGCGCGAACGCTCACGTGAGCGAGGACGTTACTTGGAGAGGTCGCCGCGGCGACCTGAGCGATCTCCGCGGTGGCCGGCCTTTCGCGCGGATCAGGTACCTCTCGCGCCAGATCGGCAAGAGGGAAGATCCGCTCGAGAAGGAAGAGGCGGATCCGGATCTGTCACGATGGGAAGCGACCCATGGCGGACGGACGGGCGTCACGGAGCTGAGGGCGGTTATGGGTACCGCCAGGACACGGGAGCGTACCGCTCGCCGGAGGAAGGCTATCGCAGTCGCGAAGAGAGAAGTCGCGGGCGAGGCCTGGAGGAGTTCTTCTCAGGTCGCCAAGGCGATCTTGACGTGGATGGCGACGACGAGGCCAACTCGGCGAATCGAGTGCGGGAGACGAACCGTGATGGTGAGATCAAGGGCGATGACGAATCCCCGGAGGAAGGCGCAGGCGAGCAGCGCGAAAAGCCCGCTGAAGTCGAGGACAAGGATCCCGCGCAGGCGGGCGTGGCGGCGGAGCCGAGCACGGTGGAGGCGGACGGAAAGGGCGGTAGTCGAGATCTGCCGCACGACGAAGAGAAAGGCGACGGCGGGGGGCGTGGCAGTGGCGCGCGCGCTTCAGATTCGCGTCAGCAGCGTGACGAGGGACGTGGCGGCGGCGCGCGTTCGCCTGATCCGCGCCTGAATCGGGACGGAGGACGCAGCGGCAGTGCGCGCTCGCCAGATCCGCGGATGTACCGGGAAGGGGGGGCGTGTGGCGACACGCGCGCGCCGGATCGGCGGCAGAACTATGGCGGGGAAGGCGGTAGCGGCGCACGCTCACCAGACCCACGACGTCCGCACGGGAGCGAGAGGCATAGAAGCGGCTATCGCTCGCCAGTGCGGCAGCAGCTACATGAAGACAGGTGCAGGGGCGGCTACCGCTCGCCTGAGCCACGGCAGTACCAAGACAATGGGCGCGGGGGAAGTGGGCGCTCACCAGATCCGCGGAGGTATCACGACTGGAGAGGCGGAGGGGAGCGGCGCTCTCCAGGTCCCCGGTATCCACGTGACGAGGGACGCGGAGGCGACTACCGCTCGCCTGGTCGGCAACGGTATCATGGAGAGAGATGGGGAAGCGAGACGCATTCGCCCGAGTGGCACAGGCGACCTGGAGAAAGCAGGGAAGGCGGACATGGCTCGCGGCCACGGCAACAGAGCCGGGAAGGGGGGCGCGGCTATGGGCATCACTCACCTGATCGGTACGGGCGGTATGACGGAAGGCGTGCCAGTGAGGAAGGACGGGATCAGCGCGGCAGCAGAGAAGGAGGCAGTGGGCTGATGCACAGCCTGGAGCGAGCCAGAGAGGCAAGGGAAGGATTATTGCGGGCGAGAGAGAGAGGAGCATCAGGGAGATCGGCAGAAGGGCCGAGCGAGGCGTGGGGAGAAGGCAAGGGAAGCACGGCAATGGTCACGAGGGTGGAAGTGCCAACACGCTTCTCAGGAGACCAGCGTACGGGCCCCACACTGAAGAATTACCTGATGCAGGTTGGCATCGTGCGGTACCGGTGCGAAAGGAGCGGCATGGACTCAGTGGACTTCTTCCTGAGTCTGCCGAACACATTAGAAGGGGAGGCGGAGACGTTATACAGGATGAAGATGGATGAGCTACTGGACAGGGCAGGAAGGTACGGGGAGGACCCTACTGAGGCATTCCTGAGGCGGCTAAAGCGGCAGTTTCCAGGGCACACGGCAGAGAAAATCAGACAGTTTCAAGATTTCAGGAAGGGGCGGAGTGAGTCACTGCTCACCTACTATAACCGCCTGGTCAACTTGGCAGAGGATGTGGCCTGCGCAGACACGGCCCTGCTTGTGAGTAAGTTCCTGGATGGGCTGGAGGGCACTTTGGGAAGCGGACTGCGGATGAAAGTGTATGAAATGGGAGCTGACACAGCGCTGGAGGAGGTGTTTGAACTGGCAGAGAAAATGGAGCTGGCGCAGAGGAGGTATGAAGCTTATAGGCCCAGTCCGGCGGAGCGAGGCAGGGGACCTACATGGGCTGCTGCCATGATACCAGAGGAGAGGGACAGGGCAGCGGGAAGAGGGGAGACCAGGACTGACACGCGGACGTGCCACCGATGCGGGCAGCCAGGACACTTGCGCAGGGACTGCAAGAATTGTGACTCTTGTGGCAAGCCAGGGCACCGACGGCGGGAATGTGCTACGGCCGCGAAGTGTAAAGTATGTGGGAAGGGAGGACATGCAGCGAAGGAATGTTATCAGCGAGGGGGAGCAGCGAAGAAGACGTTAGAGGAACTGGAGAAGCAGATTGGCAGGTTGCAAGCCCAGCTGCAGGCAATGGGACCACGGCGGGAAGCAGAAGCGGGGATGTACGCCAAGGAAGAGGAAGAGGAGGACGTGGAGCAGGATGAAGAGGCCGCATTCATGGTGTGGCAAGGAGGAGAAGAGGAGGAAACAGAGCATGAGGAGCAGCCAGCTTATATGGTATGGAGGGGAAGGGAAGAGATGGGGCTACGCAGCGGTGGAAAGGACGCACGGAAGGAACATGTGAGAAAGGAGAGGGAGAAGGGACAGAAACCTAAGGAGAAGGAAGAAAGGTACACCGCTGCGCGGCACCCCCAAGAGAGGTTGGCGTGCCAGACTTCAGTGCTGCTGATCCAAGGCGGCGCATTGACTGTGGAAGGAGAGAAGGCGAAGACGGCGATCATAGATACGGGGGCGCAGAGTGTAATACTCGGGAAAGGGATGGCAGAGAAGCTGGGACTGTGGGCTCCAGACCGACACGTGGTGAAAGGAATGCTGGTGATGACCGCGGAAGGGGGCGAATCCAAGTGGATGCCATGTACCAGGACGCCGATAGAGCTGACGGTGCTGAAAGGGGAGAAGCATGAGACGCAGGTCAGGATCAGGTGTGGGATCTCAGAGTCAGAGGACTTTGACGTCTTAGTAGGCACAGAAATGATCTTCGCACTGGGCATGACCATCTGCTTCTGGAAGGAGACAGTAGAGTTTCGGACCAGGTGGTGGAAGGAGGGCGATCCGCTAGGACAGCTACCGGTGCAGTTCGTCAGGACAGAGCCAAAGAGGGCTTATAGGGCTGGTCCAAAGGAGGGAGCAATGGAACAGGGGGCACCAGAGAAGGCAGCAGATGGAAAAGGAAATGGAGGGCCAAGGATGCACTTCATGGATGAACCGAGCCAACAAACAGACTGGCAGCAACCCATTCGGCTGGTGGAGCTGTTCGGGGGAATAGGGGCGGGACTGGCAGCAGTGGTGCGGAACGGCATCGCTGTGAAGCAGTGGATCTACGTGGAAAAGGCACCAGAAGTGAGGAAAATGGCGGAACACCACGCGTGGGAGCTACACAAGGAGTTTCCAGAGCTGCTGAAGGAAGAAGTGGTCAAGGCAGCCATGAGCCGAGGAGTAAATGACGTGAGGACAATCACAGAAGCTGAAGTAGCAAGCTGGGGGCACGTGGACCTGCTGGTGGCTGGGTGGGAATGCCAAGGGGTATCATGGGCAGGAAAGGGGAAAGGGGAGCAAGACCCGAGGACGCAGCTGATGGAGGACCTGTTCAGGATCATGGAATGGCTGCGGGCGAAGCAGGGCAGGTTGGCATACCTGCTAGAGCATCTGGACATGAGTGGGGATGTGCGAGAACCAGTGAGGCTGGTGAAGGAAAGAGTGACCTAGCAGGTGGGTAAAGGGGTAAGCAGTGACGCAGCACGGATGGGAGCATACGCACATCGGCTCAGGATGTACTGGCAGAACGTGGTGCCAGCGGAGGACCTGCAGAAAGAGATTGAAGGGGTACAGAGAGCGGGAGGACGAAAGGTGAGCGATATACTGGAGCCAGGAAGAACGCCAGCACCAGTGAGGAAGAAAAGCTACAGCAGACATTATCCGTGCAACCAAGTGGGGCAGGAGAGGCAAGCGCTACCTACTCTGGTGTCATATGAGGGGGCAGCGGGATATAGGATGGATGGGGAACAGCCAGGCCCAGGACTGGTACGGGACCACAGGAAGGGACGGTGGGAAGAGCCCACGGCCCTGGAGGGGGAGCTAGCCATGGGGTACAAGGAGAATGCCACAGCAGCTCCAGGCGTGAGCGAGAAAGAGAGGCGGCGAGCGATGGGGAATGCCATGGATGGGTACATGATGAAGTGGCTGGTGCAGCGGATGTGGAGAGAGACCGTGCTGCAGTGGGGACTGAAGGAAGGAGAAAGCACGGTAGCGACAGTCAGACAGGGGGTGTGGACGTGCCTGCCGAAAGAAGAGCACGAATGGAAGATAGGCGAGAGCATGAGCGAGGGAGGGAAGGCGGCAATGAGGGCACTGTTAGTCAAGCATAGGAAGGGTTTCGCCTTCACCCTGCAGGAGTTGGGGAAGTGTAAGATCAAGGAAATGGCACTGAAGCTGAGCAGTGAGGAGCCGGTGTTTCACCGTAGGAGGAAGATGCCACCAGGGGATGAGGCGATCTGCAGGGAGAAGATCAAGGAGTTATTGGAGGCAGGGCTGATCAGGAGGTCCGAGTCCGAGTACGCAACCCCGACCGTGGTAGCAGCCAGGAAGGATTTGACAGGAGAGGTGCTGAGCCGGAGGATGTGCGGGGATTACAGAGATCTTAACAAGATCACGGTGCCAGACAGATACCCAATGCCGATGGCGGAAGAACTTTTTGACAAGATGGCCGACGGGGTGTATTTCACAACACTAGACCTGCGACAGGGATTCAATCAAATCAAGATCAGTGAGGAAGATGTGAAGAAAACGGCTTTCCACGGACCGGATGGGTTGTACGAATGGCTGTACATGCCCTTTGGTCTGAGGAACGCCTCAGCGGTGTTCCAGCGCGTCATGGACGCGGTGCTGAGGGGGATAGAGCATGCAGCATGCTACATCGACGACGTGGTGATCTTCAGCTTGACCGAGCAGCAGCACTTGGAGGACGTGGAGAGGACATTGACGGCTATAGAAGAGGCAGGGCTCACGTGCCACCCTAACAAGTGCAGATGGGGGGAGCAGACGGTGCAGTACCTGGGGTACGAGGTCACAGGGGGACAGATTGGGATCCAGCAGGCAAAGGTCCAGGTGCTAGACAAGTTAAGGGAGCCAAGAGATAAGTCAGGACTGCGTGCAGTCCTGGGCTTCCTCAGCTATTACAGGCGCTTCGTGCCGAACTTCAGCAAGAGAGCGGGTGCTGAACGGGATGCTGCGAGAGGACATGGCGTGGGAGTGGGGAGAGAAGCAGAGGGAGGCGCTGCACGATCTCATGTCAGCAGTGAAGACGGCGACAGTGCTGCGGCTGCCAGCAGCAGACCAGCCCTTCATCCTCTACACCGACTGGAGCAGCCAGGGGATGGGGGCGATCCTGTGCCAAGAAGTAGAGGGAGTGGAGAAAGTGGTAGCCTACGCTAGTAGGAGCTGTAACCCAGCAGAGGCGCAGTACAGCTCATACATTGGGGAGGGGCTGGCGGCAGTATGGGCAGTAGGACACTTCCGGGTGTACTTGCAGGGCAGAGAGTTCACGCTAGTTACAGACCATCAGCCACTCACGTGGCTAATGACGACGCCGGGCCTGACGGGGAGGAATGCGCGGTGGGCAGTAAAGCTGCAGGAATATGATTTCAAGATCAGGCACAGGCCGGGGAAGACACTGCAGCACGTTGATGGCCTGTCCCGCAACCCGCCACCACCAGAAGCAGAGCAGGCCGCCAAGCAGATGGGAGAGACGGAGCAGGAGCCAGCACAGACCTTAATCCTGCTGGCGAGGGAGGTAGAGCGGGCGGGTGCAAAAGGGAGCAAGGGGCCAGCCGACATATGGCTGGATGCAAAGGCAATGGAGTGGCTGAAGGGAGAGACGGAGGAAGATGAAACGGTGCCCGAAAGGGTGAGGGCACGGGGACACCACTACAGGTGGTATCAGCAGCAGCTACAGATCAAGACGGAGGACGGCTGGAAGCCGGTGCCAGCACCTGAAGAGCGTGACGCTGTGATCAAGGAAGTCCACAACAAGCTGGGACATTTCGGGCACGAAAGGACAGTGCAGCTGCTCAAGACGGGCTGGTGGTGGGAAGGGATGCGCAGGCAGGTGAAAGAGTGGGTGGAAGGGTGCGAGGCGTGTCTGAGGAGCAAAGCCAATCTGACGCAAGCCAAAGCAGAGCTGCACTCACTGCCCATCTGTGGGCTGGGGTTTCGCTGGTCACTAGACCTCGGGAGCTGCCGCTGAGCAGGAGCGGGAATCAGTATATAGTGTTCATGGTGGAACATGTGAGTAAGTGGCTGGAGGTGAGAGCCATACCGAGCAAGAGCGCGAGGCATATTGCAGCAGCCTTCAAGGCGCAGGTGGTGTGCCGATTTGGAGCGTGCCGGGAAGTACTCACTGATCAAGGAACAGAGTTCCAAGGAGAGTTCAAGAAGCTGCTGGCGGAGTCTGGCATCGCGCACCGTAAGACCTCCCGCTACCACCCGCAGAGCGACGGGCTGACTGAGCGGGCCGTGCAGACCTTTAAGCGGGGACTGCGGGCCTATGGGGAGCAGAGGAAGAGAGACTGGGATGAGGAGTTGGACTGGATAGCAGCAGGGTACAGGTTCGGGAAACAGACAGCCCTGAAGGACCACTCCCCGTACAGCCTACTTTACGGACGAGAGCCCATACTGCCAGTGGGGGCACCGCGGGTATTGACTGATACAGTGACGGCGGGCACGATCAAGAACTGGGTAGCTCTGTCCGAGGTGAGAGCGCGCTACATGCGCTACATGATGCCAGCTGCACTGGAGAACCTGCACACCGCGCAGCTGAGGGATGCCAGGAGGTATGAACAGAGGCAGCGCAAGGGAGATGGGCGAGTGACAAGGGGCGTCAGCGAAGGGCAGGAGGTGTATCTCAAGAGAGCAAAGCAGGACACCTTGGATGTAGGACTGGGGACGGTCCGCTGGAAGGTCAAGGAGGTGCGCCCTTCGGGGGTGCTGGTCCTGGAGAATGACACGGGAGCGCAGTTGAAGGAGCATCAAACGAACACGGCAGTGATCCGAGGAATAGGGCCTCAGCGCAACGGTCCCGTGACCCGCGCTCAAGCTGCGCGAGCACGGGCACAGGAGGGGGCAGAGGGTGGCTGAGGCAACAGAAGCAGTGAAGAGAAGTTGAGCAAGAAGACTAAGGCAGATGAGGGAGTAGCTGTATCTCCGACAGCTGTCACCGAGTATGCACGGTTGTATACTCGGCTGTGAACTCGGTGCCACTTTTGAGTCGACTCAGAAGAGGAGTATATGTCAACGAATATGCACGGTTGTGCATATAAGGTGCCAGTAATAAGGGGGTGTAGCAAGGGTGTAGTTATGTTGTGCTTGCAGATTCGAGGATGGGTAGGTGGGGGCTGGGAAATTGACGCGAAGTTGGTAGGAGAGCACCAAGGGGTGAAATCCATGCAACCAATGGGAACGAACCAACCCAGGCTCGAGCCGCACATTGAGAAATGCACGGTTCGAGCCAGGGTCAGGTAAGTTCACTCTCACACACACACACAATGCTTTCCGTTTGTTATCCTTTCGTATAGTGGATTCTTGTTGCCTTAAGCTTTGCCTACGGTGACACCCACTCAGGGAGGACCCTTGAGGTGAGAGTTTCATTTCTAGGGTGGCTGAGGCAACAGAAGCAGTGAAGAGAAGTTGAGCAAGAAGACTAAGGCAGATGAGGGAGTAGCTGTATCTCCGACATATAAGATGACGGGGCCTTTAGTGTTGCTCGCAATGTTGCCATGCCAACCTTTGATTGGTCACAAATGTGCCATGAGCATTGATTTTTTTGCAAGGGGAAAGGAGATTGGAGTTGACGCCAATGAGGGAATTCTGGAGCAGACAAGACCAAGTCAACAATAGCTATGCTCCTCCTTTGAACATGCTACTTGCGATTAAAAGTACAAAATAGCGATAAGAAAGAGTGCGCCCTGCCCTGCTGCGAGTCTTGAGGCGCCTCAAAACTAGAGAGTGCGCCCTGCCCTGCTGTGAGTTTTACCCCACTGCCACTGCCACTGCCACTGCCACTGCCACTGCCACTGCCACTGCCACTGCCACTGCCACTGCCACTGCCACTGCCACTGCCACTGCCACTGCCACTGCCACTGCCACTGCCACTGCTCACAAGGCCCTCCCACTGCCTCGGCCACAGACCCTGCCGCTGCTCTGCCCTGCCCTGCCCTGCCCTGCCCTGCCCTGCTCTGCTCTGCTCTGCTCTGCTCTGCTCTGCTCTGCTCTGCTCTGCTCTGCTCTGCTCTGCTCTGCTCTGCTCTGCTCTGCTCTGCTCTGCTCTTCTCTGCTCTGCTCTGCTCTGCTCTGCTCTGCTCTGCTCTGCCCTGCTCTTCTCTGCTCTGCTCTGTTCTGTTCTGCTCTGCCCTGCCCTGCCCTGCGCTGCCCTGCCCTGCCCTGCTCTGCTCTGCTCTGCTCTGCTCTGCTCTGCCATTTGCGGTCGCTAATTAGTATGAGTGCATGCTCAAGGGCGTTTTGCCATTCCTCCCTGCCCTCCTAGTCCTTCTCTGCTCTGCTCTGCTCTGCTCTGCTCTGCTCTGCTCTGCTCTGCTCTGCTGTGTTATTCACTGCCTCTTAATAATATAATTGCATGCTCAAGGGTGTTCTGCCATTCGTCCCTGCCTGCTCTGCTCTGCTCTGCCCTGCTCTGCTCTGCTCTGCTCTGCTCTGCTGTGTTATTCACTGCCTCTAAATAATATGAGTGCATGCTCAAGGGTGTTCTGCCATTCGTCCCTGCCTCCTCTGCTCTTCTCTGCTCTCTCTGCACTGCTCTCCTGTGTTATTCACTACCTCCAAGTAATATGAGTGCATGCTCAAGGGTGTTCTGCCATTCGTCCCTGCCTGCTGTCAACTCTCCCATCCATCCTCCCATGGGATCTCAAATCCTGGTCGTCGCACACGAGTCCCTCCTGAGAGAGCTGCTCTGCTCTGCACTCGTGCAAACTCATGACTCTCAGGCTCCTGCCACTGTCACTGCTTCTCCCTGCCCTCCCTCCTCCCACTCAGGGCTCTCAAATGTTGGTCGTCACACACAAGTCCCTGCTGCGAGCACTGCTCCGCTCTGCCATCCACTCCCTCTATTTATTGTCAGTGAATTCTCAAGCGCCTTTTTCCCTTGCTCCCTGCCTGATGCCAACTCCCCCCTCCCTCCTCCCATGCAGGGCTCTCAAATCCTGGTCGTCACACACAAGTCCCTGCTTTGCCATGCCATCCACTCACTCTGTTTATTCTCAAGAGCTTTCTGCCAATGCTGCCTGCCTGCTGCCACCCCTTCCTCCTCCCATGCAGGGCTCTCAAATCCTGGTCGTCACACACAATTCCCTCCTGAGAGCGCTGCTCTGCACTGCTCTTGGATTGGGCCCTGACAAGTAAGAGAATCCAAACTTGCGCTCGCTTAGGAGGTTCATTTCGCAGTCAATTTTGAAAAATCTTAGAAGTGGAGTCTTTTAGTGGCATTCTCATTCCCAAGGCATGCAACCCGCCAGGGAACACTCAAAAGGCCCTCATGTGAAGGGGGGAGGTGGGGCTATGGGGTGATAACAGTAGGATTTGAGTGCCTTAGGAATGAGGACATGATGAAAAGTTTCCGCTTCTGAGCATGTTTCATCCTAAACCGTTTTGAGTAAGCGTCTTTAGTGGCGTCCTCCATACTCTATCTTGCCCCTTTGGTTCCCCGTTTATCCTTTGTTCTATAATCCCCATTCTCGTTCTCGGTCATTTCCCTTCCCCACTTTTTATCTTTCCCTGGTCTGATTCCCTGCTATCCCCCCCCCTCCCCCTGCCCGCTCTTATTGCCCACTGTCTCCCTCACCCTGTTCTGATCCCACACCAGGTTTAGAGCAATGGACATCAACAATGGGGGCATGTGTGTGACAACAGTAGAGGCGAGCCTACGGTTGAGAGTCTGAATGTAACAGACATCTACAGTCATATGCGATAAGTTACCACTTTAAGCAGTAGATTCAAGTCCATAATCAAGGTCTTGAATGTAACAGTCATTAGTTGCATGCAACCAATTGCCCACTTCAGGGATTGTGTGGATGTGTGAAACATAACTGAACACCACACAAACACCAATTGGGATTAAAGTGATGAGCCTGGTGCGCTTGTTGAAAACGCTTTTACCGAAGTCTGAAAACCACGTCATCCTCGCGTGGCATCGTTATCGACGAGAGACGAAATGTCGCGCCCCTCGCGTAGGCAACAAGTTACCCGCGTAGACGAGAATCGCTAAACATCCGCGAAATTGTAAGGCATCTCCAACAAATCCCCAGGGCTACATCCCGTTGGAGTTCAAAGCCTGATAGTTTGGATGATTTTTTACCGATCTGGGGGAAAAAGCATCCCACTGGCCAACTATTTCAGTCTTGGTCACAGATTTTGCTCGAACATTAGAAGATCTAAGCTCGGGGACCTCTTTATGTAGGGGAAATCGTTGCTCGACGAGCCAATACTTCAGCATTATAGCGCGTACTTTTCCACGCCAAGGGCGTAATTTGGAGGGACATCCGTCGCACTTATCCGCTTACCTCCCCCACTTATTCGCTAATCTCCCGCCGTTACGCCTTCCCATGGCGCATGCCGCGGCCGCCTCTGCCATCCGCTGTCGTGGCATTCCAGTTTTCACGGCAATTTCTAGGCCAGCTTCCAATCCAAGTCCAGCTGGCGTAACCAGAGCCGCAATCGGACTAGGATCTCGATTCAGTCACATGCCGTACTACCGAAACCGCCACGTGTCACCCGGACAAGCGCGCGTCCCATTGGTAAAGAGGCATGGTAGCAGAGCGGCAGCAGTATCAGCAAGAGCAGCAGCCGGAGGAAGGGTGGAAGGGGAAGGAGGAGAAGGAGGAGGAGGAGAGGAAGCAGGAGATGGGGTAGGGGAGGAGATTGATGGTGGGGAGGTGAAGCTGGGAGGGGCGACAGCAGCTGTTCTCGCTCGCCCGCAGCATCAATTAGAGGTTTGTTTGACCCTCCGCACACCCCTGCGCTCTCGCGCACCCTCCCTCTCTCTTTTTCGTTTTCTTTCACCTACCTCACCTCTTTCTTCCTTGCGTCTCACCCCTCCTTGCTTCTCAACCCTTTCTTCCGTGCTTCTCACATCACCTCCTCTCGTCCGGGTGCTCTCTCCCTTCCGTCCACCAGCTGCTCGTGATAAGTCGATTTTGGAGTCAACTCAAGCATCCACCCTTTCCTCCTCTCGTCCGGGTGCTCTCTCCCTTCCGTCCACCAGCTGCTCGTGATAAGTCGATTTTGGAGTCAACTCAAGCATCCACCCTTTCCTCCTCTCGTCCGGGTGCTCTCTCCCTTCCGTCCACCAGTTGCTTCTAGCAGCACTCTTGGCAAAATCCCTGGGGTTGAAAACCGAGTGCTCCCTCCTCTTTCCTGCTCTCGTCTGGGTGATCTCGTCCGGCTCTCTCTCCCGTCCGTCCACCAGCTGCTGCTAGCCGCACTCCAGGCAAAATCCCTGGAGTTGAAAACCGAGTGCTCCCTCCCTTCACCCCTACCCTCCTCTCTTGTCTCTTTCTCTTGCCTTACCTCTACCCCCTAATAGCAGCACTGCTGACAGTATCCCTGGGATTGGCCAACCCAGTGTATACAAGCTTTACCGCTTTTAACTCCTCTGTGCCTCGTTTCCCTTCCTCTGCACCCCTGTCGCTACCCCTCTTCCATTCGCCAACTGCTGATACTGGCACTGCTGACGGTGTCCCTGGGAATGGCCAATTGAGTGCTCTACACTACAAGCTGGCGCTCATTCCCCCTCACCTCATGCTCCCTCACCCGCCCATTCTTTGTCCATCTCTCATCATGTGTGACCCCTAGACTACCCCGCCAACTGCTGATACTGGCACTGCTGACGGTGTCCCTGGGAATGGCCAATTGAGTGCTCTACAAGCTGGCGCTCATTCCCCCTCACCTCATCCCCTCAAAACCCAGAACCCGAAATCTCTCACCTCTTCCCCACCAGCTCCTACTACTCGCACTGCTGGCAGTGTCCCTGGGAGTGGCCAACCGAGTGCTCTACAAGCTCGCCCTCATTCCCTCATCTTAACCCACACCACACATCCTCTTCTCGTCTTATTTTCTCTTGCCTTACCCCTCTACCCCACCAGCTGCTGCTATTCGCACTGCTGACAGTGACCCTGGGAGTGGCCAACCGGGGTACTCTACAAGCTGGCGCTCATTCCCTTGTGCCACCCTCAGGCCCACCCTCTTCTCGTCTCTCCTTCTCTTGCCTTCCGCCTCCACCAGCTAATACTATTCGCACTGCTGACAGTGTCCCTGGGTGTGGCCAACCGAGTGCTCTACAAGCTCGCGCTCATTCCTTTGCACCGCTACCCCTTCTTCCTCGCCCAGCTCACCACATTCGGGTAAACCTAACCGCTTTAAGCACTTCCCATAGCTCACTTCATTGACGCACCCTATGTGCCGCTACCCCTTCTTCCTCGCCCAGCTCACCACATTCGGGTAAATTTAACTGCTTCAAATATCTTCCCGTGACCCATCCTTCCAAATCACCCGTGAACGCCTTCCTTTTCTTCCTCACCCAGCTCACCACATACCGGTTGACTTAACCTCGTTGATCACAAGGAAGCAACTGAGGGTTGATTTCAATCTGTAGAATCCCTCAGATACTGCAAGCTCCCTGGTTCGGAACTTTTGAGTCGACTCAAAAGTCACCTCGTTGACTTAACCTCGTTGACTTAACCTCGTTGACTTAACCTCGTTGACTTAACCTCGTTGACTTAACCTCGTTGACTTAACCTCGTTGACTTAACCTCGTTGATTTCAACCTGTAGAATTCCTCAGACACTGCAAGCTCCCTGGAGTGAAACACCCTTCTACTGCTACCCCAAATCAATATCCTCCTCATTTCTCCTTTCGCTCTTCTCCTCTCCTCGCTCCTCACCCAACCGCCCCCCACCCAACCGCCCCCCTCCCCCCCGCTTCCCCCTCTTTTCTTCCCCACCTTGCAGCTATGTGGCAGTCTATTCCGTTATCATCCTCACGCGCACCTCCCTCGCCGTGTTCCCCAACCTCTCCCCCCCAACCATTCCCTCTTTCCCTCTTCTTCACTCCCCGGTCTCCCCCCACTCCCCCTCTCCCCCTCGTCTTCCCCCTCCCAGCTATGTAGCTGTCTAGTCAATCATCCTCCTCGCTCGCACCTCCCTCGCTATACTCATCCTCCTCACCCGACATGCTCTCTTTGTCCCTCCCGTGCTCCCCTTCCCTTTCCCCCCTCCCAGCTATGTAGCTGTCTAGTCAATCATCCTCCTCGCCCGCACCTCCCTCGCCGTGTTCCCCAACCTCTTCCCCCCAACAATTCCCTCTTGCCCTCCTCTTCACTCCCCGGTCCCCCCCCACTCTCCCTCTCCCCCTCGTCTTCCCCCTCCCAGCTATGTAGCTGTCTAGTCAATCATCCTCCTCACGCACACCCGACATGCTCTCCCTGCCCCTCCCATGCCCCCCTTTTCATTTCCACCCTTCCAGCTACGTGGCCGTGTATTCAATCATCCTCCTCGCGCACACCTCCCTTGTCTTGCCCCATCTCTCGTTACCTTTTCCACTCCTCTCCCCACTCTCTCCCCATTCCCCCTCCCAGCTATGTAGCTGTCTAGTCCATCATCCTCCTCGCACGCACCTCCCTTGCCTTGCCTCTTTTCTGATCTCTCGTTACCTTTTCCACTCCTCCCCCCTTCCCTCTCTTCCGCCTCTTTCCCTTTTCCAGTTATGTAGCAGTGTATTCAATCATCCTCCTCACCCGCACCTCCCTCAATATAGTCACACCCGACATGCTCTCGCTGCCCAAGCGCCCCTTCATGCTCATGGGCTTGCTGGAAGCAGCGGGACTCGCATTGGGAATGATGTCTGCTGGTACGTTGAATGGCAGTAGGTCTAACCCTTACACCCTAAACCCTAACCCTCTACTCGACATGCTCTCGCTGCCCAAGCGCCCCTTCATGCTCATGGGCTTGCTGGAAGCAGCGGGGCTTGCGACAGGGATGATGGCCGCTGGTAAGTGTGTTGGATACATGGCGTGCCATATTCTCTAACCCTAACCCTCATGCTCTCGCTGCCCCTTCTCTTGATGGCCGCTGGTACGTTACTTGTGGTGCTGTGCTGTGCTGGTGCCCCCCTCATTCCCAACCCCGGACTGGGTGACAGGGTGAGGAGGGGAGGGTGAGGGTGAGGACTGGCAATCCCGTCTAAACCTTGCACGCTCACCCTCCTCTGCACTCTGTCACCCCTTGTCAAGGTTGGTTCTGAACCTTGCCGCTCCTCTGTACACTGCTTTCTTGGTTTGAAAAAGTCACTCATTCTGCTTCCCTGCCCTTCCCCCCCTCCCCTTGGCTGCTCCCCTATCCTCCCCATCTGCAGCGCACATGCCGGGAGTCCTCATTCCAGTGCTATCACAGGTATGCGATTTTTGAGAATTCTCAAAAACCTTTCCTCCCCTCTTGTTGCATGTGCCTTTTGAGCCGTCGCAAGCGTAGCAGCGCACATGCCAGGAGTCCTCATCCCAGTTCTCTCACAGGTACGCCCTTCCTCATCCCAGTGCTCTCACAGGTACGCCCTTTTCTGCATGTGCCTTCCCCCATGTGCCTTCCCACATGTGCCTTCCCCCATGTGCCTTCCCACATGTGCCTTCCCCTGTTGTGCCTTCCCCCATGTGCCTTCAACCACGTGCCTTCCCCCATGTGCCTTCCCCCATGCGCCCCACCGCTTTCCACCGCTTCTCCCCCCTCTTCTCTCTTCAGGTCTTCCTGGTGTGGCAGCTCACCCTCCCTTATGTCTTCGATCCTTTCTGCTGCTCTGCACCGCACACAACCTCTGTGTTTCCCTCTCCTCTCCTGTCCTCCTCACCAGGTCTTCTTGGTGTGGCAGCTCAACCACTCTTAATACTTCCATCCTTTCTGCCGTTCTGCACCGCACACAACCCCTTCAGATCTTTCTGGTGTGGCAGCTCACCCTCTCTTCTATCTTCCTCGGTCGCCGCTACTCGCCGCAGCAGCTTCTGGGATGCTTCCTCGTGATCGTGGGGGTTGCAGTGGTGGTGGTAACCAGGTACTGCCAGCACATGGGATGGCACGTCAAGCCATGCCACGTCATGCCACATCATGTGACGTCATGCCACATCATGACACGTCATGCCACGTCATGTCATGCCACATCATGTGGCGCAACGTTGTGCCACGCCATCTGGCATGCATGCCACATGCCTCGTCCTGTCGTGTTTTTGAGACGTCTCAAAAACAACCTCATTTCACGTGGCATGCCACATGCCTCGTCCTGTCGTGCCACTCATGCCATGATGTCCATACCATTCCATTTCATCGCATGACATGGCATGGCATGCCATGGTGCCATCATGGTGATGTCGATACTATGTCATTTCAATTCTCATCTGGTGGAATAGTTAATCACCCTCCTCCCATTCTTCTTTCCCCCCCTTCCCTCCCACTCTCCCATCTCCACCGCGCTGCACCGCAGTGGACCACCATTGCATCATGTATCCACACTATTGTCTTCTTTGTTAACAGCAAAGGCAATCCAGTGGCCCCTCCTCTTTATAGTATCCACTGTGTTTCCAGCAGCATCCTCTATTATTAAGGTGAGACTCTTTCCCCACGCCATAGTCTGCTGTATCCTCGTTATTAGCTTCTCAGCTAGCAGCAACAGCAATCCAGTGGCCCCTCCTCTTTATAGGATCCACTGTGTTCCCAGCAGCATCCTCTATTCTTGAGGTGAAACTCTTTTCCACTGCAAGTCATATTTCAAAAAAATGGCATTTTCCGTTGCCTCTTTACTGATTGCATTCCCCATTAATATCCCCCCCAGCATTATCACTAGCAAAATCTCATGTTTGGCCGCGTTTTTTGGGGCTGGAACGACTAAAAAAAAAAAACCGCAGCACAAATCTTTTTTGTTGTCCCCTGTTCTGCTCAGCTCAATTATACCATTCTATTCCATCTTGTTTTCTTGTTTTGCTTCTAATCCCCAGGAGTCTGTATTTAGAGATTCAGCCAAGAAGCTCAATGTAAGCCTTACCACCAACCGCCCTCAGTTAAAGCCTCAGTTAAAGCTCATATTTTACTAGGCACCTCAAAAGCAAGCCAGGGTTTTGGGTCAAGTAATGCAAGCACATGACATCCAAGCAACACACGAATACGCATACGCTTATTAGTAGCACTGCGCATGTACATTGGGTGGTGCGTGCGCACACTAGGTACGCACTTTGCATGTCACATCTTGCTCGTTCCATACCAAGCCTTCTCACCCCATCCTGTTCCACCTTCCCATCTTCTCATCTTCTCAACACCACATCCCACCTCACCGCACCCCACCACACTGCACCACACCACACCACAGGGTCGCTCACTGGACATATTTGTTGTCAACACCTTCGGATCATCTTTCCAGGTGCTCCCTCCTCTGCCCTTCGTTTTGTAGCATTCCCCCCTTGTACCTTTCAAATCCCTTGCTTCCCATTCCTTTCCCCGTCCCTTAATTTCCCCTTTTCCCCTTCATTTCCCTTTTTCCCCTTCATTTCCCCTTTTCCCCTTCATTTTCCCCCGTTCCCCTACATTTCTTCCTTCCTGAAATTTCCCCTGTTCCCCTTCATTTCCCCCTTTCCCCTCCATTTCCCCTTTCCCCTTCATTTTCCCCCTTTCCCCTCCATTTCCCCTTTCCCCTTCATTTTCCCCCTTTCCCCTCCATTTCCCCTTTCCCCTTCATTTTCCCCCCTTCCTCCTCACCACAGGCCTTTTTTGTCCTCATCCTCCTCCTGCTCATCTCCTCTCTGGGTACAAAATTCCTCTCTATTTTAGAGGCTCCTCGTTGGCACGCCCACTTCCCCCCCACGCCTTTCCCCCCCCTCCCACTTCCACAGGCGTTTTTTGTCCTCATCCTCCTGCCTCTAACTTTCGAGCCGACTCAAAAGTCGTCATCCCTGCCCCGCCCTTCCACCACAGACGCTTTTTTGTCCTCATCCTGCTGCCGCTCATCTCCTCTCTGGGGACATAGTTCCTCTCTGCTTTAAAGACGCCTCATAGGGACACACACCCCCCTCCCTGCCTCCCCCCACTCCCCCCATCACAGGCGCTTTTCATCCTCATCCTGCTGCCGCTCATCTCCTCTCTGGGGTACAGAATCCCTCCTGCGCAGCTTCCAGGCTACTTCCGGGAAGGTGCTGCGTGCCTTCTTAACTTCAACCAGAACATTCCAGGTGCGTTGTCAGCCGGAACTGAATGGGTAATAAGTGCTTTTCTTGTGTTACTGCTCTTCACCCCACCTTTCCATGCTGTTAAGGAGTCCAACTCCTCCCATTGCTTCACGTCACAGCCATTCCGTCTCTCTTTTATTAGAATAATAATAGTAAAAAAAAATCACTCTTCCCACTGCTTTACGCCACAGCCATTCCTGCTTTCTTTTTTGAGAATTCTCAAAAAACACTCCTCCCACTGCTTTACGTCACAGCCATTCCGTCTCTCTTTTCTGAGAATTCTCAAAAGACACTCCTCCCCATCTTCTCCCTTTCGCTTCTCCCCAACTCCACCTTGCCAGGTTGTCAGGGAGCGCCGCTCCTCCCGCTGCTCTATGTTGCAACGAATCTTGCCTTCAACATCTCGCTGCTGGCTCTTCTCAAGAAGTCGTCTGCAGTAGTCGCATCTCTCTCCATGACCCTCACAGGTATTAATGTGTGAATTACATGCTGACAGTGCTCGCATTCAACGTCTCTCGAGGTGACTTTTGAGTCGACTCAAAAGTCACCTCGTTACATGCTGACAGTGCTCGCACTCAACGTCTCTCTGCTCGCTCTGCTCTCCACCCCCCCTGTAGTCATCTGTAGTGGTCGCATCTCTATCCTTGACTCTTGCAGGTAATTATTGTGGAGTATGTATGCACAGGATTTATACATAGTTATGCACACATGCACACCGTTACTGCTGGGATAGCTGCTAACACCCCCTTGAAATCTCCTCCTGCCCTCTCCATTCTGACTTTTGAGTCAGACACAAAAGTCATATGCACGCCACTGCTGCTGGGATAGCTGCAAACACCTTCTTGATCTCTCCTCCCTTCCTCTCTCTTCTTGTTTGAAGTAGTGTTTTGAGACGCCTCATAACTCTACTTCAAACACATGGGATAGCTGCTAACACCCTCTTGATCTCTCCTCCCTTCCTCTCTCTTCTTCCTCCCACACCCCCAGTGCCCCTGACAGTACTGGCATTCACCTTCCCCCTTCCCCTGCTGGGCCCACCCCAGCCACTGAGGGGGGGCGTTATTCTTGGAACCTTCGTGCTGCTGCTGGGCCTTGCTGCTTACAACCTCGCCAAGCGTGGAAGCACGGGTGAGGGAGCAGGAGGGGGGTTGAAGTTGGCAGCAGGGAAGGAAGACTAAGTGGGATGGGAGGGGTAGGAAGCAGAAAGCAGAAGTCTTAGACCCAGCTCCTGAGGAGGGGAGGAATTTTTCTTGGAACGATCGTGCTGCTGCTGGGGCTGGCTGCTTACAACCTTGCCAAGCCAGGGGGGGCAGGGAAAGGGGGGTTGAAGTGGCAGGAGGGAAGGAAGACTAGGTTGGATGGGAGGTTGAAGGAGGCAAAAAGTGGGCAGAGTACTGAGAGCGAGAGAGAGCTGACTGAGATTGGAAGCAGGTGAGGAGGACTAGGGGTATTGGTGCCGGAGTAAAGCCATTGTGATGCTGCTGGGCTGGCTGCTTACATCCTTGCCCAGCCCGGGGGCACAGGCGGAGGGGGAGAGGGGTTGAGGGTGGCAGGAGGTCAGGAGGAAGAATGGAGGCGATGTTCATGGGGTGAGTTTGTTGCATCGAGCTGAAGTTATGCTGCTTTTTTCCGAGCGACTAGTGGTTTAGAGCAAAATAAGTATATTATATCATGAAAGTTTACCAATCCCATTTTGAGTAGTATTATACAAATATATAAACGCACGCACGAGCGCACATGTGTGCAATGCACGGTTCAATGCTTCCTTAGGGCTTGTATAGGCAATGGAGTTAGGTGGTGGGCAGGGTCTGCTTCATTTTATTATGGCTGTACAAGGGAAAGAAACAGATTGTAACTGAACGAAGATCCTTGTGTCGAGTGCGAAACGAACCTTCTTCCGTGCTTCTTTCTGAACTTGCGATCGCCGTATCGCAGCGCAGCTGCGCAGCTCTCATCTGGGGCGGGGAAGCTTGAAGGCGCTGCTTTCTATTGGCTTACGCAGACAGCTGCGATTTCCAGAGAATGTCGTCCACGCGACTGACAAACCAGATCGCCGAATCGGAACCGCAGACCTGCAAATTCGGTCAATGCCAGGCAGCAGGCTCATGCGACTGACTCCTTTTCGCGTGCGAGTCAGCAACCCAGGAGGCAGTCGCATGACACGATCCGCTCCGTTGGCGTTTCCACAGAGCGCGGTCCGTGCCCCCCACATCGAGTCGCGTGCGCTTCGATGTCTGTCATGTATGTTTCCATCACTCTCTCACACATTCGCTGAAGCCAAATTTCCTTCCGTCAGATTTCGACCTTTATACATCGGTCGCTGATTTGCGTACGAAACGCAATTCCTTAGTTCCGAATTGAGAGCTTCACCCAACAAAGCTCACTTCGTCTAGTTCTAAGGACTATCGAACTGTTCTTCCAGCAAGCAAATAGCCATGCGGCAATTTTCCCTCAGGAGCGCCAGCTCGGCGCTCCTTTCGCTGACCGTCGCAGCCTTCGTCGCAGCGCTCGTGACGACGTCGCATGCGCGCGTCTTGGACTTTGGCGACAATAAGCTCTTCCTGGAGCAATTCAGCACCATGATCAAAATCGACACAAGACCCGCCATTCGCGCCGCCAGCGCGGCTAACTGCCAGCCGTCAACTCTGCCGGACTTCGCATCCGCTGCGACTCTTTCCCACGGCCTCGTTCTTCACTGGACGCCCGCGGCTTCCGGCGGTTCCGTCAGCATGGCCGTCGAAGCGCCCGCGAGCGCCGGATGGATTTCCGTCGGATTCTCGACAAGCGGAACCATGGCTCCGGCAGATGCGGTGATCGGCAATGCTGACGGCGGCGCTGCCGTCCAGGCGTACAGTATAACCGGCTACGACATGGGCTCCGTCAAGCCGAGCGGCAAGCCGTCATTGGGCAGCGCGGGGCTGACGAAATCAGGCGACAAAATCATTATGAAATTCTCGCGATCGGAGGGCGACGGCGGATCTGTCGCATTCAAGTCGTCCGGGAGGAACAAGCTGATCTGGGCGACGTCGTCTGGCGGCTCTACGACGCTCGGCTATCACGGCAGCAACCTGTAAGCTCCTTCCGCAAGCCGTGTATGTGGTTTTCATGCATAACTAACCCAGCCCCGAAAGAGTAAAGAAAAATACTTTTACGTCGGCAATATAATTTGGGAGGGGTTTTTATCTTTGGCCCTGTAATAACAAAGCGAACTCAAGACCCAGCTCTCTTGCTGTTCTTATTAATCACTCTTCCACATATTCCCTATTTCTCCGAACCAGTGGCGCCGGCGAAATCGATTTCTCCTGCAATGGCGGTGGCGGAGGCGGAAGCGGAAGTGGCAGCGGAAGCGGAAGCGGAAGTGGAAGCGGAAGCGGAAGCAAAGGCAGCTCTGTCGATAGCGGAAGCGGAAGCGGAAGCAGCGGATCTTCCAGCCCGCCAAAGTCTCCCCCAGCCAGCCCCCCGCCCGCCAAATCCCCCCCTCCTAGCCCGCCAAATGACAATCCTCCCGCCTCTTCGTCCCCTTCCCCCCCCTCCTCCTCCTCCTCCTCCTCCTCTTCCTCCTCTTCTTCCTCCTCTTCTGACTCCTCGTCTAACTGGTGGGACGCCTATACCTCTTCGTCTTCCTCTTCCCCCTCGGGTTCCTCCTCTTCCCCTTCAGGTTCGTCCTCCTCGCCCTCTGACTCCTCCTCTTCCCCCTCTTCCTCCTCTTCCCCCTCTTCCTCCTCTTCCCCCTCTTCAACCTCTTCCTCCTCTTCCTCCTCCTCCTCCTCTTCTTCCTCCTCTTCCTCCCCTTCGTCCTCCGACTCTTCTTCTTCCTCTTCCTCCTCGTCTCCCTCTTCCTCCTCTTCCCCATCCTACCAAGACTATCAATCCTCCCCTCCCTGGTGGACTGCCTATGCCAAACCCTCCCCTCCCCCCTCCTCCTCCTCGCCCTCTTCCCCCGATTCCTCCTCGTCGGGCAAATCGTCAGATTCGATTGCATCAACTCAGAGCGCAGACAGCAGCAGCAGCGCCGACAGCAGCAGCAGCATCAGCAGCACGGACAGCAACAGCGGCTCCGGAGGCGGAAGCTCGGGGGGAGACAGCGGCAGCAGCAAGAAACACAGCAGCAGCAGCAGCAGCGGCGGCAGCAGCGGCGGCATCAGCGGCGGCGGTAGCAGCTCCGATCAATCCACTTCCTCCTCGCCCTCGTTTTCCTCCTCAACTGCTGCTTCCTCCGGTTCTGCCTGCCCCTTATCAAGCCTGGCGGGATACACCTACTCCACGCCACTCAAGGGCTCAGAGTAAGCACTCACTAGCTTTTCCTTTTCCATGGATTTTAGCAGCTCTTCTAGTTCCTACACAACTTGAATCCTTTTCTTGGCCTGATTTGTGCTTCTGTGTTGTCATCCCATCGTCCCCACCTTCTTACTAGGTTCTTTTTTTTCTCTTCCCGAATTTTCTTTTTATCCCCTATTTCCCCCCTTTCCAGTTTCATCCTGCACTGGGCCGCCCCGTCCAACGGGCAGCTTGATATGGCCATGGAGGCGAAATCGGGCAGCGGCGCGGCGAAGGGATGGATGTCCGTCGCATGGTCCGCGAACGGAGGGATGGCGGAGAGCACAGCCGTCATCGGCAACATGGACGGCGGGAACGTTGCTGGTTACCACATTACCGGTTACACCATGGGCACGGTGAAGAAGAACGGGATGGACATTGGCGGAGACGCGGGGACGAGCAACGAAGGCGGGTCGACCGTTGTGAAGTTCCTGCGACGCGAGAGCGACGGCGGGGAGGTGAAGATTAATCTGAGCGGGAAGAATAAGCTCGTGTGGGCCTACTCGACGGGTTCCAAGTCGCTGGGCTACCATGGCGGCAACTTGTAAGGCTTCTCTTTTAGTCTCTCTTCCGCTCTCCTCTCTTCTCCCCTCCCGCTCTCTGCCTGCTCTTGCCCCTGCCCCGCTCTCTTTCCTCCCATTCCAGCGGACTCGCTGTATTTTTCTCCTGCCCCTGTCCTCTTTCCCCCTATTTCACTCACCTTTCCCCCGATACCCCCCTCTTGCGCTTGCCCCTCCCCCTCCCCTCCCCCGTTCCAGTGGGAGCCTCACGGTCGACTTCTCCTGCCAGTCCGCGCCTGGTGCGGGTAGTGGTGGGGGCGGGAGAGGGGGAAGAAGGGGAAGGTGGGGAAGGAGAGGGAGGGGAAGGAGGGGAAGGGGGAGAGGGAGGGGAAGGTGGGGAAGGAGGGGAGGGTGAGGGGGGGGGCGAAGCGGGAGGTGGTGGGGGCGGAGAGGGCGAGAGCGGCGGCAACAATGGGGGCGAGAGCGGTGGCAGCAGCGGTGGGGGCGAGAGCGGTGGGGGCGAGAGCGGTGGGGGCGAGAGCAGTGGCGGGAGTGGTGGGAGCAGCGGTGGAGGGCGGTGAGGGTGGAGGTGGAGGGGACGGAGAAGGTGAGGGTGAGGAGGAAGGAGACGATTGAGGAGCATTCATGGGTGTGCTAGTTGTGCAAATTATGCACATTGTACTGTAGTGAATCTGGGTATATCTAGCTGGTTTGTCTAGGTTATGGATGCAACAATATTGAGGAATATGGGTCTATATAGCTGGTTTTGTCTAGGTTGTGTTTAGAGCATCATGCAATACAAAAGGTTGTGGATCAAACATCAAGATTGGGGTGGCCAAACATCACAAACATTCACTAATAAGGGGTTGAGGTGTCCCTTAGTCTTCAGGGTTTGAACTAGGCCTTCTCCCTATCTCCAACTAAATTTCTTAGGTATTAGTCAGTGTGTCGTGTTCTTGTCCCCTTCATTGCCATTATCTCACGAATGAGCGGACAAGCCCAAGACCCCGAGTCAACAGCACACAACAGGATGTACAGTGCAGGGGGTCATTGGGGTGGCGTGTGGAAACCTTGTGCGTTGAATATCCAGCGTGGACGAATGCTATTGGACCGCACAATCGAATTTCCGTTTTCCACCCTTGGAGAACGAGAAATACAACTTTTCCTATCAACTTCGTGATTGTTCGAGTGGTCGGTGGGGGTTGAAACTTCTGCCCGTGTTCCTCGAAAGGTGCCGAAGACCAGCGAGTGATGCAGGCGAAGTGCGTTCTGCCCGCAGGCGTATAGTCTGACCGTCGGGAAAAGCAGCCGGTCCGACTAATCCCCTGAGATGTACCTCCGACTAAAAACTCTTATATCAGGGCTAGGACGCGAAACAAACTGCCTCGAGAAATATGTTTCCTTTTCCAACCCTGCAGTGTTTCAAGCTAAAAGTGTTGTCCCGCTGGAACTTAGATTATGCTTAGCAAAGCAAACTCCGTGCAAGCATCTCCGCAACTACTCTTCTTTCGAGCTTGCTGCGTCATTCACGCACCTGGTACAGTGGTGATATCCTCAACTCCCAATCAGCCCGACGATTCCGCCCTCCTGAAAGCGCGACTCCGCACTCCCTGCGACACCTGACGCGTCGCAGAATTTCCACATCGTCCAGCGACTGCAATCCTCATGGCACGTCAGCTTCCGCTGGTGCTGGGCTTGTTGCAGACAAATGATCTGACGACTCGTCAGTAAGCTTCGTTGACCGACATCTCTGCGAGACTTCCGATGTGTGCGACTCTCGGCTCGGTTTTGACCTCTCTCTCTCTCTCTCTCTCTCTCTCTCTCTCTCTCTCTCTCTCTCTCTCTCTCTCTCTCTCTCTCTCTCTCTCTCTCTCTCTCTCTCTCTCTCTCTCTCTCTCTCTCTCTCTCTCTCTCTCTCTCTCTCTCTCTCTCTCTCTCTCTCTCTCTCTCTCTCTCTCTCTCTCTCTCTCTCTCTCTCTCTCTCTCTCTCTCTCTCTCTCTCTCTCTCTCTCTCTCCGTTCCGCGGAAGACCCAATTCCGGCAGAACACGCGCGGTAGCGCGTCGCAACCACGCGCAAACCAACCGCCATTGATTGTTGACCGTCCCTGCCAGCGCCCCGCCAGCTATGTACTTATCACCGCTGGACGTGTACGCCAATCCGATTTCCGCAATTCCGTTGCAGCCACACAGTCTTGCGCCAATTTCTCCGCCAGATATTTGCCAGCCCGAATCACATTTCCGCGTCAATCTTCCGATGGAAGCTGGAGCTTTCGGCTGCCTGAACAACCCATCGTCACCTCACAACACCGAAACGTCCTCATCTTTTTTTTTTTGCGATGTTACACTATGAGAAATGTACAACGCATTGGCAGTCGTAACTGTATTCTTAGGGAAGTGTCACGGTACCGGGTAACGCGGATTCTCTGTGATACATCTACGGTGGCTGGTGGGTCAGCTTCGGATTGTCCCAAACGTCCTCATCTTGTCGACGCGGCTCGCCAGTTGCAGAACCTGGCCACCGCCACCAGAATCGAGTGGAGGGGAAAGCGTCCCACGAAGCGGCTCGTGGCCGCTTGGAGTTTCCGCCCAGTTTCCGCCCATGTATCACAGATTCGCCGATTCACCACTGAAAAACGTCTCCTCCTTCCCCGCGCACCGCTTCAACAACAACACCTCCTCCCCCCACCGGTCGCGCTGACTCACTCTCGCTCCCCACCACTCCCGTCCCGTCACCCCTCCCCCTTCCCCATCCCCCTTAATTCCCCGGGGATGTTCACCCTCCCTCGTTTCCGCGCCAACCCCGCGCAAACTTCCTCCCCCTTCCCTACCCCAGCCAGAGAATAGATTTCCGACGCCGCCCTCCAACACTCTCGTGTTGCAAACAAGAAGCAAACCAACCATTTTGACAGAAGCAAGCAAGCAGCACGAGCCCACAGGAGAAGCGCTTCAGCTCTCCTATCCCTGTAGTGCTTCCCCTCGCACTCACCGCCAACCTAAACCACACGATCTGCTCCATCTCCCATCGCCTCTCCCCCACCTGGCCTTATCACAGAAAGCCGTTTCGCCATCTCTCGGAGATTAATATTCGCCTTCTACCGCCTATCTTACCTCGCCTCCGCCTCACTTCGCATCTGTTCGCCATCATATTTCCTCGAGAATGGGTAACTCCAGATATCACAGGCGGTTCGAGGTGCTCGTGCCACTTGTCGCGCTCTGGTTGGTCATCTGCGCGCTGCCGTCCGCGCGTAGCGAAGAGGACGACGAGGGTGCTAACGCTGTAACCGGCGTATGCGAGGTGTCGAATCTCGCCGGCTACAAATACGCCGTCGACCTTAGCGGCAACGGGTAGGTCAACGGACGGCAGCAGCGATTGCAACGATTACAGACGGCAGCTGTTCGAGACGGCCGGCAGCTTTTATTGACGGCAACGGGATGGTCAAATAACGTTGTCAATGGCACCCCGCCCATCTCTCCCCTCTTCCCCTCCCGCTCCCCCAACAGTCTCTACCTACACTGGGCTCCTAAAGGCACGACCGAAATGGACTTCGCGATCGAGGCGCGTCCCGGCAGCGGCGCGGAGTCCACGTGGGTGTCCGTTGGCTGGTCGGCTGGTCGAATGGCTCCCGCCGACGCGGTCATGGGGAACCTTGCCGGAAACAAGGTCGCGGCGTACTCGATACAAGGCTACGACATGGGGTCCCTCTCGCCGACGACGGCGTTTGCGTTGGCGTCGACGGCGGTCCTGACCAGCAATGGCGGCAGCACGGTTTCCAAGTTCACTCGCACGATCGGCGACGGGGATTTTCCCGTGGCGCCCGACCAGAACACGCTTATTTGGGCGTTTTCCGGCAGCGGCTCGCAGGGGCTGGATTACCACGGCGGGAACGTGTGAGTGCGCGAACGCTGCAACATACGCATTGCAGGCAGCCATGACACGCGAGAGCTTCCTCTGGGAAGCTCTTGCAGAATACGCCGTTTTTTTTTTTTTTTTTTTTTTTTGGGCTTCTGCGGATCTCGTTACTGACTCTTACTGCCTCTCGTTTCATCGTCTCTTTCATCCGTCGATCCCGCGCAGCGGCATCGTGAGCATTGACTTCACCTGCGCTAGCGGTGCCGCGCCCGCGACGGGAGCACCAGACTCCATCAGCGGCGGCGGCAGTGGCAGCAGCTCCGGTTCCAGCAGCGGCGGCGGCGGCGGCGGCGCTTCGTGCCCGGCTTCCTCGCTGACGGGATTCGACTATCAGGCGGAACTCACCCCAGGGTACGCGCTTCGTGCCCGGCTCCCGCACGGTGCAAACTCGCTTGTGATAAGTCGAGTTTTGAGTCGACTCGAAACTCTCCCTTTTTTCTGCGCTTACACTCGCTCGCACCTTACACCCTTCCCATCCCGCCCGCATCGCAATGCGTCCCCTACATTCTTCCGCCAACGGCCTTCTCCTCCGCTTGATGCAAGTCTCCGCTGCTTCCCTCTTCCGCCACTCACAACGTTACTCCCCGCTTTTCCCTGCTTTTCCCCGTTTCTTCCCCCTCTCCTCCCCCCCCTCCCCCCCCTCTCCCTCCTTTGTTTCCCCCTTTCTCCCCCCCCGTTTTCCCCTTCCCCCCTTTCCTCCAACAGCCTGCTCCTCCATTGGAAGCAAGCTTCCTCCAAGTCGCTCGACATGGCTCTCGAAGCCACCGCATCCGGCGGCGCCGCGGGCTCGTGGGTCTCCGTCGCGTGGACGGGCGACGGCCGCATGGTCCCGTCCGACGCGGTCATCGGGAACCTCCCGGGCGGCGCGGCCGGCGCGTACGCGATCTCGGGATATGACGTGGCATCCGTCTCGAAGACGTCGACGTTTTCCGTCGGCGCGGCGTCGACGGAGACGTCGAGCGGCGGAAGCGCGATCGTGAAGTTTACGCGGACGGAGGGGGAGGGGTCGATCCCGATGTCGCTTTCCGCGCCGAACGCGCTGATCTGGGCTTATTCCGGGAGCGGATCTCAGTCGTTGGATTACCACGGCAGTAACTAGTAAGCGGGGGCTGGGGTTGGTTTCTGCTGTATTCGTTGTTTGGATTCGATTCCGATGTCGCTTTCCGCGCCGAACGCGCTGATCTGGGCGTATTCGGGGAGCGGGTCGCAGGCGTTGGATTAGCACGGCAGCAACAAGTACGTGCGGGTTGGGGTTGGGTTTCCTTGTACGCGTTTTGAAGTGCTTCGACTCTGTTCCCTAGGTCTTACATACATTTGAATTTGTTTGAGTCGTTGGAGTGGTGGTCAGATGGAATTTCCTCGGTTGCCCCAACTCTGCTCTCTCCGCCTCACTAACCCTCGTTTTCCCCTCTCCGCAAAACGTTGTACCCCTTTCCCCTGATCTTTGCAGCGGTTCTAAAACTGTGAGCTTCAACTGTGGCGGCAGCAGCACCACCCCCACCACTCCCACCACTCCCGCCACTCCTTCCCCCGCAGTCCCCTCGCCCTCTCCCCCCGCCACCACCCCCGCTCCGCCCACCACCTCCCCCTCCTCACCTGGCTCCAGTAGCAGCAGCAGCAGCAGCGGCAGCGCATGCACGCCTTCTACTCTAGCTGGCTATACCTGCTCCGAGAAACTGAGCGGAAATGAGTAAGTGATGGTTCTTTTGTTACAGTTCAGACTGCCTCGTAATCACTCTCCCCTCTTCCCCCACCCTCTCTTTCTCTTGCTCACTCGCTCTCATTCACTCGCTCGCTCGGTGACTCACTCACTCACTCACTCGCTCTCTCATTCACCTTCATTTCACCCCTCCCCCCTCGCAGCTTCGTCCTGCACTGGAAGACCAACGTTGACTCCATTGACCTGGCCTGCGAGGTGGCAACCACCGGGTGGGTTTCCCACACGCACTCAGTCTCTCTCCCTCTGACCCTCTCCTCCCCCGTCCCCCTCCCCCTCTCCAGCTTCGTCCTGCACTGGAAGACCAACGTTGACTCCATTGACCTGGCATGCGAGGTGGCAACCACCGGGTGGGTCTCTGTCGGGTGGAGCGCAGACGGCAAGATGTACCCCTCAGATGCCGTCATCGGCAACCTTGCCTCCTCCACCACCAAGCGCGCCGCAGCCACCGGCAGTGCTACAGGCGGTGGTGCTACAGTCGCCGCCTATAGCATTGCTGGTTACTCCGAGTCGGATGTAGCTCCGGCAACGGCGGCCCTCCCGCTGGCCGCTACAGCCGTGGAGACCTCGTCCAATGGGAAGACGGTGGTGAAATTCTCGCGTGTGCTCAAGGGCGGGAAGTTCCCGATCGACACGAGCGCGCCGACGAATCTTATCTGGGCGTACTCCGCTGATGGGTCCAAAAAACTGGCCAATCACGGCGGCAATCGGTAAGCTCCTTTGTTTCCTGTTATTCTCATGGCTTCAGTCTTCTCTTCTCTCTTCTGCACTTCTCTCCATGGAATCTTTTCTCTTGCTACTTAATGCTCATCTTCCTCTGTTCCTTGACCTCTTCTCCCCCTCCTTCCTCCCCTCTCCTTTTCCTCTCCCTGTACTGCCTCTTGTTCCTCTCCACAGCGGTTCTGCGGCAATTAGTTTTGCTGCAAGTGCTGCCTCAGGCTCGGGACCCGGCTCGGCATCAGGCTCGGGATCAGGCTCGCCGGCCCCTCCCACCACGCCTCCTACTGATTCGTCCTCTGGCAGTGGCAGCAACAGCAGCAGCAGCAGCAGCAGCAGCAACAGCACTGGAAGCAGCAGCAGTTGCACACCTTCCACCATCGCTGGTTACACCTGCTCCGCTCAGCTCGACGGGAGCAAGTAAGAAGCCCACCATTACCACCTGTGTGTCTCACTAGTCCTTGTCAATTTGGGGGGTTGCTGGTCGTGCTTGGTCCTGTGGTTCAATTATCCCATGGGTGTCCTCTCTGTCCATTCCTTCTCATTCCTCGCTTCTCTCCTCTCCCCGTTTTCTCTCCTCCCTCTTTGTAGCTACGTTCTGCACTGGAATGCCACCGGGGATAACATTGCCTTTGCCTGTGAGCTGGCAACCACCGGGTGGGTCTCTCCCACTCACTCTCACTCACCTTCTCTCCTCCCATCTCCCTTCCCCCCCTTGCAGTTACGTTCTGCACTGGAATGCCACCGGGGACAACATCGCCTTTGCCTGCGAGGTAGCAACCGCCGGGTGGGTCTCCCTGGGGTGGAGCGCAGACGGCAAGATGTACCCCGCTGAGGCTGTCATTGGCAACCTCCCTGCCACCTCCACCTCTGCAAATTCGGGCGGCGCTACAGTGTCGAGCTACAGCATTGCCGGCTACAGTGAGACTGACGTCACTCCGACGACTGCGACGGGTATTGCGCTGGCCGCTACAGCCGTGGATTCGTCGGCCAATGGGAAGACAGTGGTGAAGTTTACGCGCGCGATGAGCCAGGGGAAGTTTCCGATCAGTGCGACTGGGCCGACCAAGGTCATCTGGGCTTACTCGGCTGACGGGTCCAAGCCTCTGGCCAATCACGGTCCTAACCGGTACATCTCGAGAAACTCTTTCCATTGTTTTCCACAATATCAATTAACGGGACAGAAGGTTTGATCTCGGAATTGTCACAGGCACTAACCCTGTGTCCCCCCCCTCGCATCCCTCCCATCCCCATCCTTCTCTATCCTTGCAGCGGTTCTGCCACCATCAACTTTGTCTCCGGTGCCACGGATACAGGCTCGGGATCAGGCTCGGGATCAGGTTCGGGTTCAACTGGGGCAGTCAACCCGGGCCAGGATAGTTCCAAGGCCAGCAACAGCACCAGCACCAGCAGCGGCGGCGGTGGCAACGGTTGCACACCCTCCACCATTGCTGGTTACACCTGCTCGGCTCAGCTCAGTGGCGACAAGTACGTTTCCTGCCTTCCATGGTCCTCTTTTTTTGGCACCTCCGAAGTGCACATCCCCTCAACCATTGCTGTTTGCACGTGCTCGGCTCAGCTCAGTGGGGACGAGCACGTTTCCCATTGCTGCTGCTTACGCTGGCATTCTTTTTTCTTTTCTTTCTCTCTTTTCTTTTGAAAGTTGGTATCTCATTTTGTTGTATCTCTCCCTCTCTTCCAACTCATTCTCCCCATTCCCTCATTTGCAGGTACATTCTTCACTGGAAGGCCAACACGACGACAATCAGCTTTGCTGCTGAGGTGGCAACCTCCGGTTGGGTGTCCCTCGGGTGGAACAGCAACGGCAAGATGCAGCCGGCCGACGCAGCCATTGGCAACCAGCCAGCTGGCAGCAACAGTGCAGCTGTCGCGCCGTACAGCATCACGGGATACAGTGGGTCAGACATCTCTGCCACGTCAGCATTCGCCCTGTCCGGGACCACAGTGGAGTCGGCAGCCAATGGGAAGACGGTTGTGAAGTTCACCCGGCCAATGGCGGGAGGATCGTACCCGATCAACACCAACGGCCCTACCACGATCATCTGGGCTTACTCTGCTGATGGCTCTCAGACTCTCGCCAACCATGGTCCCAACTGGTGAGCTGTCCTTGTTACCTGAATACACCTTGCTTCATGTTTGATGGCTGATGCCTGATGCTGGATGTCTCCTGCCTTGTGTCCCTCGTGCCTCTGCCTCTATGTTTCATGTCCTGTGCATCAGCATGCATGTCCCATCCCATGTGCCTCATTCCATCGTTCCTCATTCCGTTCCTCGTTCCATTTCTCATTCCTCTTCCCCCTCTCCCGTTTCCTTTTTCTCAACAGCGGATCGGCTCAAATCGACTTCATCTCCGGATCAGCCGTCTCTACCTCCTCTTCGTCATCCTCCGTGGCTTTCATCATCCACGGATGGCTGCTTGGCATCGCGTTCGGCATCCTCATGCCCGCGGCTATTCTCATCTCGCGAATCTTCCTCGCCGATAAGCTCCAGGAAAAGCCGCCTGGCGTGGACCGCATCCAATGGGAGGCGCAGGTTGCGCGCGCGAAATCCTGGAAGCCTATGGCGTTCGAGACGCACAAGTGGATGCAGATCACAGCGGTTGTGCTCGCTATTGTGGGGTGCATAATCGGAGTGGTGGAATCCGGCTCGGTGGGTCTCAAGGGTACCCACGGCCAGCTCGGAATCGCAATCTTCGTGATGATTTTCATCCAGCCTGTGATTGGTCACTTCCGGCCAAACAAGGGTACAGTGAATCGGCCGACGTGGTTCATCATCCACTGGGTGTTTGGCCTCGTTATAGTTGGACTCGCTTGGGTGAACACCTTCCTTGGGTTTGACGCAATGACGGTTAAGTTCGCCTCCGACATGCAAGTGTATTTCATCATTTTCGCGATTGCGATCGGGCTGTTTGCGGCGATCTACGTGGTGATCTTCGTGGTGGATCAGGTGGCGTTCATCATTGCAAGATTGAGACCTGCAGCGGATGAAGGACGGGAAAAGATGTCGTTCCAGGTGTAAATGGTGGATCGGGAAGCTGGATCATGGGTGATGGTGTATGTGGTCATCTTACTGGTGGATCAGGTGGCGTTCACTTTGACAAGAATGAGACCTGCAGCAGATGAAGGAAGGGCGAAGTTTGTTGACAAAGTGTAAATTGTGATATGTAATACTGGTATAGCCAACGTGCTGGCTCATGGATGCTTGACCCTGCTCTTGTACACTCCTAACCATGCAGTTGTGTGTTTTGTGAACTTCTTTTATGCTTATTTGGTGCTTTATACAATTGTTTAGGTCCATGGCTGATATGGTTGACAGCAACACTGACAGAGGCTTGATCCACAGTTAACAACTTGGATGCCTACACAGTCATGTAAAAAAAAAAAGAATGTATAACCCAACTCAAAGCAACCACAGTAAATGATACTTTCCACTATGCTGGTTGTTTGATGAGGCCCATTGTACCACAAATAAATTGATGCAAGACTATGCTGCTTGGAATTAATGTGGAGAAACTGGAAATATTGATAACTTATTGGTGCAGACTGACTGGCACCGTGCACTCAGTCAAACGAAGAACACGCGTGTTCACACCCCATGCTCCCACATGAAACTTTCTCCAAAACTTTTTCATCTGCCCAGATTGGCCATGTGCGCAAGGCGTGGTGCGCTGTCCACGACCCTGTGGTTGTGGTTCTGCGGCGGTGACAGTTCGAGTGCTTGAAATATCCACGTCACCAGTCGGTGTTGAATTCGGCTGCTTCTTTCACAAACCTTCTCACCGACACACGATAAACACGCGAGAAACATCTGCTTCACCTCCACGTACGTGACTCGTTCTGAAATTTCTCAAGAATTCAGCATTCCAGGCTGGCAGTCAAGTGGACCGTGTAATTTCGTTTGATAACGGCTGAAGTGAAGCGCCCTTGGTGACCCCCGTTCGTCACCATTCACACACCACACATCGACAGCGTTGACACCACCATTCCCTCCCTCCACCACAGATTTCTTGCTTCTGCCTGGCTTTACGCGCGGCGTTCCGGACTAAAGTTCGGCAAGATTCACCGCTTATCACATGACCCCGTGGTCCGATTTGTAGACCCTCAGCATCCCCACAATTTCGCTTCTCGACAGTCCAATGAGGGTCTTTCCAACTATAATTACCCAAATTTACAAAAGGTTTGCGAACCCATGTTCTCAATGGGCATGTGCGTGTGTGCTTACCACATTCTAGTGGTCAAATGACCAACTTTTGTCCTCTGACCCAGCCGCTCACAATTCTACCTACTGAAAAAAACAACCACTGGCAAAACGTGCAAGAAACATCGCCGCTACTTCTTCCCCCATCACCGCTCTTTCTCGATCCCTCTCCCCCATTGCCGCGGCTTTCCCTCTGCTAACGCGCCTCTTCCCCCCTACCACATGCGGAAACGTGAATTTCCGCCAATCGCACGCCCAGTCTTGGCGCTCAAGACTTCAGTCAGTATCGTAGGCGCGCATCCACTCCGCTCTGTCAGCAGCTGTGTAGCACACGAACACGACAGGTCGTTCCCGCCTTGCCTCGTCTTCTCTTCCCCCGCATCCGTCTCCCCCAAATCCTCCCCCCACCCACCCGCCCCTGCTGTTGCACTGCCGCTGCTGCTGCCACCGCTGCGCTGCAGCCGTTGCTGCTGCTGCCTCAGTACGTAAATGGTTGTCTAAAAACGTCCCTCCTCTCCACAATCTTCGCCTTTCCCATCTTCGCTCGCAGCTTTACTGATTGGCAGACTGAACCAGCAAGATCAGCTTGTCCTTTCATTTCCACCGTCCACGCTCGTTTCATCGTCGCACGCGCTGAACGCCCGAAAGATTCAAGTCGGTAAAGAAACGCCATAATCTCCTCAGCCGAAATCGCCCGGAACGCCGACATTGCCATCTCCCCAGCCGTCATTCGCCGCATTCCACGCCGTGATTCTCCCCACCGCTTTTCACTACGTGAAAAACTCGCCAGACATTCCGAAGCTACTATTCGGACAGTAAGGTGAGCTCCTGGGCCGAGTCGCCACGCCGCCTTTGACTTGCGCGCGCATTGCCTCCGCTCTCCGCCACTCCCGTTGTGCATACTTCAACGCGCTCGCAAATCCCGCTTATTGCGAGTGTGTCGCTTATTTCGCTTATCCTTTACAAATAGTACTCGCGGCTCATCCAAATTTCAATCGCATTGACCTCGCTTGCTTCTGACTCTCAGAAATTTCGCGTGCCGCATTCTCGCCAACAACACTGTCGCCTGCCTCGCGAAACACCGCGCATTTCGCAAAATCGTCTTCGTCGTGCGCGTTCGCCTTCCGCGTTTGCAGAACATCACATTCGCAACAACACCGCGGCTCGGGAAACGCCAGTCTCTTATATGGTTCCTCTGCGAAGCGAACGACGGGACCCTCGCGGCGCAATGACATTCGCCCGCATCCTCTCTATAGCCCTGCTTGCTCTTACTCTATCGGGAGCGGCGGCGGCCGCCGCCGCAGCAGCCGGTTGCGACGCGTCGACTCTGTCGGGTTACCAGCACATGCGAGACCTCACGGGGCAAGGGTAAGCGGCGGCCGTACCCGTTATAACACAATGCGCACGTCCGCCTCGACGTACGCATCTGAATTCAGCTCCGGAACATCTATTCGGGTTCCGTCAAGTGAATATTTCCACTATCCGTTCCCTCCGCGTGGTGTTGTAATGCCGTTTTTCCAATTCCAGCTTGACATGTATTAACGTTTTCCGCTCCCGGCTCCCCATTACCTCTGAATCGCGTCCATCCAGGTTCATTCTCCACTGGTCGCTCGCGACTCCCACCCAATTGGACATCGCGCTCGAGGCGAAGCCCGGGAGCGGCGCGGAGAACGGGTGGATCTCCGTGGGATGGTCCGCGAACGGGAAAATGGCTCCCGCGGACGCCGTCATCGGTAACCTGCCGGGCGTCGCGGTCGGCGCGTACGACATCAACGGATACGACGGAACGACCGTTGTTGCTTCCAAAAGTTTCAAGATTTCCGGAGGGCTGCTGAGCAGCGCGAATGGCCGGAGCACGATCATCAAGTGAGTGATCTAGAGCCTTGGGCTCACGAGTCCCACGCATCATGACCCGTGGGGACCTTGGGGAATGGATGGGGAGCGGTGGGGAACGGTTGGGCAACGGGTGGATGTCTCCCGTCCGTGGGGTGGTCCGCGAACGGGAAAATGGCTCCCGCGGATGCCGTCATCGGTAACCTGCCGGGCGTCGCGGTCGGCGCGTACGACATCAACGGATACGATGGGACGACCGTCGTCGCGTCGACGAGCTTTAAGATCTCCGGAGGGCTGCTGAGCAGCGCCAACGGCCGCAGCACGATCATCAAGTGCGTGACTTCCTCCCAGGTCCTTAGGACCGCATTGGGCTGAAAGCTCTTGTGCCTATCTTGTCTATTGCGCCGTTGGCCGCCTCCTCCCCGTCGCTTTCTGGCCGTGCCCGCCTTTTTCCCGCCTCTTCCGTTGTTCCCTACCCCAGATCTATTTGGAGTCGACTGAAATGACTCCCTACCATCTCCGTCGCTCTATCTCCTCCCAGGGCGACGGAGGGAGCTCCCCGGTCGACCTCACCTGCAGCGCCACCAACACGATCATCTGGGGGTACTCCGCCGCTGGCAGCAAGGCTCTCAGCTGATGTTGGTTCTTCCTCTCTCTCGCGCTATCTCCCTCCCCCCAGGTTCTCCCGCTCCCAGGGCGATGGCGGCAGCTCCCCTCTGGATCTCACCGGTACCGCCACCAACACGATCATCTGGGGGTACTCTGCTGCTGGCAGCAAGGCTCTGGACTACCACGGCACCTTCCGAGGCTCGGCTAAGATCAGCTTCAACTGCGGCGGCAGCACCCACCACCCCCACCACCCCCACCACCCCTGTCCCTACTACTCCTACTCCTGCTCCTGGTGGCGCTGGTGCTGGCAGCACCGGTGGCGGCGCTAGCAGCGGCAGTGGCAGCAGCAGTGGCGGGGCCAACTTGCCGGCCTGTGATGCGTCCATGCTGACAGGATACGAGCATTCCAAGGACCTCACGGGGAATGGGTGAGTCAACGCCGGTCAACGTGGTCAATGCTGGTCAACGGCGTTGCTTACCATTTTTAGCAACTTGTTTTAACACCAACTCATAATTCATTCTCTTCTTTTACATGTTATTTTTTCTTTTCTCCTCAGGTTCCTCCTCCACTGGACACTCTCATCTGCCGGCCAGCTGGACATGGCACTAGAAGCCAAACCGGCCAGTGGCGCCAACAAGGGCTGGATCTCTCTGGGGTGGTCAGCGAACGGCAAGATGTACCCCGCAGATACGGTCATTGGGAATCTCCCTGATGGGTCCGTGGGCGCGTATGACATGAGCGGATACGATGCGTCTGCTGTGCTTCCATCGACGAATTTCAAGATCAGCAAGGCGTCTTTGCTCACTGCCAATGGCGGCAGCACCATTATCAAGTGAGTCTTATTTGATGTTTGCGTGGGCAGCGGGCTTCAACTGCAGAAGGGCCGTTGCTCTGTGTGTTCTGTGTGTTCTGTCTGTGCTCACGGCCAATGGCGGCAGCACCATCATCAAGTGAGCCTCATTTGATGTTGCGTGGGCAGCCGGCTTTGACTGCAAAAGGGTTGTTGGTTCTTGCTTTACTGTCAGGCGCAGCAACCAACTCGATCATCTGGAGACACTCCGCCGCCAGTCAGCAGCATGGCTCTGACCTCATCCTTCTCCTCTCTTGCTCTCTCGCTCTCGTCCTCACTCTCCTCCTCTGATCTCAACGCAGGTTCTCCCGCTCCAAGGGAGACGGAGGCATCTCCCCTCTGGATCTTACCGGCGCCGCCACCAACACCATCATCTGGGGGTACTCCGCTGATGACAGCAAGGCTCTGGACTACCACGGCACCTTCCGAGGCTCGGCTAAGATCAGCTTCAACTGCAACAGCAATGGTGGTGCTGGCGCTGGTGCCGGTGCCGGTGAGGGTGCTGGTGCGGGTGCTGGTGCTGGTAACAATGGCACAAGCACAGGCGGTAGCAGCGGCAGCAGCAGTGGCAGCAGCAGCAGCGGCAGCAGCAGCGGCAGCAGCAGTGGCAGCAGCAGCAGTGGCAGCAGCAGCAGCAGTGCAGCCAGTGCTAGCTCGAGCAGCAGCGGGAAGAGTGGCTGCACGCCGTCCACCATCCCTGGGCTGGAGTGCTCCACCAAGCTCAATGGCGACAAGTAAGCATCACTCTCTCTTTCCCCTTATAATTTCTCTCTTGACCATTCCCCTCACTGTTCCCCCCCCTGCTCCCTTCACCTCCGAGTGGGTGCACGCCGTCCACCATCCCTGGGCTTGAGTGCTCCACCAAGCTCAATGACACACTCTCTCTAAAAACACGTGACCTTTTTGTCGACTCAACAAGATCACCGCAAGTGCTGCATAAGCTCAATGGCCACAAGTGAGAATCACTCTCTCCCCATATAAATACAAGATCTAGACCATTCCTCGAACCGTTCCCTACATCACCGGGGTGGGTCTAAGAGTTGTGGAACGGTGGCAACCGCCGGGTGGGTACCTCTCACTCACACTCTTCCGCCACTCCCTCGCTCACTTCCTCCCAATTCTTCTCCCGCCCTTGCAGCTTCATTCTCCACTGGAAGGCCAACACCTCAACCATCAGCTTCGCATGCGAGGTGGCAACCGCTGGGTGGGTCTCCCTGGGGTGGAGCGCAGACGGCAAGATGTACCCCGCTGATGCCGTCGTCGGCACCGGCAGCGGCAACAGTGCTTCCGTTGCGCCGTATTCCATTTCCAGCTACACGAGCGTGTCACCGAGCTCGGGCTTTGCTGTGTCGGCTACGGCGGTGGAGTCGGGAGCCAATGGGAAGACGGTGGTAAAGTTTTCCCGACAGCTGGCGGTGGGGTTGTTTCCGATTAATGCGAACGGCGTGACTAAGGTCATCTGGGCCTACTCTGCTGATGGGTCGCAGGCTCTCGCCAACCATATGACCAACAGGTGAGCCGCATCACCTCCCACCCTCCCCCCCACCCCCCCACCCCCCCACCCCCCCCCTTCTCCCCCCCCCTTCTCCCCCCCCCCCCTCTCTCCCTCCCTCTCCCTCCCTTTCCCCTCCCATTTCCCCCCTCCTCCCTCGATTTTTGGTTTCTCTGGTAGAAAGTACCATAAATCCTCCTCTGCGCTCTCTCACATGCCGCTGTTTGCTCACTATTCCCCCGTCCTACCCTCCTCCCCTGTTCCCGCGCTCCCCCTCCTCCATATCCATTACCCTTATTTGCAGAGGCTCTGCTTCCATCGATTTCGTCTCTGGGAGCACCACTGTTTCGTCCACCACACCGCCCTCAACCACTCTCCTAGTCATCCACGCGTGGCTGCTCGGAATCGCTTTCGGCATCCTCATGCCTGCTGCAATTCTCATCTCGCGAATCTTCCTCGCCGATAAGCTCCAGGAGCGTCCGCCTGGCGTGGACCACGACAAGTGGGAGGCCCAGGTGGCGCGCGCGAAATCCTGGAAGCCGCTGGCGTTTGAGACGCACAAGTGGATGCAGATCACCGCGGTTACGCTGGCTGTCGCTGGGTGTATTATCGTTTTTGTGCAATCCGGATCGGTAGGGCTGCAGAGCTCGCACGGCCAGCTGGGCCTCGCAATCTTCGTGCTGATTTTCGTGCAGCCTATGATTGGTCACTTCCGGCCGAACAAGGGTACAGTGAATCGGCCGACGTGGTTCGTTATCCACTGGGTGCTCGGCATTGGGATTGTCGGACTCGCGTGGCTCAACACTTTCCTCGGATTCGACATCATGCAGACGAAATATTCGTTCAACCTCCAGGTGTGTTTCTTATACAGTAACCCCAACAGCCTGTTATCGTAGTGTTTTTCTTCAAGGGCTGGGACTGACTGGTTTGATGTATGGGCATTGTCAGTCTGTATCTGCATTCACTTGTGTGGTTGTGGGTGGTGGTGGCCGCTCAATGTCTCACATTCCTGTTTATCCTCAGGTTTATCCTCAGCACACACATGTACCCCCCCGTTCTTCTTCCCCACACACGTTCTCCATTCATCCTCTTCACAAACACACACACATATGCTCCCTACCATTCCTCCACTTCCTAGCATTCTCACGTGCTCACAAGCCTCTCCTTCCCTTCTTTCCCTGTGCTCTTCTTCCCCTCCTGTTTCCTCAAACAGTGGTGCTACATCATCTTTGGGGTCACAGTTGGCCTTCTGGGAGCCATCTACCTTGTCATTTATATCACGGATCAGGTTGTCGCACTCATTTCGATGATCCAAAGGGCAACAACTTCAAACGAGGAGAGGGATGCGGGGAAGCAGCTGGTGATAAATCATGTACCGGTGTAGACGCGCAAGGCCTGTGGTTGTCTATTTTGTTTTGTTTAGCATGGTTTGTAGGTTGTATGTAACAGCCGTCCAAGCATTACGGATGCAGAGCTGCTGTTGCCAGGATTGCTTTGCTTATAGGGTTTGCTCAGTATGCATGCATTGCTTTCACTTCGGATCTGTCTTTGTGTTGATGATACAGAATTCGTAAGTGTGTACAAACGTTTGAATGAGAATGACTGTTGCGATATATTCCAGAGAGGAAATATTTTACTCAAAAGGTCCCTGCTTTTTATTCCCTTCGATACCGTGACCAACCGCTCACAACCTTTTCCCAAACGCTTTGAATTGCAAGTCACCTAGATCAAACGAATTGGTGAAGGCCCGAAAGTGCTGTTAATCCGTCTGTGTCGGAAATCCCAGGGCAACGGATGTCCATTCCTATTCTGGTGACCTTGCTTGCCTGCTATACAACCAACAAGACGGAACTCCCACACCAACATACAACGTTTCGTCTTGACAGACCACTAATTCTACCGTAGCAGCACTCGCTGGTGGTGGTAAAGTTCCGATAATCAGCGTGTCTTGATTCCACCACGGCCTTTCGCGGGGCTCTGCTAAATAGAAGACGAAAAATTAACACCTAAGTGTTTAAGGTTCCAGTGTATTTTTTGGCGGCTTGGACTTTCTGAGTGATTTAGGCTCTGCTCCTTTAGTCTCTTGTTACCGTTGACGAATAGATCGCTCACCAGCTCGCTTGGTGAAACTCGTGGTTTGCTCGCCGTTAGCGAAGATGAATTCGTCACAGGCGGGTTACTTCGCGAAGCAGGGGCTGAGCATGCTGTACAATGCCACTGTAACGAGCGTGAGTGCGATTGCAACGGGGATAAACAAGGCGTACCAGACGTACACGGACTACTACGAGCGTGACCAGATCGAAGCCCTTAAGAAATCCGGCAAGCGACCAGCCGACAACCTCTATCTAGGTAATCCCGTTGCACGCGAACTGCAACTGTTGAGTCGACGCAAAAGTCGTCCGGCAAACGACCAGCTGACAACCTCTATCTAGGTAACCCCGTTGCATGCGACATGAGCACGTGCGATGCGAAGTCCAGGACTGTATTCTGGTTGTGGTATCCCTGTAGCGCGTGTATTGCGTAGACAGTGTTTGCAGCATGTTTATGGATTCATGCGGGATTTCATGATTCATGAACGTATGGTTCACGAGCCATAACCTCATCTAAGCAGCAAGTGTTGATCATTGCTAAGATTAAGTCATGGCTTCTTGAGTTTATGTTTCCATCATTCTTGTGTTTAGTGCGGTTACAAACCCATGGTTGTCATTGACGTCAGGATTCCTTGGATTCACGATTTTTGTATTTCGTTTATCTTAGGCCTCTTCATGGCTGACCTCAACAACAAGGAACCCCATGTCTCTTGTCTCTTTCTCGTGCCTGTTGCCACTGTATTCCTCCTCCCACATGTCAGTGCTGCAGCGCTTCCAGTACCTCTGCATGGCTGGATACAATAACGAGGTCGCTGCTGCCGCCCAAAAGGCAGCTGCCAAGCTGGTGAGAGCGCCTTGGGGTTGCCAGAAGTCTCTCGGGGCTGCCAAAGTTTCTTAGTGTTGCCGAAAATTCCTTGGGGCTGCCAAACGTCTTATGGCGATAAATCAGGGCACTTTCCTGCCCACATGTCGTGTCGCTTTTACAAAGCATTCTTCTAGAAGGCAGGTAAGAAGACCGCTCTGATGCATCCGCCTCTCCTTCTCCCAACCATTCTCCCAGATGGCAGGAGAGAAGAGCTCGGTGGCTCACGAGACACTGCTGCTTCTCTGTCGGGTGCCGACGTCAGTGTCACAGCGGTACGGCGAGCAGTCAGAGCAGATGGGCGTACCTGCTCCTTACTCTAACCCCTATCTCGCCCCTCATCTCGTCGTGTTGTCTTTTAGACGGCAGGAGAGAAGAGCTCAGTGGCTCACGAAACGCTGCTGCTTCTCTGTCGGGTGCTGACGTCAGTGTCGCAGCGTTACGGGGAGCCAAGCAGTCAGGGCACTTTTTGACCCTGTTCTTACTCCATCCCATATCTCGTGTCTCTTTTCCTCGAGCATTTTCCCAGACGGCAGGAGAGACGAGCTCAGTGGCTCATGAAACGCTACTTCTTCTGACCCGGGTGCTGACGTCAGTGTCGCAGCGGTACGGCGAGCAGTCAGAGCAGATGGGCGTACCTGCTTCTTACTCTAACCCCTATCTCGCCCCTCATCTCGTTGTATTGTCTCCCAGACGGCAGGAGAGAAGAGCTCAGTGGCTCATGAGACGCTACTTCTTCTGACCCGGGTGCTGACATCAGTGTCGCAGCGGTACGGCGAGCAGTCAGGGCAGGGGTGGGGGCTGCAGGACTTTCTGAACTCGTCTCGCATGGGCAAAGACCACTTTGACCGCGACCAGCTCGTCACTGACTTCTACTTCGCCATCCTCTTCGTGCAGGACGTGAGTGCTCTGCTCATTTCTCCCTCCCACTTCCACTCCCCCCTCCAACCCCCCTTCCCCCCTCCCCCTTCCCCACCTCCTCTCTCCCGGCTCCCTTCTTCTCGAGGTGCCGGTGAGTGGAGTGAGAGGGATAGTGGGTATCAGTCAGGGAGGCCATCCGGATTGAGTGAGGGAGTGCGTGAGTGAGGGAGTGAGGGAGGGCATGAGCGACGAGCATTGAGAACAGGGTGGGGGCTGCAGGACTTTCTGAACTCGTCTCGCATGGGCAAGGACCACTTTGACCGCGACCAGCTCGTCACTGACTTCTACTTCGCCATCCTCTTCGTTCAGGACGTGAGTGGGTAGCAGGGAAGGCATGGTGTGAGTGGGTAGCAGGGAAGGCATGGTGTGAGTGGGTAGCAGGGAAGGCATGGTGTGAGTGGGTAGCAGGGAAGGCATGGTGTGAGTGGGTAGCAGGGAAGGCATGGTGTGAGTGGGTAGCAGGGAAGGCATGGTGTGAGTGGGTAGCAGGGAAGGCATGGTGTGAGTGGGTAGCAGGGAAGGCATGGTGTGAGTGGGTAGCAGGGAAGGCATGGTGTGAGTGGGTAGCAGGGAAGGCATGGTGTGAGTGGGTAGCAGGGAAGGCATGGTGTGAGTGGGCACCAGGGAAGGCATGGTGTGAGTGGGTAGCAGGGAAGGCATGGTGTGAGTGGGCACCAGGGAAGGCATGGTGTGAGTGGGTAGCAGGGAAGGCATGGTGTGAGTGGGTAGCAGGGAAGGCATGGTGTGAGTGGGTAGCAGGGAAGGCATGGTGTGAGTGGGTAGCAGGGAAGGCATGGTGTGAGTGGGTAGCAGGGAAGGCATGGTGTGAGTGGGTAGCAGGGAAGGCATGGTGTGAGTGGGTAGCAGGGAAGGCATGGTGTGAGTGGGTAGCAGGGAAGGCATGGTGTGAGTGGGTAGCAGGGAAGGCATGGTGTGAGTGGGTAGCAGGGAAGGCATGGTGTGAGTGGGTAGCAGGGAAGGCATGGTGTGAGTGGGTAGCAGGGAAGGCATGGTGTGAGTGGGTAGCAGGGAAGGCATGGTGTGAGTGGGTAGCAGGGAAGGCATGGTGTGAGTGGGTAGCAGGGAAGGCATGGTGTGAGTGGGTAGCAGGGAAGGCATGGTGTGAGTGGGTAGCAGGGAAGGCATGGTGTGAGTGGGTAGCAGGGAAGGCATGGTGTGAGTGGGTAGCAGGGAAGGCATGGTGTGAGTGGGTAGCAGGGAAGGCATGGTGTGAGTGGGTAGCAGGGAAGGCATGGTGTGAGTGGGTAGCAGGGAAGGCATGGTGTGAGTGGGTAGCAGGGAAGGCATGGTGTGAGTGGGTAGCAGGGAAGGCATGGTGTGAGTGGGTAGCAGGGAAGGCATGGTGTGAGTGGGTAGCAGGGAAGGCATGGTGTGAGTGGGTAGCAGGGAAGGCATGGTGTGAGTGGGTAGCAGGGAAGGCATGGTGTGAGTGGGTAGCAGGGAAGGCATGGTGTGAGTGGGTAGCAGGGAAGGCATGGTGTGAGTGGGTAGCAGGGAAGGCATGGTGTGAGTGGGTAGCAGGGAAGGCATGGTGTGAGTGGGTAGCAGGGAAGGCATGGTGTGAGTGGGTAGCAGGGAAGGCATGGTGTGAGTGGGTAGCAGGGAAGGCATGGTGTGAGTGGGTAGCAGGGAAGGCATGGTGTGAGTGGGTAGCAGGGAAGGCATGGTGTGAGTGGGTAGCAGGGAAGGCATGGTGTGAGTGGGTAGCAGGGAAGGCATGGTGTGAGTGGGTAGCAGGGAAGGCATGGTGTGAGTGGGTAGCAGGGAAGGCATGGTGTGAGTGGGTAGCAGGGAAGGCATGGTGTGAGTGGGTAGCAGGGAAGGCATGGTGTGAGTGGGTAGCAGGGAAGGCATGGTGTGAGTGGGTAGCAGGGAAGGCATGGTGTGAGTGGGTAGCAGGGAAGGCATGGTGTGAGTGGGTAGCAGGGAAGGCATGGTGTGAGTGGGTAGCAGGGAAGGCATGGTGTGAGTGGGTAGCAGGGAAGGCATGGTGTGAGTGGGTAGCAGGGAAGGCATGGTGTGAGTGGGTAGCAGGGAAGGCATGGTGTGAGTGGGTAGCAGGGAAGGCATGGTGTGAGTGGGTAGCAGGGAAGGCATGGTGTGAGTGGGTAGCAGGGAAGGCATGGTGTGAGTGGGTAGCAGGGAAGGCATGGTGTGAGTGGGTAGCAGGGAAGGCATGGTGTGAGTGGGTAGCAGGGAAGGCATGGTGTGAGTGGGTAGCAGGGAAGGCATGGTGTGAGTGGGTAGCAGGGAAGGCATGGTGTGAGTGGGTAGCAGGGAAGGCATGGTGTGAGTGGGTAGCAGGGAAGGCATGGTGTGAGTGGGTAGCAGGGAAGGCATGGTGTGAGTGGGTAGCAGGGAAGGCATGGTGTGAGTGGGTAGCAGGGAAGGCATGGTGTGAGTGGGTAGCAGGGAAGGCATGGTGTGAGTGGGTAGCAGGGAAGGCATGGTGTGAGTGGGTAGCAGGGAAGGCATGGTGTGAGTGGGTAGCAGGGAAGGCATGGTGTGAGTGGGTAGCAGGGAAGGCATGGTGTGAGTGGGTAGCAGGGAAGGCATGGTGTGAGTGGGTAGCAGGGAAGGCATGGTGTGAGTGGGTAGCAGGGAAGGCATGGTGTGAGTGGGTAGCAGGGAAGGCATGGTGTGAGTGGGTAGCAGGGAAGGCATGGTGTGAGTGGGTAGCAGGGAAGGCATGGTGTGAGTGGGTAGCAGGGAAGGCATGGTGTGAGTGGGTAGCAGGGAAGGCATGGTGTGAGTGGGTAGCAGGGAAGGCATGGTGTGAGTGGGTAGCAGGGAAGGCATGGTGTGAGTGGGTAGCAGGGAAGGCATGGTGTGAGTGGGTAGCAGGGAAGGCATGGTGTGAGTGGGTAGCAGGGAAGGCATGGTGTGAGTGGGTAGCAGGGAAGGCATGGTGTGAGTGGGTAGCAGGGAAGGCATGGTGTGAGTGGGTAGCAGGGAAGGCATGGTGTGAGTGGGTAGCAGGGAAGGCATGGTGTGAGTGGGTAGCAGGGAAGGCATGGTGTGAGTGGGTAGCAGGGAAGGCATGGTGTGAGTGGGTAGCAGGGAAGGCATGGTGTGAGTGGGTAGCAGGGAAGGCATGGTGTGAGTGGGTAGCAGGGAAGGCATGGTGTGAGTGGGTAGCAGGGAAGGCATGGTGTGAGTGGGTAGCAGGGAAGGCATGGTGTGAGTGGGTAGCAGGGAAGGCATGGTGTGAGTGGGTAGCAGGGAAGGCATGGTGTGAGTGGGTAGCAGGGAAGGCATGGTGTGAGTGGGTAGCAGGGAAGGCATGGTGTGAGTGGGTAGCAGGGAAGGCATGGTGTGAGTGGGTAGCAGGGAAGGCATGGTGTGAGTGGGTAGCAGGGAAGGCATGGTGTGAGTGGGTAGCAGGGAAGGCATGGTGTGAGTGGGTAGCAGGGAAGGCATGGTGTGAGTGGGTAGCAGGGAAGGCATGGTGTGAGTGGGTAGCAGGGAAGGCATGGTGTGAGTGGGTAGCAGGGAAGGCATGGTGTGAGTGGGTAGCAGGGAAGGCATGGTGTGAGTGGGTAGCAGGGAAGGCATGGTGTGAGTGGGTAGCAGGGAAGGCATGGTGTGAGTGGGTAGCAGGGAAGGCATGGTGTGAGTGGGTAGCAGGGAAGGCATGGTGTGAGTGGGTAGCAGGGAAGGCATGGTGTGAGTGGGTAGCAGGGAAGGCATGGTGTGAGTGGGTAGCAGGGAAGGCATGGTGTGAGTGGGTAGCAGGGAAGGCATGGTGTGAGTGGGTAGCAGGGAAGGCATGGTGTGAGTGGGTAGCAGGGAAGGCATGGTGTGAGTGGGTAGCAGGGAAGGCATGGTGTGAGTGGGTAGCAGGGAAGGCATGGTGTGAGTGGGTAGCAGGGAAGGCATGGTGTGAGTGGGTAGCAGGGAAGGCATGGTGTGAGTGGGTAGCAGGGAAGGCATGGTGTGAGTGGGTAGCAGGGAAGGCATGGTGTGAGTGGGTAGCAGGGAAGGCATGGTGTGAGTGGGTAGCAGGGAAGGCATGGTGTGAGTGGGTAGCAGGGAAGGCATGGTGTGAGTGGGTACCAGTGAGTGAGGGAGGGGTTGACGACCAGCTCGTCATTGACTTCTACTTCGCCATCCTCTTTGTGCAGGACGTGAGTGAGTGGAGAATGATTTGCGTGAGTTTATTCAAGTACCATGCCCCCTCCCTATCCCCACCTCCCCAAAACCAAACCCTTGTATCTTTTTCAGGTGTGTGGGGGACCTGGGCCTTAGTTTGAGCAGGCCATTCGCGAAGCGACAGGGAGGCTGGTGGAGGGGAACAAGTACGTGGGCGAGGGAGGCAGGGGTCTCCTCATACGCATCTCCATACTCCTTCCCCACCCTCGCCCCACCCCACTAACCAATCTCTCTATTGTTTCCTCAGGTGTGTGGGGGACCTGGGCCGCAGTTTGAGCAGGCCATTCGCGAGGCAACAGGGAGGCTAGTGGAGGGGGATAAATACGTGGGCGAGGGAGGGGGGTTCTCTGGCGGCGGTGCTGCTGCCTTCGGTGGTGCTTCCTCCTCCGTGCCCTCCTATGCCGCTGTGCCGTCAGCCAGCGCACTGCCTGCTGATCAAGACCCCAAGTGAGTCTGTGGGTTCGCCGCATGTCTCAAGGTGTAATGGAGTAGCAAGGAGGCTGGTGGAGGGGGGCAAGTACGTGGGCGAGGGAGGGGGCTTCTCTGGTGGCGGTGCTGCCTTCGGCGGTTCTTCCTCCTCCGTGCCCTCCGATGCCGCTGTGCCATCAGCCAGCGCTCTACCCTCTGATCAAGACCCCAAGTGAGTCGTTTCTATCTTTGTCATATGTTGCAAAAGAGAGACGAGCATGTGGCCAAGGCAGCACAAGTTGATCTCAAGCGATTCTGTAATTTCTGAGGCGCCTCAAAAGACGATTTTTTAGGCGCCTCAAAGAGAGACAATAATGTGGGCAAGGCAGCACAAGTCAATCTCAAACAATTCTGTAATCTCCTCTCCTCGTCTTTTTCCTCCATTCGCCCTGCCTCCCACCCTAATGGCCAGGTAGAAAGCGGTAAAGGTGGTGCAGGTGCTATCGCAGGCCGTGCGCAAGGCAGCAGAGGTCTCTTCTTTATGCGTCCCTTCCTCCTCCTGCTCTCTGTTTCTCCTCTGTTTCTCCGGTTCTTTTCCCGCCGTACCCCAATCACCAGGAAGAAAGCGATGAAGGTGGTGCAGGTGCTATCGCAGGCCGTGCGCAAGGCAGCAGAGGTTTCTTCTTTATGCGTCCCTTCCTCCTCTTGCTCTCTTTTCTTTTTTTTTAGAATTCTGAAAAAAAAACAGACTCTGCACAAGGCAGCAGAGTCTCTTCTTTATGCGTCCCTTCCTCCTCCTGCTCTCTGTTTCTCCGGTGCTTTTCCCGCCCTACCCCACTCGCCAGGAAGAAAGCGATGAAGGTGGTGCAGGTGCTATCCCAAGCCGTGCGCAAGGCAGCAGAGGATGCAGACGGGCGCAAGCAGCGGTCGCTCAAAGAAGCAGAGGATATGCTTCGGCGCGAGAACGAAAAAGCAGCTGCTGCTGCCGGCGTGGGCTATGCCGCACCTCCCGCCAAGCCTCTCAGCAGCTTCGGCGGCGGAGCCTCGGCAGCAGCTCCGGTGGGCGGGTATGGTTCGGCAGGTGGTTTTGCGGCCAAGCCCAGTAGTGTGTCGAACTGGAGTGGGGGGAGTGGGGCTGCTGCTGCTGCGCCCAGCCCTTGGAGTGGGGGAGGGGGGAGTGCATTGGGGGGACCTGTAGGGGGAACGATGGGGGGAACGGGGGGAAGTAGTGCTTGGGGAGGGGGGAGTGCGAGTGTGGGAGGGGGAGGGGGTTTTGGAGGAGGTAGTGGTGGTGGTGGGGGGTGGGGTGGGAGTGCTTCGACAGGAGGGGGAGGGGGTGCGTGGGGGGCAGGGGGAGGGCAGGCAGGGGGGAGTGCAGGGGGGTGGGGGGGGACGACAGGGGGAAGCACGACGGGAGGGAGTTCTGGGTGGGGCACTGGCACTGGTGGCAGCTTGATCTAGCGCAGTTGCTGTCAATACGGGCGACAAGACAAAGGAGCAGCACAGCACAGCATCATATCTGGTGTCAATAGGAGCGGAGCAGAGGGAGTGGCAGACCTGGTGTCAATATGGGAGAGAATACAGCACAGCAGTTAGCGTTTGTGTTAAACAGAACCACAGTGCAGCACAGCAGTGCACAAGGTGTGTCAATTGAGTAACGTAACATTGGAACGTAGCCGCGATGTGAGGCAATAGTCGGCAGCATTGGAACTTAGCCTCAATACGAGGGGATAGTTGGCGACTTACCGCTCCTAACAGGCACAAGGAAGCTGTGGTTGGGGTATAAGCAGGAGCAGGCAATTCTTGGTGGCCGGTGGCTGCTATGACGTGCCACGGTGCTACTATAAACAGAATCATATGAGATGTTGACTGATATTTCTTCAGAATCTGGAGAGTGACACGCTACAGGCTGCAGTGCAGTGTAATGGGGATGGAGCACGAACACACACAGACACACAAAGGTGCAGCTTCAGTAAATCTAATAGACATGCTGCCAAGTCAACGTACCGGTACATTTAAAGACTAGTGTTCTTGATAAATCCCTCCTTGATACACTCCCCTGTTTCCAGCCTCCCTCCTTTACCACTACTCTTGGCACGTGTACCAAACCAAACTTGCATGCTCATTTACCAAGGGGCTCTAATCCAGACTTTCCTCTGTTGCATTTCCAATTTACTGCATCAAGCAGGATGGATCATTTGCTGCATATGAAATTTTTCGAAAGCTTGCTTTCTTGCATGTAGCAATTGGCATCGTCTCATTTCAAATGGGTTTAGTACAATTGAAATCTAAGCAGTGACATTACAACAATATGCCTCTACGTTATCAACGCTATCCTGCTTTCGAGGGGGGGTGGGTGGGAAAATCTGTCAAATGTTGTAGCCTATAGTGAGGTTTGTCTTAGGGGGTACAAAACTTAGGGTTAGCTATATGTACCCCAACCAACATCAATGCATCATTCATTCCTCATTTTGACATGGTATCAGTTAGGTTAGGATCCTGTGGGATCCCGTTTCTCCGTTCTCCGATCGTACCACCCGAGCCTGATCCTAGCTCTCGTTTCGCCCGTCTTGCCCGAGCCTAGTGCCGGCCCGATCTAGTCCCGTTCGTTCGTTACCGCTCGTTCTTCCTCCCGATCTAGCGTAGCCCGATCTAGCGTACCGCTGCCGGTCGCGCTGCGCTTTCCCCCCCTGATCCCCGTCGAGGCGCGCTTCCCCCCGCTGCCCGTCGACCCGCGCTTCCCCCCGCTGCCCGTCGACCCGCGCTTCCCCCCGCTGCCCGTCGACCCGCGCTTCCCCCCGCTGCCCGTCGACCCGCGCTTCCCCCCGCTGCCCGTCGACCCGCGCTTCCCCCCGCTGCCCGTCGACCCGCGCTTCCCCCCGCTGCCCGTCGACCCGCGCTTCCCCCCGCTGCCCGTCGACCCGCGCTTCCCCCCGCTGCCCGTCGACCCGCGCTTCCCCCCGCTGCCCGTCGACCCGCGCTTCCCCCCGCTGCCCGTCGACCCGCGCTTCCCCCCGCTGCCTGTCGACCCGCGTTTCCCCCTGCTGCCCGTCGATCCGTCGCCCTGGCCCGCGCCCCAGCCCGTCTCCCCAGCTCGCGCCCTAGCCCGTCGCCCTGGCTCGCGCCCTAGCCCGTCGCCCAGGCCCGGCGCCTTTGCCCTACCCGCGCGCCCGCCACACCTGACCTACCCGCCCGCTCTTGCCCGCTCTTCCTGCCCGTTCTCCCTTGCCGCTGCGCCCTGCTTTCCCTGCCAATTCCGTTTGCACACTATGGCGACCCCTCGCGTCCTTCGTTTCGATGCTGACGGTCGCCCGCTCGATTTCCCAGTCTGGCTTCTTCGCGCTCGCCGCCTGTTAGAGAGTCAGGTCCAGGCAGGCGAGACCCTCTGGGCGCACGCTACTGGTGCCCTACCTGCGCCCCCCGACCCTACGCCTTTAGGACCTGCCCCTGACGACGCCGCTAGAGCCCGCTTTGCCACTCAGCGAGCTGACCAGACGGCTTGGACGTCACGTGACGCTGCGGCCTGCATCGCGCTCAGCAGCCTCCTCCCTGAGTCTGAGGAGGTTCACTTCACTCAGGTTCGCACCGCTGCTGCGTACCTCACTGCGATTAAGGCCCGCTACTCTACTCCCGCTGCTGTCTCTCTTGGCCGCCTGTTCCTCCCGTTCCTGTTTCCTGACCTAGCGTCTTTTGAGCGCTCTGCTGACTTGATCGCTCACCTCCGCTCGCTCGACGCTAGTTACCGCGCTGCTTGCACTGAGGCACAGCTTGCACTGCTTCCTCCCCCTATGGCGATTACTATCTATTTCATCGCCACTAGCCTCCCTGACCGCCTTGCCTCCGTTCGCGACGCGCTTCTGCTGAAGCACCCTAGTGAGCTCACCGTCGAGGTCCTTGAGTCTGCACTCAAGGACGTCGAGAGCAACCTTCGCTCGGTAGCCGCTGCCTCTGGTGCTGTGCCCCCCCCACTCTTCCACGGGTGCACAGTCCCGCAGTTACCCACCTTTACTGCCTCACTTGCCACTGCCGCTACTGACGCGACTGCAGCTGCTGTTACGACTGCGTCGCGGTCCCGCGGTAGGAGTGGCAAGAAAGGCGGTTCTGGTGGTGGTAGTGGAGGTGGAGGCGGAGGTAGTGGAGGTGGCGTTGCGCCTGGCGGCGGTGGAGGTTCAGGGCCTGGAGAGGCGCCTCGTGCAGTGACTGGTGACTCCACTGCGCCTGCTGGTGGTGGCGACGCCCGAGTTCGTCAGTCGCCTCCTGTACTTCCTGCCCCGGTTGGTGGAGCAGCGGCGTGGTACCAGGCTCAGCGTCAGCAGCAGCTTCTGCAGCACCAGCAGCCCCTCTCCTCCCAGCAGCCTCAGCAGCAGCAGCGGCAGCAGCTGGCTCCAGGGTCGGGGCTGCGTCAGACCCAGCGCGGTGCTGCTTACACTCCCTGCACCTACCAGGTTCTGACAGGCCCTCGTCGTGGCCACCCTTGTGGCCGGTTTCACCCCCCTGGTCAGTGCTTTGCTCAGCTCACTGACACGGTTCGTTTGGTCTACGGGGTTGGTGCTCCTGCCCCTGACTGGCTGCCTCTTGTTCAGCGCTACGGCTCCGCTCTGTGGGGCATGTCTGCTGAGCAGTTAGTTGATCTGATTGGTACTCCCCATGCTATGTATGCTGTTGTTGACTCTAGTGTTTCTGACTCTGCTTACTCTGGTGTTGTTAGCTTAGGTGCTAGCCTTGCTCAGTTGCCTGTTGCTAGTGTAGGTTCTTGTGTAGACTCTAGTCCAGCGGCTACCTCAGAGGACGGTTCGCTGTCGTTCACGCTGGACTCTGGAGCTTCTCACTGCTTCTTTCGTGACAGCACGACACTTACGCCTCTTCCTGCGCCTGTTTCTGTGGCGCTGGCTGATCCCACTTCGGGACCAGTCACCGCGCGTCACACTACCACCTTGCCGTGTCCGGCTGCTCCTTCTGGGTCTCTCACTGGGTTTCACGTCCCCTCGTTCTCCCGGAACTTGGTGGGCGTGCGACCCCTCGTGAGTCAGCACGTGGGTGTGTGGTTTGAGCCTTCTGGAGAGACTGCGGTGTGTGTTGACGGGGACTCTTACCAGCCCCTCGCCACTTTTGCTGCTGAGCCGGGCTCCGGTCTCTACACTCTTCACACTCGCCCGCGCGCTCAGCAGCGACTGCAGCAGCAGCAGCAGCCGCAGCAGCAGCAGCAGCCGCAGCAGCAGCAGCGGCAGCAGCCGCAGCCGCAGCCACAGCCGCCCCTCCTGCCCCCGGCCCCTGTTTTGCCTCCCGTTCGAGTCCTCGCGTCTCACCAGGTTGCTCCGTCCCCCCAGGTAGCTGTGTCTTGTCAGGTTCCTCCGTCTAGTCCGGTCGCTGCGTCGTGCTCCTGTCGGTCGCTTGCCCACCCCACCGTTTTGTGGCACCACCGGCTGGGGCACCCTTCTCCTCCTCGTCTTCGCGCTATGTCTCGTCAGCGTCTTGTCTTAGGTCTCCCGCGTGTCTTGCCGTCGCTGCCGCCGTCCCTTGCACCACCGTGCGGTCCTTGCGTCGAGGGTAGGCTGCGCGCCACCCCTCACTCCTCCTCCCTTCGTCCGGCCACCGAGCCTTTTGAGACGCTGCACTTGGACGTCTGGGGCCCCTCTCCTCGCCCTGGCCCTGAGCGTGAGCGTTTCTTTTTGGTGGTCGTTGACGACTACTCCCGCTACACCATAGTGTTCCCCCTGGCGAGGAAGTCTGAGGTGACTTCTACGCTGATCAGGTGGTTGCTTATTACCCAGGACACTCGTGGTCGTCGTGTCAGCTGTCTCCACTCCGACCGCGGGGGCGAGTTTCGCTCCGGCATTCTCGCTGGATTCTGTCGCGAACAGGGCATTCGTCAGTCCTGGACGCTTCCGGAGTCCCCACAGCAGAATGGGGTTGCTGAGCGTCGCATAGGCCTGGTCATGGAGATTGCCCGCACCTCCTTGACTCACGCCCGTGCCCCCCATTTCCTGTGGCCATACGCGGTCAGGTACGCCGCGCACCAGCTGAACCTCTGGCCACGCGTCTCTCGGCCGGAGGCTTCACCGACCAGTCTTTGGACAGGGTCCCCTGGTGTCGCGTCGAGGTTTCGTGTCTGGGGGTGCTTGGCTCTTGTCCGCGACACCTCCGCGGACAAGCTCTCGCCTCGCGCCGTTCCTTGTGTCTTCCTTGGTTTCCCTGAGGACTCCTCTGACTTCACCTTTTACCACCCTCCCTCTCACCGGTTCTTTGACTCCCGTGACGTCCGTTTCGAGGAGTCCACCCCCTACTACGTCAGGTACCCCAGTCGAGGTCTCCCGGTCCCTCCCCCCCCTCTCTTCCTGACCGCCGCTCCCCCGCCTGCTCCCCCGGTACAGCCTCCCCCCCCTGGTCCAGCCCCGTCTGGTGTGTCTCAGGCTAGCCCTCCCCCTTCGGTAGCCCCCCCTGTACAGCCTCCCTCCCCACAG